AATTATGCTGACATCCGGCGTGCAAGAATTAAGGAGCTTTAAAGAGCTATAAGGGATATTTCATAATATTGAAATCACAAAGACCAGGTTTTTTTTCTTTCCCGCCCTTTGTGTAGAATCGAATTTCTAATTTCCTATCCAAAATGGAAATTTTCCCTTCTGAAACTGTCATTATGGCTAGAAGATAAATGTACCATGGAGGGTGCATGGCTGCCTCCTATGGCGAGTCTAGAGAACTAATAAAAGGGAAATTTAAAGTAAACAATATTCTTATATCTAACTGATTTAAAAAAGGGATTTTAAAATTGTTTAGAATAAATTTGTATGATTTCATGCAAATGAATAAATGCACAGACAATACTCTTGATAAACCGCAGTGACGCTGTTGGGAAAACACTCAGCATCAGTTTTGTTAAATAGAGACAGAAACTACCTCTGACAAAGAACCGTGAGCACTAGTTTGTTGGCCAGATGAACCCAAAAAAGATGGTTTTCATCGGCGGGGGTTGAGCCTCTGCCTCGACGATAAATTATAGAAACAAAACACAGAGACTCGTTCAATGAAAAGTAATTGTAGAAAAAACATAGTTATTTTGTCTGTGGCAAACTGTGAGTTATGCGAAAACAAGGAGGTAATGATACACTGCGCGACAGAAAGGCGACTTAAGCAAATATTTCAAATGATAATCTTGTTGCAAAAAATTTCGTTGATTTTACTTCACTCGAAACTTAAGCATTCTTGTCGATGTGTTTTCGTGTTTGCTTAATAAGTTCTATAACATGATAAAGTTTGGTAAAATGGCACTTGATATGTTCATAACAAAAATGTATTTAATCATTTTAGATCAGATATTTCTTTCTATCAATCCATTTTTCCAAACAAGTTTGTCCAGCAAAAGATGTTCTTACCGCAGCCCATCGTTAACTTCAAAGATAACAAAAACATTTGCAATGATAGCAATAACGATAACAGTAACGATATTGGTTGTTTTCATAAGTCTCATACTAATCTCAACTCTAATACCTATTCTATGATAAAGACAATGATAATGATAACATAAATTATGGATTTTAAGCAATTTTGCTGAGACTTAGGACTCAAGATGAGGATTCGATGCTCACCAAGATGAAGATTCGATGCTCACTGCTAATGGAACGAGATCGTTATGAGCTCTACATAATGTTCTTAAAAACAATGTGATGATTTTTTATGGGCTAAACGAATTTTATGCCAACTAGAAAAATATTTTGTGAGCTTTTGTCACTTGAATATTTTTAGGCTAAACCGCTTCCAGCGACTTTTTTTTTTTATCTAGATCCACCGTACCTGGTTCGGTTTAAACTAGTCACTTGTCCGCAGGTATCTCCACAGCTTAAAGTTTATCTATTGTTAACGAAGGGTTCGCTTGTCTTACCATGACATGCGTCAAATCTTCATCTTTTATTTACGTGTCGTCATAAATGAAGTTCTATTTATTTATAATTGCTTGGCGATGTATTTATATATCGATATAGATCACTTTTTTAACGTTCAGAGTTAAGCTCACGTAATCCATCAGAAATATCATGGTTTGTTTAATCAATGATCTTCCCGGGAAATACATGACAAGTGCTTCAAAATTAAGCTTAGCAGTATTGTCTTCAATTCACGAGAGGGTGGTTTGTTGTAGTCTACTTAACACACCCGAGCGCACCAATTCAAAAATATCGAAGATGTTGGTTCGCGATATGAAATGTAATATATTTACAAATTTGTGCAGTAGAGTAAACGAAATATTTTTTTTTACGATCAGTTTCGTTCGCAAAATCTCTAGCATTCAGAGGTGTCTTTTAATTCGGACAGCGATATAGCAAAAGTATTTCGTGTTTGATTCTAAGTGAAGACTCGTTAATGTAAACAAACTCTATGCACGGGATACTTTTGTCCCTTTTTCTTCACTGAAACATTATTTCCTCAGGAATCGCAAAACACCCTGATATCCTTGTATGTTCGAGATTGGTCCTTCATCCAATTCAAGACAGTTTTTCTAGACAATGATTTAGAAAACCGTCGGCAGAAAGGATGTTTGCTCATTCATGTAATATAAAGTGTAAGACAGACAATTGAAATAAACCGTTTGTTTTAGAGGTCCTTTCAACAATCGAGTACAGGGCCGATAACTTTATATATATGACAACGACGAAGTGTCATATTTTGAGGTTCTTGACGTTATCATAAGGATAAAGTCTAACCATGATTATTTTCTGGTGAAATTTCCCTTCTAACGTTTTGTTTGTTTAGTTTTAGACCTAAAGGTTGTCATTGACCTTTCTCTCTTGAGTTTGATCCATTAGAACTTTTTTCATCTCTCACTTTTTCAAAGTTCGTTAGCCTCGCAGCGAAAAAAAAACTATTTATTCAAGTTTTAGAGGAATCGACCACATACATTTTATAAGCTTCAAAATGCTTCATCACCCATGCAAATACAATTTACTAACCTGAGCGCCAAGTCTTGTCAATTGTGTTTTAATCATTTGAAAGGAAGCTTCTCTAAGACTTAATCAGAGAGTGCTGTGTGTTTTTAGTTTAGCCACTACAATCGTTCAACTTTGACGTGATGGCTGTCAATAGTGAAATCCGCGTCAAAACTTCGGTCACTTTTCAGCTGCAGATCCCAGGCATTATTTGACCACAACAATCAACTTCATCAAGTCAAAACTACCTTAATTAACTCCAAGACACTCGGCGGCAGCTTCTTTAGGGATCACTTATCTCATGATTTCAATGGCTTTAATTGTCAAATACAAAGAGGCGTAACAAAAAGTTCCCAAATTTCCAACATATTAAAATTTAAGACCTCAAAACATTTACATCAAAAAAGAAAAAACACACGTTGATCTTCACGCTGAAACAATATATACAGGGAAATCAAGACTTTGGGTCAATTTGCTGTAAGAATTCTAATAAAAAAGAGTGTTAAGCTTGTGTACACAAACAATAAAACTTATGAAATTCTTTATCCTTTCAACAAGTGGTTGAAAATTTCATGCCAAAGTTAAGCAAAAGCACGCAATATTTGGGTAAACTTTTACGAACACAATTCAAAAGGTCAAACTTTGGCTGTATATTTAACAAATAGATTCCAAGTTGCCATGCTTCTGTTCAGTAATAGATCGCAGATGACGTCAAATGTGATAAGAACGAAAAAGATGATGATGTTCTTACCACATTTTGACGTCCTCTGTGATCTATTACTGAACAGACGCACGGCAACTTGGAATCTATTTATTTTATATAATAAAGAATTAAAAAAGTTTTAATGATGACGTCATCTATACGTCTGTCCTCCAATAGATCATAAGTGAGAACCAATCAAAACGCGTGCATAACTGAGCTTATTATATAATGTGCACTGGAAGATTCTCTACCTTACAATGGGTCTAAGCATATTTTTATATTATCATGTTGGTATTAACTTTTTGCCATGCTAAGAGCTCAGTGTCAATCAAAAGAGGCCAAAGGGACCTATACGAATGTTAAGTAAACAATGAACTGAGTAATGATTGAACAACTGTTTTTATTGGTTTTTTCCTTTTTATTTTAAAAGACTGACATATTGAAGGTCTCTTTCCATCTTAAGTGATAAAGTGTTTAGGTCGGGCCTAATTTTTTCTTTCTGAAAGAGACTCGGTATCTTGTCGGCCATGCTGGTCCTTTCTAAGAAATACGGCTTCAAACAACAAAACCAATTAAAAAAAACCAATAAAAAAATAAAAAATAAAACAAAAACCAAAAGGAAAAAAGGTAGGAAACTGGCGTCGTTAAGGTGCTGGCGACCTCACAGTTTGTCCACCTAAAACTCTTCATTGTAACGAATTTATGTTTGCCTACTGAAGCGGTTTTCGTGCTAAAAACGTTTGAGGAGTCTAACTTTTTTCCGTCAACAATTTTTCTCTATATTTTCCGCGATGAATGAGGTAAAGTAGTAGTTACCATCAAGATATTCAAATATTGTTATTATTTACAAAAAAAATTACACCAAATAGATATTCTTGCTGTATATTACGTGAATGACATACGAGAACGAATTAATATCTATTAAATACTGTTAAATATTGCTTAGATTTTTTTATAAGCTGACTGGAATGTACCTGATGTAATGTCAGTACCTAGATTAAATCATAAGTTTAGTGTTAAGTTTACCGTTAACTATAAAAAGGTTCGCAAAATCTCACATATGTAAATCAAATAAGATAAATATAAAAAGTGATGAATAATTCAACTTCGTTCTAAGTATATATAAGTTCTATTGGGTGATTAGACTGAACTAAATCTGATCGAATTACGAACAACTATTATTCGAAATTTTCTTTTGTTTTCTTTTTGTTTATAAATATAACTAAGTATTTCGTGAGACCAACTTTAATACGTAACATTTTTGCTTCTCTATGAATAAGACGTCCTCAAAATAGCCTTTTAGACTCTCAAATTTTTCTATATTTCAGCTATGAATATTTTCGATATTGCTTCTATCTAATTCTAAATATTTCTTATCAATGATAACTCACTCATTCAGTAAAATTCTTAAGCAAAATGGTTGGGACACTAGAATAGTTTTTCAACAAATCAGTAGTTTTCTCATTTACATAGTAATCAAATATGGTTCACAAAATTGCTTAAGTTAAATACCACTTTACAAATTCTTGGTGTATTTCATCTGCAAGAGGAAAGAAAGTCTTTGCCTGGGGGTACAAAGTTGGAAAGACTTCTAGTTCAGAAAACACTGTTACGACGATAAATCGTAAAACTCAAAATCCATTTACAGGCTCAAAACCACGATTACCATATCTTGTTTACCGGTATATTCCCACGAAGCCACATAAGGTAGTGCCGCCTTCCCTTCCCCTTAGGGTATTGAGATGCACATTTGGCCATAGGCCTCAAGAAGCTCTGTCCAAGCTGGCTGTAAGTAGCTTTTTTTTCTATCTGCTTCCTTTTTCTACGACACTTCCTCATTCAATTAAATTGAAGTTTCATTTTCAGTAATATTGCCATGTCTCCCTGGCATATCTATATATAACATGGTAGGCTGTTTATTGGGTTCTTTCCTTTTACCATCCAAAACAGTTCTGCTGTCACTTAACTCACTTACAAGAGTTTCTCGCTCATCAGCTTCATTCAGATTATCTGGTTCGCTGTCTTCGTCTGAAAATCTTCTTCCTTTCCAACAAGGTACAAAATCAAGTTGAATGGGTGAGATTCCTTCGAAAGGAAGTTCTCTGCTCCAGGATGGTAAGCTTTCTGTACTCACTTGTACACCTTCGTCAACACCTGGAATGAATATCGTGTACGTTGAGTTATTTCGCGATCCTCGAGGTATCTCATCTTTTTCTGCGCAACAGCAAACTTCTCCAGATGAGCGTTTTCTGTTGTCTTCTCCACAGATGCTTTGGGTGTCTTTCGGTAGAGAGCATCGTTTACAAACGTGAGAGTTTTGAGACTGTGTTTTGCGTGGAGGCGCCTCAGGAAAAGACATGTTTGAGTTCGACGGAACGCTGAAGGATCGTACACGTTGATTTTTTCCGTTTTCTGCTATCCAAAGTGGCAGGCGATCTTTGGGTATGACATGAGAAACACCTGGCACACCTAAACTGTTCCTGACATTGTTGTTCGTAATGGAATCTTGCTTTGAAACCTGATGGTTATCATCTTGACCGTCATTTTCCTCTGTTTCATCCTTTTCGGGGAGATCTCCAAGTTTTGGAACCACTCTCTCATTCCGGCTGATTCGACGTTCCCTGGTCGGCCTTGTTGAAGTTGGAGAGGTTTTTCCCTCGTTATCCGATTTGCTAGACGGAATACTCCAGGTTGTCGAGTTTCGCTTTACCTCACCGGGACTTTGCTTTGCAAGGCTATTTTGCCGAGATGAATGACTGGCCAAAACGTCAGACATTAGGCAATCATCCTCTTCAGGTTCACGGCTGACGTTACTACGAATACGTAATCCTCTGCGCCTGACACCAGACAAATTTCCGCGGTTCGAAAAGTCCGAAGTTATGGAATTTAACAAAACTTTATTTTTTCGTCTCGGAAGTTTAAGCCTTGCTTGAGCGTGTGCATAATAAAGATTAAAATTGCTTCCAATTATGGATATTGGAAGAGCGACCACAAGAAGGCCACAAACTGCGCATGCTCCTCCGATAATTTTTCCCAGCCACGTATTTGGTGTTATGTCGCCATAGCCGACAGTGGTCATTGTTATAAGTGACCACCAAAAAGATTCTGGGATTGAACGAAATTTCGTGGGGATGTCATCCATGGTACGCTCTACGTAATAGATGATTGATGAGAATAAAATCACTGGTATGAACAAAATCAGTAAGAGAAGTCCCAGCTCGTACGAGCTTGCTTTTAACGTGTGCAACAGTATTTGAAGACCGTAGAGCAATCGAAAAAAGCGGAAAAGTCGGAGAAGTCGAATCATAAGGAGTGCATCGGCAATCTGCGATACACCATCAGGAGCGAGAATACGAATATAGAACGGCATCACCGACAAGATATCGATCCAGTTTGTCACCATTCGGAAAAAGACGCGTCGTCTTGGGCAAAAGATAATCCGTAACACTAGTTCTAAAGTGAACCAAATACCGCAGAAGAATTCAATTATAGTGAAGATGGTTACTGTGGTGGAATCCCTTGCAGGAGCTGCGGGACCTTGGACTGATCTTGAATGCTTAGAGAACTGGGGTAGAGTTAGAGCACAAGATGTGCCCACGGACAATAGGATCAGCGTTATGGAGATGATTGAAAGTATCTGAAAAAAGGATTAAAACATACATCATAAGTTGATTGCGAGCACACGTTTAGAGCTGGTATGGTGCCTTGCATGCATAATTTAATCCTTCAGTATCTCAGTTCTTCTTGACATTCGGTAAAGCAAATTGAAAATTGGGAGAGATTTAATGCGCAGATAAGCTCAGGGAGTAAAATAGATTGCACTCAGCTGACGATTTGGAAACTAGAAGTTTCAAATCAAGCCCAGGATTATCACCCTTATCGGCAAAGAGAGAGCTTATTTCATCCGCTCTGACCAAAAAAAACAATTTTTAATAACCATGATCTGCTTAAAACCAAAGGCAAACCCCCCTCGATGATCTAATGACTGCTAGTTTCTAATTATTGTAATACAAAAGATAAAAAGTAAATTCATTTCAGGATCACGAAAATTACAAGTCAGTTTAATTTAGATTTAGTTATTGCTATTTTTGTGCAGCAATTACTTTCTAGGAACAATCTGAATTTCTGACAAAGATCCATATACATTAAAAATGTTTGAAACACGGTAGGTTAGCAATGTTCTGCTTTGCAAAATATATCAGCAATGGTATCAGAATTAAATCCGAAATTCGTTTACGAGTTAGTAAGTGCAATGGCGAGGTGATAGTGTGAAGGAAGTAAACGAATGTTTGCCGTGGTAACGACGGTTGTTATCGTTTATATTCAACAGTGAAGACGAATTTGTAATAAAGAATGGAGTCATTCGATTTCATTCACATGGATGTTTTGTTCTTTCGTAAGTACCATGGATTCACCTTTTAATTACCTCACAGAATTAATTATTATGGTTTCGTGTTAAGAAAAATGAAAGAAACTTTGCCCTTGGCCCGAAAACTAAACTTAATTGTTTTTTAATCGCACTGGTTGGTTCGTAAATAACACCGCTAAGCTTGATGCTTTTTAGTTTTTTCCACACCGATAGTCGAAACCGTCAAAATGCTGAATAAATATAAATAATTTATCTTAACTTTCATTTAAGAAGCCGTGCAAACAGACTTTAAAGATTAAAAATGCTCTCTACACGTCAAAAATTTCATTTTGCGGCTTCTAATGCGAAATGAAGCCCATATCCTGTCATAGATGTGTCTGTTTTAATACTTGACATCTGTGTATTGCCATATTAATTTTCCCATGGAGCAACTTTCTTTGCTTGCAAAAAGAATCAAGCAATACTTGTGACAACCATGATATTAAGAAGTCTCCTGCCCGATATGAAACCTTTTTATGATACGCAGTTTGCTCACGAGAGAAATTTCAACGCTTCGATTGAAAAATGTGCTAGACTTTCATTAAGCAGTTTGAGTATTAATTTGCATCTCAAAATGTGGTTATAAGCTAGAGTTATCAGAGTATATCCTTTGTCATTTTCAACAACCGAATGTTTGGTGCCAATTTTTTGTGCCAATTTTTTGTGCCAATTTTTGTCTCAATTTTAGTGCCAATTTTGACCCATATTTTGGAATGGAGAATCGCAAAGCTGAAGCTAAGTTGATTCAGACGACAGTGGAAAAGGCTCCGAATCTAATTTTATGAACAGCTGTCGTGACAAGATATATATAACCTAATACTCAGCGTCTTAGCGATTCATGCAACATCACGAAAGATTCGGACACATCACAGAATTACACTTGCGTTAAAGACGTAAAATGTCCTTAAAGTCGTTTTCTAAAATATTTCCCTAGGAATTTATCTGTAACGGATGGGAAGTCGAAATAATTATTAGTGTTATAATAGAGTGCCCCTAAATAAACAGTGTCTAACCAACGTTGTTGTAGACAATGTGTGGTAAAAGCTATATTTATCGTAAAATGCAAGGAGGTGCAACTAACCTTAGCAGCTTTAGAAGAATGGGGCTCTTCCAAAATTGGCCAAATCTTAGGTTGATATTTCGTCCACCAAGTGAAAGGGCGGCCACAGTCCCTTGCAGGAGTTGAATCCTCCATTCTGTCGCTTTCCAAATCTGTATCCTGATCTTGCTCGCCATCAGGGACATTAAAACTTTTTAAGTTATGCTCTGCTTCTCTGTGCTGAGTGTACGAAGTCCAGCAACAGTGTTCCATTTCTTTTTCGTCGATGCCCCAATATGCGAGTTCTTCCTCGAACAGAGGACCACAAACATCGTGCGGACAATGCAGTTTACCCGTACGATAGTAGTTCAAAACTTGCTCAAATATGCCTGGATGTCGATCAAAGAACAGCTCAATTCTTTCCGAGTCATAATCGATAGCTTTCGTAACATTTTCCACGACCCAGTACAGTCGGGTATCTGGATAATTTTTGACCGTACTTAGATAAGTCTCATGTTTTCGTCCACCAACGTTTAAAATGATCCTTCGCTGAGATGTGTCGACCACGCGAGGTATTATTTCAAATCTCTGTCTAGTTTTCATGTAGTCCCAAAAGACTTCTCACCTGAAACACGAGGTGGATTTAGTACACAACTCAACGCGTCTGTGGTTTATTTAACATCAACTTGCAGTTATTGTTGCCGGGAAGAAACTACAAGATAGAGTCATTTCCACTTGAAAAGGAAACTTAAAATGTAAAATTGCAATAATTGTGTTTGATATTTATGCGGAGAAAACTTTACCAGATGGTTTTATTTACTAGAGAGAAATTCTTACTTTTTATTGGTTAACAGGCATTCTTCTATTGACATTATGACTGTGCAAACGATATTATATGCATGAATTTAACCTTGCTTTTAAAATTATAAATTTTCTTTTAAAGTGGGTGAAACCATATCAACCCAATGGGTTGTTACATTTTGTGTGCTAATAGAAATAAAGGTTTTTTTCTTGTACATTTTATATTCACCGAGTATGATAAAATACGTGAAAGCTATTGTGTTATTTAAACTGTAGGTTGTTAACAAGCTGGTGAGCAGTGCAGAGTACTACAAAGTTGATCTGTGTATAAATAAAAACCTTTTTAGTCTAACGCCTCAGTTTTCCGGCGTAATTATTGACAAAAGCATAGAATGACAATAATGTATTTTGGATCCAATTTGCTCAAGGACATAAGGTTACATTTATCGTTTAGGGAGACTCCTTTTATTTTGAGAAAATATGATATCTCGTGATGAAGCCACTACCGAAAATTTGTGAAAACAACCGAAAAAATCCTACATTAAAGCATTTTTTTGTGTATTCACAATAAGAATTATAACTTTTTTTTTCAACACAAAACAAAATATGACTAGGATATGACCAAATCAGGATGAAAAGTTTGGAAATATCAGTATCAGTGTCATGAAAGTTCTGTTCCTAAAAGGAAAAATTACTTTACAACCTGCTGACTTGCCTATCCTTCGATTCCTTGTGATGGCTTTACATATTCGGGCGCTGAAGTAACTCGTTAGGTTTGCCCATTCAAGCTCAAACAGTCTACAGTACAAAGTGACCAGCGAGACTTTGCATGCGATATTATAAATCATTTCCCGCCGACATCTTCGCGGAAAATTGACCAATAACTGCAATATTCAATAATTTAACAACGGTTGTTAATTTTTAGGAAATAGCGAATCGTATAAGCAACCTTGAACCTTTTAAAACACGAATATCGAAGTAACATTGGCTTAATAGTTGTGTATATCTCGTAAATATTTTGGAGTGAAATAGCGTGATCTTTTTCGATTGTATTAGTATTGTGATAGAGTAATGCGGTACATATCCTGTTGGCTGTTTTCTTTGAATTTCCTTTTTCAGTAATTCAATAGGGGATTTAATTTTCTCGACAAAGCTTCTATTAAGCCAAAGGCTATTTTAGGTGTGGTTACTAAGCAACGTTGTGCCTTCCGCTGCAATGCAATTTGAAAGCACTGCAGGAGTTCTCACTGCGAATGAAATCTAATCCATTTTGAGCTGGGGCAGAAGTTTTTTAATTTTTTCATTGGAAAGTTAATCCAGCGGTAAAGCTTTTATCATCGGAAACATTATCGTAGCATAACAATGCTTACAGTACAGGTAATGAAAAAGCTGTAACGACTTGCTTAATAAAGGAGTTTTGTCTGTAAATTTAAATAATAATTTAAGTTATGACATATCTACAGAAAACATCTGTGAATATATATTTGCAGTAATTATAATGGTGCATGAAGTTTTGCTTCCTAAAAAACTGTCAATCCTTGAATCCGCAAAGATACAAAAACTCACGCCCCGAATTCCTTAGGGGCGTGAGGCTTTTAGTCTTGTTTTGCTTGACGCTAATTGTCTGGTAAATAATTTATCATAATTCTTTTTGTCTTGGCAGATACGGTTAAGATGCAGATAATATTTTCACATGCGGTGGCGGTGTTGTTGTTTAGGATTGCTGTTATTAATTGGCAACTTTTCGCAGGTGGGAATCTCCCGGCTAAATCGTTAAGACCTGTACAATATAAATATTGCCAAAAATCGATAACATTAGGCCCACAAAAACAAGCCTTCTCATAAAATTTCAAAGTCTCAAACTGGTTCTACAAAGATGTCAATGAGATTTTTTCTTTGGATTTTTGACCATATGGGGTTTGATTTACTTTTATTCATTATGTGATATCTGTAATGCAAATTTTATTCGCAAAACCACTAGCATACAAAACGTGGTATAATTTTCTTTCCCGGGAAGGTAATACCCACAACGTTTCATCAGAGAAGTAAGAATAGTATTTGAAGAAAGACAGCGAAATGGTTGTTCTTATGAATAAATTAGTATGCTTCACTTGGCCATGGATTTCTTTTTGTTCCTTGACTTTGATGCTGGTTATGTCATAACATTTTTTTGTCGTCAAATGCATCATCACATTTAATCTACAATGGCATTTTCCTCAGCCATATTTCACTCATTAAGAGGCCATCTCTGCGTCGTCAATTTTTGCAAATTTAATCTTTGATTGGCTTGGCCAGCATCTCACATGGACAATTTACCTTGCCCTACAAATCTAAGAAGTGGACATGACAGACAAAAAGTCAACACCGAGCTGAAGACCTGCCATCTCAAAGTCATTCGCAATAAATCAGGAGCTGAACTTTTGTTGATGTAGATTGCCAAATCTCTCATTATCTGTCATCTTGACCATGAAACTACCTCGTGAAAGATAGTCTGAACGGAAGGACGGAAGCTTTAGTGCAGTTTTGATTATCTCTTCCATAAGTCACCATTGACCTTATAAATTCCAAAATTACTTGATAAATTTTAAGAAGGCCCCAATTTTTATGCAAACCAGAAATTCATATGAAAGGTTCCTAAGCTCAACAATAATATTGACTGGAGGAAAGAAACGAGTCAGTTCTAATCGAAAACTCTGTTTATTTTTTAAAGAAATTTAAAAGTATTCTTCTTTCTTTATTTTTCTCTTCTAAACATCATTTCTCACACATGGTATGAAAAAAAAATAAAACCAACTGGTAAGATCCCAAAGAAACCACTGTTAAAAATTGTCATTGCCCCTGCTAGCAAAGCTTTGAAGTAAGCAAAACAAAAAATAACAATTCAGAATTAATTAACGTCCTGTAAGAATATTTTAGACACTAATTAGTTGTATTCCAGTTCAAAATGTAGAATATATAAGACTTGTCAGCAGATACACCGAGTATTTTCGTTTCACTGGTTATCAGATTTATTAAAAAAAGAAGTTTAGAAGAAAAATAAAGCCATTATTTTTTCTCAACCTACTTAAAAGTCTATTTTCCACGAAAGACTATAGCATAATAAATTCTTTGGGTATCCCACGTCCGTGCATACGATATGAGATGATTTCGAGCAAATTAGTTAGGTATACATCGCCCATCCCATATATACTTCAGAAACGTGCCAAACTCGACTGAAGCACATACAAAGAAAGCTGACGTTTTGGATAGACGCTTCTCCTTCCTAAAGTTTTGCAAATAATAATTCATACAACTGACTTACATTTACTGCCGAGATTTGTGCTTGAGCAAGAGGAGTTGTCGTTACCCTTATCAGGGACTTAAGTGTGAAGTTTTTTTTGTTATTTATTTCAATATTTCAATATTCTGACACGGTTTAACACTTTTAGCACAGATGCTACCTCCGATATTGAGTTCGCTGTATGCCGCAACACTTGAAAGGCGAGTTCTACTAATTGGCTATCTATTTAACCAACAGTGCTTTATTTGCGGTCGAACAGCGACGTGAAAACATGGAAACAATTGTTGTAAATAATTTTGGTATCCTCGAAATAATTTTGCTAATTTACAAAATGAATTGATGTATGGATAACAAAAGAAATACATTTAAAAAGTTATAACGGAAAAAAATCCCCAAGCTCTCTACAGTTTTATCTCATTAGTTTTGTATCTTTCAGGTCGGAACATTTCAGTCTAGAAAAAAAAGATCTTCCTTTCTCGGATGGCCGATGTTCATGCCTGCCGTGTGTATGTTTACCTCAGAACTTATCGTCCAAAACGGTGTCCTCAAAGAAGAACAGGAAAGAACGTTATCAGTTGTTGTCGTAAACGAACTTTTATATAAGCAGGAAGTAAGAATGCATGAGAGATTTTGTCGTTCAGCGAGGAAATATCTGCTGGTCAGAAACTTTTCTTCAGAATCGTAAACACAATGGTGCGTGACTTAGTATTATTCGGCTTCGCCGGAGGAGAGATACATTATATTTGTATTTAAATTGGTAAAATTTATTTTACCAATTTAGCATTCTCAATAAAAGTTGGATATTTTTCAAAGTTGTAATCTACTTGTCTCAATATCAAAGATTCTGATTACCAGCGAAGTGTTCCCATCGGATTCTCCTTCGCGAAATTTTGACTAATTTTCACAATATACCTGTGAAGACAAATTCAGTGAATTTCATATTGCGAACAAATTTTTGTCTAGGGATTTGATTTCCTGGCTTCAGATATTATAAAAAAGCATGCATGGTGGTCATAAATGGAATTACATCTTCAGAAACATCTGCAAGATGTTTCACACACAGCGGAGCTACAACTTAAAGGGAAACTGATTTGTGAACAAAATTTTTGTTATACACACGAGTATTCAGTTTTGACAACAAATCTTTATCTTACCTTGTACAAAAATGATTGTATTTCCCTGCGCTTATTCACCTCTAATACCAAAAGGCACCTGAATAAATCTCTGTCTTTAAACACAAATATACACTAGCTTTGGATAAATTATGTAAATAATTTACACTGAGTTGCGTGGGTTTGCCAGGGTATGATGGGTGGTGTTTTTATTAACTTATTGTTAACGTATGAACCTCATTTAATTCGGAAACGTCGAAACGACCAGCAACTTCTGTTGGGCAGGATAATCCTTGTGTTCTATGGCATTGACTTTCAAATTGACATTTTTGATGCGTGTTTAGTTTCTCTCTGAAAAACCGAGAAAGATATTAGTTTCTATGGCAAAGCCAATGAGAATGAAACCAATCAATGAATTTACAGTACCATTAGTTCATTTGCAAGTCAAAATATTACACGCCACCTCATTATTTGAACGATTAACCAACAGCGATTATTGTTGTGTTTTGTGGGTGATAGTCAAAACGGATTTAATAATTTTCTTTCTTAAATAGCTCTGGTTTTTCAAACTTTAGAACAGATTTTCGTGGCAACAATTCTGCAGGTAATCGAGTAAACCCGAAAAAAATCACTAAAAGTAAAATAGTCAAGTTACAAATGGTGAATACGAGCTGTTTGCTAAATGTAAGTCAAACTCACACAAAACGCCCGTTTAACATAACTACCAAAAAAGTGATAAAGCAGTTTGTGGTTGTTTTGGTCACTTTAATTATTAAATACGTCAAACCACCTTTTCAATCAGCCAGATGCAAAATTAAGACCGATTACGATTGGCTATGAGCGTTCTCTTGGTCTCTCAGCACCATTTACCTTGATATTTCTTTGCTGGTCTTTGTTTTGTCGAGACACATGCTTTCGCCTCGATTTATGCTCACTAAATCAAGTCCTCGCCATACTGAAAGAGTCCAAAATTATCAATGAATTTCTCTTTGTAAGACCGATCGTCCGTTCAAACTAATTTAAATAAGTTTGTTCCAAAATGTGATTATTAATTTTTTTTCTGCCACGCCACTGTTAACCTCACATCTTCATGGCCCAACAAATTCTGAACAAAACAATCTGTTATGTATAACGCATGCTCAAGATGTGCACAGTAGCCTTGGCGGTCAGCAGATTATCATAAAATAAAAAGGTTACGTACGATAGTGATTTTATTCACCCACATTATGAAACCTCGCCGGCTTTTCCAAATTTCTAACTTTACAAGACCCTCCCTTGATGCCGAAAATGACGCATATATATCGGTCAACATTCGTTTAAAAAGTTTAGAGGAAAGATACAATCCCCGGTTCATAAATGAAGTATTGACGAAAGATCCTTGAGAATATTCTTTACCTGATGGTGGCATCGATGATGTCACAAGCAAGGAAAGAATCACAATTTTTCTGAAATGCCTTTTCCAATTTGCGAAACAATTTAAACAATTTGCCACCAATTACTTATGTGAACTGAACATCTGCTAGATAAAGATTGATGCAAGCACGAAAGTAAACCGAAGAATTGGGAATTACTCTCAACAATTTTGATTGAAATTCTCTAACAGCCGCCATTTTGAACGGCTAAGTATGACATCATATGGTTGTTGCTGTATAATTTCTATTTACCGTATGTCCATTGTCACAAGTTTCTCGAGGAGACGGTAAAAGATGTATTGCACTTCGTAACTATGTCACAACTTAAAATAGCCCCCTCAACCATGTCAAACGTCTTAAATCACCGTGTGAGAACGCTTTATATGTATTTCGATGATTTTTCATACTACAGATTTCATATTTCCAATAGTTAAACGAAAATTTGCGCTTTCGGTAGATTTATTTAAGACGATGTGAAAAAATAAGTTTCTACAATTAAAAACTACCTCCAGTAATAGCTATATCCGTACAGTAGTAGAAGCAGTTTACGTGTCATAGATATCAATAATTTTCATAGGTATAATTTTATTTTGGTGCAATATCTCTTATTGAAAAGTCAAACAAAACGAGCAGAATAAATTTGAACGATAAAACAGATTTCCTAATAATTTTTTAAAATTTATTGCTCTCCATAACAAGAATAAAACTTTGGTTTCAAAAAAGTTTTGATATTTTCGTGAGAGTAAGTGTTTTTATGATATCTTACCGCACAGACTCATTCTTTTGAGCCAGGGCAATGAATTAAAATTTGAAAACCAAGAATTGAAACTGTATATACTTGAGTGATACAATTCAAAACCTACCGTCAGGTTAAACGTGTAAATCTTCTTTCTCGTTATCACTGACAGTTGAATACTGATCTTACTCGATCACCAAACTTGAAAAACAATTTGAAATCCTCTCATCTTGTGCCGAAAGAAGCCGACAATCTAATTACCTGTGGCTGCCTAACCATCTCAGCTGATCAAACAATTAAGATCTATTTTTTTCTTCCGCTTTAAAAGGATTTTTACTCAAAACCATTGATGAACTAATTAAATTTCTTTTTGAATCAACGCTTGTTTCACCACTCAGTGATAATGGTCTTCTCGGAAACAATCTGAACAAGTTAGATTGACTGCCGATATTGTGGAGACTTTCACCTACTGATATGAACATCGAACACAAAAACTTTTGCTATTGTCTCTGGATTGTCCCTTATCTTTAGTCTGTAATTTTCAAGACTTTTTGCTATCATGCCGCCAATAAAAACTTTCTTTATCTGTTTCTTCCTCAGTAGCGCAGAAACCTTCTTAGCCCAAGACCTAATGGAAAATTTTGATATTGAACAATACTCTTTTATTTTAAACAGAAATTGCTCAAAACGCGCAAAAACCTTTTGCATAAAATGGCTTTAATCAACTCATAGATAAACTTAATTCGACTCTGTTCCAAAGAACGTTTAAAAATACTATTAGCGTTCAATTTTTTGCACATACACTGTGGAATTTACTATTTGACTTAATGAAATTTAAGTTAATTAGATGTCTAGCTACCCACTTTAGTTTTGTCGAAAAGAAGGAATTTGTTTTAATTAATCCCAAGGCGTACACGCAACGTGACAACCTGGCCTTGTGCAAATGGAAGGATGATGGCTGGACCCCCATCGATTTCCGTTTGATTTCAATATCTAAAATTATTTCAGCGCCAATTTATAGCCCGCATAATAATAAAGATACGGCAGATTTAGTACTTAGCTGGGGGCGTCTTTAACTCATTTAAAATGGGAATTTATTTTAAAGACACAATACTTTGTCACCACTGAAATGTGGTTTATTCCTTGTTTGCCTCATTCTCTGCTGAATGAGTAAGGTTACAACCTTGAATGAAAAAGTCCATTCAGTGTCTTTAATGTAACTTACTTTCTTTACTGCATATCAATGAATCATTCTAATAAAAATTCTAGCTTTATGTATTACTCAATGCCTTTGAGTAATGCTGGATCAATAAATTCAGAACCTATCGACCCGTTTCATCGGAGACAACCGTACTATAAATCGTCAGCTGCTATTATGAGTGTCTAGAATTCTCTCGGCGAAAGCCATAAGAAAGACTTTAGTTAGTTGCAATCCCTTCGTTGTAATTCCAAGGTTGAAAACCCATAACGTGCTGCGTAAACAAATTACACTGTTATTTTTTCAGAAGATTATACTTTTTTTCTCAAGCCTTTGACAAAGGGACACTCAAGTTTATTGTAAAGTATAAATTGTACACATTTATGATTACAAATTAATCCAATTTAATGAATATAGTTCAACAGGTTTGCAAGTCAACCTGGGATAGTTCTCAATCTGCACGGAGCTTTTTTGTAAATTTTGTCTTTTACTCCTTTGGATAAATATTAGAAAATGCTCGTTATTTATCAGTTTGGTTTTATTTTTAGAGTGAAGTGGTGAAAACTTGCTCTGTCATTTTGCTATTTCCAAAGTTTGTTACATCATTTTCATTTATCACAGCAGCATTTCTTAAGGAGGTTACCTTATTGACGCCAAGTATTCCTCTTCTTTTTGAAGATGTGCGATTTAACCAGGAGAAGGCAACTCGTTGGAATTTCTTTTCTCTAAACACATAAATCAAAGGATTAACCAGTGAGTTTATTGTGAATGAAGACAAGATTATCAGCTGTCTAATTTCTCTCATGGAGTCCTGACGTCCGATTGAAGCCACTACCATGGCGGGAACGAACCATAACACAAGAGTGCTCAACATGAGGACAAATATTACTTTAGACACTCGTAAATAAGCTTGTGTTCTCATCCGCTGATTCTGGTTTTTTACCACTCTGTATATCCGCAGGTACATGCCACAGCACGTAATGAACAATATAGAGCTACTTGCAATTAGTGCTCTCTCTACGTAAGAGTCAATAGATTTCCCCGATGTGTCGACTCGTGAGCATAAAGCTCCAGAGAAGCTTTGTTTTCCAATCAGCGTGGATAAACTTGCAAAAACAACAACAACTGCAGAAAACCATAGCAATTTAGTTGCTATGGAGAAAGATCTGTGGCGCAGAGGAGGCTTTGAAAGGTTTACTATGCGTCTGTAGCGATCTAACGTCAAGAAGAACAAAACAACTGGCTCCACGAGTTGCCCGATGGAACGAATTGAAATTATCAGCGGGCAGATAAATCTCCACCAAATATCATAGTATTGCTCTGTTTCCTCATCTACAATGGAGAGGACGGCAGTATGAATAACAGCAACCAATAAATAAAGTGCAATCAAGAGATCACATACTGCGACATGTCCAGCTAAGTACATAGTACTGAGAGATCTAAGCTGGTATTTAGAAAAAATCACGGTCATTGTTAAAGTGTTAACCAGGACAGCTGAGATACTGAGAATGAAGATGAAACTTTGTAGAATAATGCTTTCCTCGAAGAGAGATGGAGATGACGACGAAGCAATGCTAATTTTTGGAGAAGAAACGTTTTTACTTGTCAATACATTATCAGTTTCAGGCTGCTCATCATTGACATCTGACAAAGGATTCGATGGAACTGTCGCCAAGGTTACATTTGTACAATACACCATGGAGTTGTTGCAGGAGCAATTTCCATTGCAACTGAATACCTTTCTCTGGAAAAAGAGAAGTCCAACAGCTAAACCCAACATTTGTGACATCATCGTGCAGGTGTGCATCAGATTCTGAATGGATAGTACAAAAGAAACTCAAAAACACACTCAAATGAATAATTTTATCCGCAACAGCTTTGGAGGATCTCATAATCATATGCATCCAAACTTATTTTCACACATATGCTGCAATTTTAGAGACAATGATCCCAATATCAAAGCTAGATGACATCACAAATCTAACTGAGACTCGAGATCAATCTTCTTTGGTCCGCCATTTTATATTTTTTCTTTCATTTTTTCAGAGCCGTTAGCGAAGTCTCTAAATTTACTTGCATGGCCGGATATGTTAGAAAGCAGAAAAATAAACAAGCTTGAAAGGTTTTGGGAGCTATGCTTGTTCCACAAAAAGTGTTTAGAAAATAATTTATCATTAAGGACGATAAAGAGGTGAACCAAGATCAATCTAAACGTTTCAAATGAACCGAATCTCACCACAGTGAGTGAATTAGGCAACAAAACTTTTAAAATTGTTTCGTTTACATCTTGGTAACCCAAGGCAATCCTTCAGGACAATACTACAATTATGTTTCCTCGTGTGATAAATTTAATTAAAAGTTAACTTTTAGTTCAGCAGTTCAATTCGCTTGTCAAAAGTGAATATAAAATTAATTTGAACTGTCACAATGATAAAAAATCTCCAATTTAACCTCCTCGTTCGTCAATAACAGCCGTGTGTTGACTTCAACAGTAATTGCTATTTATAATTTTTTCGACAATACGTCCGATTGTGAAAGAAAAAAACACCTTGAAATTCTGCTTTTAAACTCAAAATTTCTTTTTTCTTTGACCATTCGTTTCCAGCAAAGTGATTCATAATGTCAGAAATTTCAACTTCCAGAAACACCTACAAAAACTAAGTTCTATTTTTTGTCAGCCCTCTTTTAGAAACTGTTGTTTTCATATCATCGAGTTTTCATTGAAAAATATGAAAAATATGTTAACAGCCTATAGGCTGTAAGATTGCTCACTGTAAAAATCTTCAATCTTTTAAATGATCAAAAGTCTGTGCGAGATAGAATGACGTTCTTCAAGAGCTTTCCATTTTGATGAGTGCTGATTTAGTAACGAAAAGAAAAATGGGAATTTCTTCGCCATTTTCAGCATTATTTTCAGAATCATTAGCGACAAAAATTCCAATATGCTTCTAGAAATTTTCCTTAAAATGAGGATTGTGTAGGGTAGTGTTGCTGTGTACTCACCAGTAATGAGAGGAAGGAAAACTCCAACAGAAAATATCACCAGCGTACACCGAGGCTATTATTTATAAAAACAGTGCCAAAGACAGCTAATAGCCTGCTCAGTCAACACAAAGCCTCCAAGTAATATTCTGTGTTCTGTGTTGTTTGTTTTTCGCTTTTAGTAACATCTGTGTTGCTGTTTCTCTATTCTCAGGACTATCGCCTCCCTTGAGCTCAAGAAATTAGGATGAAAAAAAAATAAAAGCTTCCAAGCTGACCGAAACATACCACTAGAATGGTTTTATTTGCTTTTGGCAAGTGAATAGGTGCATCTAATCTATATTTCACGGTTTTAAAGAGTTAATGTTGGAAATGTTCCTTGAGTGCACTATTTCACGAGCTGAATTGCAATTACATAGAAATTTAATTTTCAGCTTTAAGAAAATGCTTTTGTGACGGAAGTTCTAAATGAAGCGGGAAAATTTTTTATCGCAAGATTACGGAATCCATTGTTCTCTTAATGGTAGTTTTTGTTCCATAACAGGTCTCAAAAATTATCTAAATTAACATAAAACAAAGGACTTTAAAGAGCTCCGTGGGGGTAACAGTTCATTTCTAAAATCATCGCAATCCTTCTTCGTGACATTTTCCCAATGGTGAAAAAAAAGGCTTTTTCTTCAGTCTCTTAGAGCAGTGTCTAGAGAAAACATGGATGAATATTTAGACTTATGATTAGTGCCTCTAAAAGTTGCTTCGACACATTTTGAATAATTTTTTCGACTAATATTCGACACTGTGAAACTAAAACAGGTGAACCTGAACATCAATTTGGTAAAATGTTGGTAGGCTTTTACTCCTTTCAAGAAATTTCTGCCAGCCGTTCTACTTTCTTCTCGAAAACCAAAAACAACAACTTCAATCCATTAATATTAATCAGACCGAAAAAATGCTTCTTTCAAGGTCTTACTTACATGTAGGAAGGAATTAAATACTCTGGCATAGAGCAGAAAAGACAAACAAGGTAAAAAAATAAACAAACGAACAGACAGAGCAACAGCAAGACACAAATAAACAAAGTATTGATAAAAACTAAGAAAAACAATCTTTTTAATGCAACGCGTCTTTTCCTAATTTTTGTGGCCAACTCGCACAAATTGTTTCAAGCCTAAGGGAGGACAGGTTTATTTACGTAAATCCATCCTCAAAAGCTCTTGAGACATTAGCCGACCCGACTGTTGACACAAATTAAAATATTTTAAATTTTTCCTAGGTGTAGCCTCAGTTATCACATAACTTTCCTTACTGTTAAAGTCTGATTAAGGCAGACGGCGCAAGGATAAAGAATAAGATATTTTTCTTAACGTGGATATCAACAAAAAATTAAGTTGCATCCCCTATTAACTATTACTTATTGCGTGTACCTCTAAAGATTAAACTCGAGTCCGATCGTTTTCTAAACATTTTCGGGGTGATAATATGTCGTACACACAACAAATTTGACAAGCAGTAAAGATCTATACTTACAAGGATCGACTTCCGCGACTGAGTGTCAGAGAGAAAAATTCCAAGCAGGAGAAACACTATCTAAATCGCATTCAAAACCAAGAGCAATATGACCTGTCTTCTTTATTATTAATTCACGACAATGCAGACAGGTCAACTTCCAAACAGACTGCTCAAGATCGTTGGCGGTGGACTTAATGTTTTAACATATTTTCGTCCATTTGTAAAGATATTAAAACTCAATTTGAGCTCAAGAATAGATCTATAAACACTATTTTAGTGTCGCCGTTGAAGTGGGTACGGTTCATGTGAAGCGAGTGAGGGTGTAAATCTTTTCGCTCGACTAAATGACTCTGATTTGCATAAAAATGGACGGCTTTGCGTATGAGTAAAATCCCTTTCTCATAAAAGGAAACTCGGAAATGGTCTATTAAAATTCATTTCCAAAAGACTATTTAGTTATTTTCAATATTTATAAGATGGTTTTTTGAAAAATGAAAAAAACTTATTTGATTTTTGCTGAAATAACTTCGATGTTTATTCAAAACAGCACCTGGCCTGTTTTTTTCTTTTTCCTATCTTAGAAATTCTTATCGCAAATGAGAGTGATAGCGGCCTCTTTGCTGAATGTCTCTATCATAAAAGCTCTCATGACCATAGTAGTCAAGCATGAATTTTTACCATTGTGAAGAAATAAAGAGTGCAAATTGATGAAAATATTGCAAATTTACAAATTATTAACTTCAACAAACAGACACGTATTCTTTGGAAAATTGTTGTGTATGCAAATGTTATTCTGTAAATTCATCAACAGAGAAGTTTAAATTGGAAATGCAGTGATCCTTGCATAATTCTGAAAGCGTTATCTGTCACTTCTTGTCAAAGGAGATCAAAGGTTGAATGATTAAGCCACCCCTTAGAGGTCGAAGGCGGCAGTCTGACTCAATTTCCTAGGTCTGACGCGACACCAAATCTGGCATTGCTTGATATTTTGGCTACGAACGAACACGAAACTTGTCGGGCCGTCCACTTGGCTAATAAAAGTAGCATGTGATTGAAAAGGAGAATTACCTCAGATTTAATATCGATTTCAAAGATTCATACAATTTGCTAGTTATGCAAAACCTTTTCGTAGACTACTTTAGAACCGCCTACAAATCCCTTGTATTTCCCTTGGTATTCATACAAGCATTAAGATAAGCGTTTATACCAAGAAAAATAGATAAAAAGGGAGATATTTCATGGTATACGGCGAGAAGTGTTGCACGAATTTTTTATGCCCTATCAAAGAAAAATTCAGGCCATCGCTATCGATCAACATACTCGCAGACTTCTGTGGAATGACTTTCAATTAGGTTTTCATTGTCAGCGATCTAAACAACGTTATTCAAATTGTTGAAGCAAAATAATCAAAATAAAGAATACTAAGAATGCACAAAAAATAGAGATGTTATTGTCAACCACTCGAAGGAAGCTGCGATGGCGCTGCTTGCTAAATTTCTGTGGGAGTATGATCGTTGTGCACGATGGGAAGGTCGGGTGTTCTACCGTCGGACAGATAAACGATTTTACTGTATTTTGATTGGCTGTGTTCTCTATTGCATGTTATAATACCTACTATCTTGTCCCTCCTCAGCTCTGTCACGTGACTACCACGGTCAAAAGAGAGGGAGTATTTGAGCCTAGACACTTGCAGTGTGCTTGTTGTCAGAGTCAGTGTGATCACTGTTTTCGGAGCAATTGCGTTCTTGCATCTTGGATGATATATTTATTTCAAACTGCGTCTGTTAAGTGCAGAAATTTTATTTTCATCATTGATAAAACATTTTAAAGCGGTTGTTTTCGGTTTCATTGTTAGTAACGTCTCCTCCACAGAGGGTTTCTCCCCAATTCTGCCAATAAAGAAGAAAAGAGAAAAAATAAAATGCATGATATCTGAATCTTGTTAACGAGGTGTAATCTTATGAAAGAGCCATTAGTCACTATTCAGCCTCGGCCGTTGTTAGTATTTTCTGCTTGAGTTGGAGGATATAAGTATGGTTATCGATTTACAAACTGGAACCTTGACGTTTTATTAACGAAAAGTGTTACTGAAAATAGAGACATCCCATTACTGTGGATACTCAGAAAATTTGGAAAAACTCACCGAGATTGGCATATGATTTTTCTTTGCTTATTTCATAGCTAATGCTGTAATCGGCCCAGAAAGCATTGCCGTCTCAAAATTTTATCTCCAATTCAACAAATTAAAACCATAAGGAGAGATGTTATTAGTTTTTCACCTTGAAAAAGCAAAGCTGTTAGACTTGATGATGTACTTACGATGTGGGACAGCTTGGTCTAGATCTTTAGCAGGCCATTGATTCTCGACGAGTCGAAAGCGTTCTGTTATTTCATCTCTTCCATGGCGAATGAAAGAGGTCGTTTGTTGCACAGAAAGCAGAGTGATCAGAATGACATAAGTTAGGGCTAAAGAGATCTTCATTCTTTTGATGATTCTTTCTGAATAAATTATTTTAAAGGAAAACGTTAGAAAGACAGAAATAGCAAAAGTTTCTCTGTAACCACAACTCTCCACAATGCAAGTACCATTTTTTTATTCGCGATAGTAGTTCATCTTCAATTCCGAAAAATTCGATCAGATTATTTACCAAGCTGATTTATGAGAACATCTTTCTTTCAATGATATCTTTGCTATCTTTAGGTGGAATGTTTATGGCTTAGCTGAATCTTGGAGAATGTTTTCAAGTTCTCTGTAGCTCACTTAAAATTTATCAAAAAAATTGTTTTCTTTGGAAATTTCGCATAAAAAGTACGGCTGTAAAACCATTCCGACCTTTTTCGCAACTGTGTGAGAAATCTTGTAAAGAAAAAAAGACGATTGTCTCGAAGAACGCAACTGAACCAGAACGAAGCAAATATATTAAGTACGATAAATTGATCCTTAATTTGGAGATATATCATTTGAAAGCATGAAAAAGCAAAGCTTTGTCACTGCTATAAAATCAAGGCCATAAAAAGGATTCAGATGGACGTAGTCCCATACGAACTATGCTAACCTCAAAAGGATTTCCTATACGCCTCTCCTGTCTTGTCATCTACTCCCTAACCTTTTGATAACTTCATACACCTGAGCTTTATTTATTTACACGCCGTGGGGATAATTTTGTCGCATAACCTCTAATTCAAAAGAGTTGACTTAAATTGATTGCTTTCAAGAAGTGTATACTATTATGCCTCAGCTAATAACGAGACTGAAGAACAGGTGGCTTCCTTGTTCTTTTTCTGCTCTTTAACTTTTATATTTCCATACTTCTGATCTTTATTCATTTGAAGCCTTAGAATTAATTTCTGCTCATAAAAAATTAAATTATTTAAAAGGTTAGGCCTAGAGTGATTGCCCTAAAAAAATTCATGATATTCCCCAACCAATTATAAGACTTTATCTATAAGCGCAAAATTGACGGATTAACCAAATTTTAAGGTTTACTTCAACGCTTAACTTATCTTAATGTGTGGTAAGTCTAAGTTCATATTGCACTAAAATAGTGACTTTGGTAATAAAGTACATGGTAAGTGTTTGCTTTTCTCATTCAAATACTTGCAATTTAATGCCAAGAGATTTGTTGCAACCTAAACCAAATATAGAATAGGCACTTATGGTGGGGTATAAAAAAAGAATTTAACGAAAGGCATTAAGAATTAAATAAAATGATCTGTCATTTCGCTTAAAGGGATATCGCAAACAAGATCAGCCAAAGCTAGTCAACTTTAATTAGAGTTACAAATTCAGAGGGTCTTAGTATTGAGCGAGTAATAGATGTCGGCCACATAAAAGCACATTGTTCGATGTAACCTGTTAAAGGCGGATCAAATAAAGATACTATTCCTCCTTCCTCAATAGTATTAGTACAAGCTGACTCCTTGGGTTTTTTCTAGTTCGTCCTCGATTATAAATTTTTTGATGCGTTTCAAAAACCAAACTCTTAGTCGCTGATTGTGTTAACCCATTGACCCTAAGAGTGACTTGCATCTAATCTAACCCCTGAACCAAAACATTAAAGTAACGAGAATAAAGGAGATGATCACCAACTAAAGAGGCTCTTGACTGATAGACAAACTCTCCTTTTCAGCTCCCAGTAAATTTCTGTAGAACAGTATGGAGAACTGATGTCAGGATGTAAATGGTTGACGTCCTGACAGCGTGACGCTTTCATGTCACTGAAATACTTAAGATATACTTAAGAAATTGTAATATTATTACCTCGCTGACAGACAAGATATCAGGAGTCTAATAATGATTTGAGTGAGTTAATCCTTCTTGAACAGTGGTGATTCAATCGGTAGATAGAATTTACTTTAAAAGCAAAACATTATCCGACTGGATAATAGATTAGCTTGGTCACATTTTTAAATGGAAACATGACGTCATGACTTTCGCGCCAACTCTCTCAAAGCAACCCGTTAAAAACATATTTGGTTTTGAAAGACGATTTGAATAACAATCGTTTGATTATCATAACTTGATTTTTCTTCCTCTTTTGCTGATTTTCTGGAAATGACAATCAAATATCTAGTAGATCAAGTTCAGTCAAAGAGAACGCTTAAAACTACTTTACCCGACAATTAGAAAAGCGAGCACCGCTGACTAACAACCACTCATGTAGGAAGCAAGTGGGAAGAGACAATCATGCCATGTGTAATGCATTTCTTCCGAAAATTTTCAGTTTTTAATGTAATTTTGATTAAAACTTTGAGAGGATTGAAAAAGGTTTCCTTGGTGAAGGAACCAAGGCATATTTCTATTCTGTTTTACTAGTTAACATGATTTTCTGTTTTTATTTGGGGTTAAGATGGCTTGAACTTTAGTTCTGTTTGATTTCCATTTAAATTACCTATTAAATTGTTATTAATAAATGGATAGATAAATAATTGAAAAAATGTAAGCTTCAAACAGTCTTCTGTACTTCAGCTCCTTTTATTATAATGTCTGCTTTTTCTGGTGTTGTCTCTCTCAGTTCTTTTTTACCCAACCGTCTGGAGGTTGCGCGGCGTGCAACCAGGTGACAATTCTGTCCCTGACAGCTCGAAATAGATAGTTTCTTATTTCAAGCATGAATTGATAAACTTTACACCCGTTTGAAAAAATTTCAAATCTTATGAATTTTGATATTTGAAATTGTAAGCTACTAGATAAGTAGCAGAAGTTATTTAACTTGTTCCTCCTCGGCTATAAACCCGTCTGCGTCTGCGCCATTCAAGTCACTCTCATTTCCTTCGGAACCCTTTCGCATCATCTTCGGAGCTCGGTTTTTCCGAGTGGTGCAATCAAAATTTGATCGATGGCGATCACGAGACGAAGGGCTTGAAAATCCTCGGCCACATTTTTCACAGGTGTATGGTTTCTCACCTGTGTGCATGTTCATGTGAAATTTAAGTTCATACGACTGCGCAAACGCTTTGCCGCAGAATTCACAGATGCAAGGCTTCTCTTTGGTATGCGTGCGTCTCACGTGACTATCATGAGCTGCATGGGAGGCGAACGCTTTTCCACAATGTCGGCATTTAAATGGCTTTTCTCCGCTGTGTTGTCGGATGTGGGTCCGTAGAATGGATGACGCAGTGAACGCCTTGATACAATAGGGACACTTATACGGCCTTTCCCCACTGTGTACCCTTAAATGCTTGTTTAAGCTCGAGGACTGTGAAAACCGCTTACCACACTGATTGCATTGATGAGGTCTGTGTTTTTCATGGACATGCAAGATATGTATGCGAAGACGGTCACGCTTTTCGAAGGAGCGGTTGCATAGGTGGCATGGGTACTTCCGGTCACCTTGGTCGACACATCGTGTGTACTTGAGGTGCTTGTCACGGTAATATTTGTAGGCGAAAACTTTACCACAACGGTCACAAGCAAAGCTGTCTCCACCTGATGGAAAATGAGATTGAAATAAGCTCACAGTCAACTAGATTAAGTTTAATCAAGCGAGGACTAGATTCACACAGAAACATCATCGCTATGAAGTCCTCCGTCAGTAAATTATAGCTCACTTCCGTGTCCAGAGATTGTGTAATGGTCTCTGGAATTTTCAACCTATGTTACGAATTTTGCCTGCGGGAACATCTCATGCGGGGTACAGGAGAAATAATGTGGCTAGTGCTGACAGCGTGCAGAGTGAATTCAAACAGACATATTATCAGGAATAGATTTAAGCCTTTCTTGAAATCAGTTTTTTGGAAGGAAAGAAAGAAATTGAAAATTGTAGCTGTTTCCTCGACGTCATCATTGATGTTGGTATCGTTTATTTTGGAATAAACTTGTTTGGGTGAGATTTTAAATTACCTGTTAGACAAATGAGTACAGGCTAGTAATTGGATTTATCTTACGCCTTTCGATCGTTTGTGCAATTTACATCCATTAAAGAACATTTCTCATGGCAAAAATTGGATTTTTTTTCTTATTACGAGGTCAGGGATTCGCTGAAAAGTCCATAAAGTCAAACTCAACCATTTTCCCAACAAACTTGTGACCGGCTGAAAAACTTCGTTTAAACTTTCTTTAAATGTTACTTGAATGATAAAATACAAGCCTAATTCCGTACCGATTCCTCCTTCATTGTCCATCTTGGTCATTTTGGTTTTCATGGTGATGGGAATACCCATATATTTAAGGTAGCTATCCCCATACCAAACCAAAAGTTCGCTTCCTTCAGCAATGTCCTTGGAGACTTCATAAAACAGCTCTCCATCTTCTTGAATGAGTACCAAGTTCTGCTCGGCCTCGTGCCTTGCACAATTGACGTATTTCATCCAGTTTGTTTGGTCGCCTGCTCCGTCTACATAATGTGTCAATTCTCCGTCTTGAAATATCTGAAATATTAACAAATACGAAAGACTGTAAGCTTTCAATTTTACTGACAAAGTGCTCCATCAATGCAGAATAGTTAGATTTGGTTGGCCTCATTGGATAAAATTCAGTTTTATAAAAGAATTCGAGTTCTCTTATTTTAGCTTTGTTACAGTCTAAAGTGATAAAAATATCAAATCTGAAAAAACCAAGTAAACACGCATATCGGCGTCTACAAATCTATTCATTCTGAAGTAAACTTAGTGCTGACAGTACTGTGTTCTTTGGACATCAATATGACCGCTGTTCTTTCGTTTTGGTAACCAATTTGGTCACCATGGCGTCATGTGAAAATGACCTATATGCAAATTACCTCCCAGACGCAGTTCTTTTCCAGTGATCTCAAATCCAGCGGTAAAACAATACTCCCCGTGTACGGACCAAACCGTGTTCCTTTGGAAATCCTCCGCTGGCCACAAAACACTGCTCTGTGTCTTCCAGTCGGTAAAACTGTCTCCACAATTTTTACAGTCTCAGGTAAGTTTTGAACGTACAGCTCTTCATGAAACAACTCCATATATGGCATGGGGTGGCACGTGGTTGTTTCTTGATGAACTTGAGAAATGTTGGCAAGCCATGGGTTCCACTGGATTTCTTCAATTGAAAAGATTCTGTCAGATGTCACATTTTAGCCTCAGAAGTTTAGCGGTTTCTCATGCAAATGCTTAACTCGTGGAAATATAGCAGAGTCAATTATTTGTCTCCAGCAAAACTATATAGTTTTAGAATGCAATGAGATGCCAGTTTTCCAGACCAATGTCACAGCAAAGGAAGGCAAATTAACAAAATTTATGATTATTTACGACATTTCATTAAAAAATTGCGGCAAGGTAAACTCGGTCAACTTATTAAAACCACTGTTTTCTTATGTTAATCATTAAGCGCTACTTATTCAAATGTTCAACCAGCCCTCCCCATTAACCAATCATGAAGAGTCACCTGCGCATGCTTACCACTGTTTGGTGCGTTGATGTAGATTCCAGACAATGCAAATCCATTGTTTGTTTTTTCTGGAGTGCGAATGTATCCGTAAAGAACATTGTCAATGTCTTGTTGAGTAAATGTAAATGGAAAATACACAGAGGAATCAGCGTATTCCATCATTTACAAATACAAGCTGAAAGATGAAAACGCAACGCGGTTTGAACAAAATTGAACAACGAAAACCTTCCTACTGTTTAACAATAACCTGTTATCTGCATAACATACGCTTGGATGAGATGTTTAAAGGGTCACGTGTTCTATCAGAATCTTGAGAACACGGCAGAGCCTGGGTTCAAAGAGAAAATTTGGAAAACCTTTTTCCTCATGAATAAAGCAGCATAGATGAAAGATTTATGAACAAACTCAATTTTCCTGGCGTTGTCGTCGGTTGACATTTCAGGGCCACAGTCGGCAACCGTATTATCCGCTCATTTGATATAAGTGTTATTTAAATTTCAGTCATATCTGATATATGGAAAGCGCTTCAAACAATATTGGATAAATATCGTTACAGAAAGACTCTGAAAATTAATAGTTTTTAAGCAGAAAAACGCTCGAAAAAGATATGCAAGAGATTTTCCCAATAGCTTTGAAAATAAAATATATTGTGAAAATCAGTACTGCTTCGTGAATAAGGTCCAATTTATTTTCTTTTAATTAACTATATTAAATCTACATATGTCGTGGATGCTACAAAGAGCAACAAACATCAAAGCGGCCTGGTTAATGTAGTTCTGGATCTAAAACAGCAAAATATATCGTACTCAATATGAATTGCTTCCGTTATTAAAAAAGAAATTTCAATAGACTTGGATTTCCTATAGTTAGAATAGTAGTTCTGATTGGTTTAATATCCACCAGCGAAAAAAAAGATCGCAAATTATTGCTGTGTCATTTTTTAATTGCCGGAAACTTTACAATCTGTTCCTAACAAGGATTTTCCCCAAATTTTAAGCCATTGGAAAACTGCTTTACCTTGATTTCACGTAAACTTTAATGCTATTTCAAGTTATTTAATTTAAAGTTTTATTTGATCAAGTGAGTTTTTTTTCTTCTTTTTGGCTTTGGTGAATGCCAGAAAATAAAAACGCAACCCGAGCATGTTCAGCTGACTTAAAGATAATGGGAAACAATTTTTTTAATCAATTGTTCGAATATAGAAAGCAGCGTTAAAATTATACAAAAGCGCCAAATTATTGGTATAATAATATGGAATAAATAGCTCTTCTACTCATCAGATTTTGCGATCTTTGATTTTGCTCCGGCCTTCCCGGAGCCGAGTTTTCTCTCTAACCACTGAACTGGCTCAAAACAAAAGCTAAGAAATAACTAAGAAGGTACAAACATTTGCACTTTGTTTGTTTTCAAACTCACTTATTGAAAAAATCAACAGAAATATTTGCCAAATTTATCTTGACTCCGGAAAACAATGTTCAGTTGACTTCTGATCCTGCAGTGCAGCTTTTCTCTGAGACGTAAAGCCTTATTTTCAAAAATTGGCAGTTAGGATTGCTTCAGTAACTGCATGCATACGAATTGGAAATTTAGACGTCAAAGATACGTTACCGAGTTTCAACGGTTTCTTTCTTCTTCTAAGATAGGGTGGTGAAAGCTCAAGTGTAACTACAACCTGAAAGATCTAGACTTTATAAAAACTGGGATTACATCTTAATAAGTATTTAGCATCATATAAAAAGCGTCTAAATTACCTTACGAGTCGAGTAGACAAGTTTGAAGTTAAATCAGCGTTTTGATGAGATTTTTTAGCAGGTCACTGTGATCTTCGTAACTTTAACTTTAACGCACTGTAAAGAGGCCAACGCTGTAATGCCAAATGAAGACCTTTCTCGTTCATTTATAAACCTCATTTGAATAATACGTGATCGCTCCAGATGTTAGCAAAGACAACAAGTTAATGGCAGGGAGTGAATTTTTGCTATCGCCCGCGATAAGATTGGTTTTGTTGTTGTTAAACAATCTAATATAAATTACCAAACTATTTTTAGTGAGTATCCCTACTGGGAACTAAGCGATGAAAAATGCCTGTTAAAGGTATTTTAATGTCTGAATTAACTTTTGAACTGAACTGAATACATTTTATTGGATTTTTTCCGCGATTCGTACCTGGTTTTCAAATCGACCAGTTTAAAAAATTTATGATTTCTGATTCTTATCCGAAATTTTAATCATTAAACGCGGATTCCCGGTGAAGACAAGCCAAAAAGCTAGATTCTGTGACGCTTTTCTAAGCCACAAGCTTTTCTTGCGGTAATGTTTACGTGCGCATTGTAAGGATGCTATTAAAGGTCACAATTTTCATTGCAATTATTTTATTTACTTTTTATTCTTTCTATCTGCACTGGAAAACAAGAAGAACTTTTCCTTTTCCTACAGGAAATTCCTCCGCGAATTTTTCACCAATGTTACTTATCGAAGCTACAATCTTTTCATTTCGCCGTCCAAAGACGAAAGCTGTTGCTTGATAGCAATCCTCAGAGGTTCTCACAATGCAGGGGTTATTACAACGTAACACAATTATTATTATTTATTGAAGTTCTCGCTAAGGCGTAGATTCACACTTTTAAATGCACATACTTTGCTTTCAACGTGATAAACAAAACGCAGCCACGGAATCAAGATGGTTTGCACGTTACCGATCAGCGCATATGCCCAAAAATCGTAGACGCGTATTAATTCACGGCCTCTGTTTAAAGCGTGTTTACTCTTTTACTCTTTAAAGACCCCAGGACGCCCTAACTTTTCTTATTCCGGTCTTTTTATGTTGAAGTGTCTAAGCTCACCTCACAGAGCGAAATTTATGTCATATATATCAATAGAACGCGACCCTTTTTGTTGTCTTAGGAGACAAAATCGATCGCAAACAAGGAAAGATTACTCTGCAACTGTTTGGTTTTCAAAATAAGGTAAATATTTGGACTTTTGACTATGGGGGAGCACAGTGCGCGGCTGTTCGGTAGGGTATTTTGGAGTATTCATCGGAGGAAAGAGATAAATCTATGAAAAAGGTTTTCATTGTGAAATCTCGGTGGATTAGAAGGCCAATTTTATGAAAATCTCTAACGTGAATGCATTTCCGCAAATGCATTATCATTCTGATCTGTTCTTTTAATGTCAACCATCAAACCGAAAGGGAAGCAGAATAGCGAACAAAAGGTAACAAGGTTCAAATTAGAAGAAGGAAAAAATGAGGCAGCTCATGAGTTCGTTTCAGCCGAGAAGGAACCAGAATCCTAGACGCAAATTTTATCTCTTGTACTGAGCAGACTCATTTAATATCATTGTCTTAAAAAAAGTAAATTTCTAAATATAATGAACGCATTAGTTGAGATAAAGTTGTCCCAATATCTAAATGAGGGACAGATGTGAAGAAAAAAGGCGAAACAATTAAACACTCTGCAAAGTCCCACAAGGAATAGAAACTTGGTGAACATTTATATTTGTTAAAACCGCCGTACTTTAGAGATCAGCAACTGCACCTAAATAAAATTTCATGCGATGCTTTCTTCCATTTTCATTTTAATTCAATGTTGGAATTGAATAGAATCCAAAAGAAGCTGTCAGTATCAAGAATTACCGAAATAATTTGATATCGATTCTCGTTTCTAAACAACGCTCTCATGAACAATTCAGTGTTTTAAAAGACCTTGTCAGAGGGCTGATAATTTTCAATGGTGATACCATCTCGCAAAAAAGCACGTGCAAGTTGTTTAAGCAATGAGTTAACTGCGGTATAAACCCAGATTCTCTTTGAAGTGCTGGTTATTAAATATTTCGCGGAAAAAAAAACAACGTTATTAATCAAAGTTTTTGCCAGCTTACATACTAGGCAGAAGTTATTTTGATTGTAATTTTTTTTTCATTAGCAAAATATTTTTCTTCATCGACAGTTACGCTCTAAAAATTAACCTATTTGGACATTAAAACAACCACTATTTTAATAGTTGCAAATACGACCCTACCGTTAGCGACAAGCCAAGTCTGAATATTGCGGTATTTCGCGTTGTTTTCGCATGGGTTTTTGGCCTTATCTAACGCCGGCTTTCTCGACGCGGGCTGTAGTGAAGATATTGAATCAGGAGCCGAGAGATGTAATATTAACACTTCTAAGTTAAAACACGCAAAATTTAAAATATAACTTTGGTTTTCTGGTTGCACTGCAGAAAAAAAAAAACAAGCTAATTGATTCCAAAAATGAAAACCTCTTGAAAATAAGAATTCGAGCAGATAAGTTAACGAAAAATGAAAAAAAGCGAAAATAATGCTTTTCGCTATCGCGAGCTGGCATCGGTACTCAGTCAGCAGCGTCTTGTCATTATTTGAAAAAAATTAATTATCCATAGCGTCGCGGGATAGAACCAAATAAAAACTCAGATATGACCTTCTAGCACGGACTAAACTTAAATTAGCAAGATACGTTGTGGGTGCGATAAAATCTGTATAATTATGAAAGGACTTCGGCATTATTAACTCGAACAATATTACGCATGTCACATGTTAGTAAATTTTACAACATTTTTCAGTTTATTTTTGCTAATTACTTATTTGAACAAGTTTTGTTTTTTACTTGTGACATATGTGAAAAAATTTAGCTGAAAAGGAAAGCTAAAGGTATCATTAAAATAAGATTTAAATTTATTTCAGCTTTGGTTAACTTTCTCTCATTAAATATTTATGAATATTCTTTCGTCGGGTCATTTGTAAAATTAAATGAAATATGCACAAACTTTTTTACTTCAAGTTACCTTTGAAAACTCCAAAAAATTCTGCTTGAAGTAGTAAATAGTTTAAATAAAAAATCTTAATGCTTTAACCTTTCTGAACAGAGATACAAAACTTATAGTGAGTGTAATATCTACGATGGTGGTTTCATTTAGAACGTACTCTCTGGTAGTTAAACCAAATAGCATTTCGAAGTTTTTAAGTCGATTTTTAGCTTTTGTGCTCAATTAAACCATTGCTTGCCTGAGATTTCTTTTTTAATTCTTCAGTTCAATTTATATCATCCTGAAAACGAAATAATTGAATGAAAAATACCAACTATGAACAATAATTCTGTTATTCTCTTTGCATTCCATTTTATCTTGCATATGAATTATTCACTTTCAGAATCTCGATCCTATGAGTCCAAAGCAAGCTAATTAATCAGAAGAAATGATTTCAATATAAAAGATTGAACAAAATCCATCTTTTGACAACGCCTGTGGTGTCTTCATCCGATTGTTCGGGAGTTTCCAGTTTACTGACTTTAATTTTCGCTGAGGTTTCGTCTATCAAATATTTGTGCTTCGATGTGTTATTCAGTGCATAACTTGCGTTTTCTAGCGTTCTTTAAATTACCTCTCAACCCGACTCGGAAATCACCATTATAGAGTAATTATTTCTTGACAGAACAGGATGAAAACAGCAGAACACAAAGCTCTTTATCACGTAATTAATGCCTCTTATACCACCGCATTTTAACATCTGCATTTGGAATTCGTTATTTCCTTGCATTATCTTTCATGCAGCCCTCCGCCACATAGAGCCACATAGGAATGATTAAATGTAACGTGGTTTTCTAAAGTGGAACTTCAATTTTTTATCAAGTTATGTGTAAGTGACCTGTCTCAATGCAGGCTTACCGACCTTGGAGCGAAGCTAAAACTGAGATTTAATTTCCTAAACGATTTAATTTCCTAATAAAGTATCATTCATTTCACTACTACGTTAGAAAATGCTGTTTTGCTTTGACCAAAATATCGCAGAGAAGAAACAGATTTTTGCCAATGAAGCCGCGTAAGTTTGAGGTTCAACAGTTGTTAAGGCTCGTTGAAATCTAAGTAGACTGCTGCGAAGAATTGATTAAGATATTTTTTCTTTAAGAAAATAACGATCTCCCTCGTAAGTGGAAACAAATGTATGGGTAAGCTTCCCAGTAGGAACTACTGGCTACAGTAATCTGGATATTGAAAGTACATTAGCGTATTTTATAGAGTTTTCACGTTCGCTATTTTGTTATATTTTGCATCCCAAAGGATCCCTCTGTGGTGACTGGTGAGCTTTGACATCTTTGGGAAGGCCAGAAGGTATTTGTACTTTATTTCGACCAGAGTAAACTAATATCAGACGCTTATGTTTGTTAGTCTAAACTATTCTTCATATTCTTCATTTCCTCCTGTTATTCGTAACAATTTTATCTGAGCTATCTCCTCGGGGCTATTACTTGCAGCTTGGAAAAAACATCATTGTCAAACTGCTTTATTAAACAAGGAAATGTCCTTTGGCCCCAGGAGATCTGCTAAATTTAGAATGGACTTTGTTTATGTCAACAGTTTAATCAATAAAATCTTGTTATTTAACAATTAAGTCTCGACAAGCATTGTGTGACCATAGATGCCACATGTAAAATTTGTTCTTGAGCGATTATTAATAAATCCAAAAATGGGTCAAATTAAAATAATTTGTAGTGAAAACAGTAATTGGCATCTGTGGGATATTGTTTCAAGCCATTGTGTTCTTGAAACAAACGAACAAGTTCGAAAAAGTCTATTGAAAACAAAAAAGGCGGAAACACAGCCCTCGTAATAAATATAGCTTGGAAAAAAACGAGTAGCGATGGAGTAAGTCACCGCATAACTTGGGTGGCTCTGTGCAATTCGACTCAAAAAAGAGAAATTCCAAAAATTAGCTTCACTAAAACCAAAGACTTTCGCAAGTATTATATGATTATCTGTTTGCGCTCTTGATAACTAACGTAGATCTTTTTGCAAAGGCGAGTCTTTGAATGTTTAAAGTTATCTAAAACTACTATCCAATCGCGACCTCGAAGAAGAAAAGATAAACTCACAGAAATCTGATTTGTTATACTAAAACAGGCCGGGAGTAAAGCCTAGGTTATGAATTGCAGAATCTCAATTCAACAGACTCCTTTCAAACCTAAAGTAGTTCGAGAGGTCACTAAAACTGTGTATGATTTGTGTTTTATAGATTTGTTTTGCTCTAAATAGTGCTGATATTTCTGAAAGATGAACTGTAGCTATGAATATGCAATATTGATTGTTGTGTTAATCTCGTTCGTTTCGGTCAGAAAATTAGCATTCAATTTCTTAAAACACTTTGAGGACTAGAATACAGATTACAGATTCCTGCGCACACTCGATTGAAGTTGTCAAATTAAAAACTATAAGTTCTTCAAGTGCTACACATCTTTATGCGTTGGCAACTACATACATGTAAGAAATCTTCATTTCAAAGCTGGTGTCAACAATTTTGAAAATACTTCATTAAACTCATACATTGTCACAAATCTGACAAGCCCAGTTTATAGCCAAAACAACGGCGTTTCAGCTGTAATAATTCAGAACAAAATTTATTTATATCCATTTCGCTGGATTCGAACGCCTTCATGGACTATGCAACAAATTCGTTAGAGTGAAATTGAAATTTCTCGTTTAATCTCGAGAGCTATGTATAATGCTAAGTGAAATTATGAACCAAAAAAAATCTTCAGTCACGCCAATGACAAGTGCCAGGTTATAATTTCAATAAAAGAAGCTTTCGAACGTGAAATACGTTTGAATCAGGTCGGTTTCTGCAGTGTCCGGCTGTTAATGTAAATAGAGCATAGTTTACTTCGTCAAATACCGAAGTAAATTAAATGTTAGACAATTCGTCAAGGAAGCGACTAACCTAAAGGAGCCAGACCTGACGCGCGCGATTATTAGCCAGTTAGCAAGGCTGTACAGATTTTATGTTTACATAAGTCAACCCAGGGATTAAGTAGCTCACAGGCCGATGAATAAAGGAAAAAGATTCTTTTAGAAAATAATAGACAGTAAATGGAGTCTAGAAATGGTTTGTTTACACAGACGCCTTTCTTAAACAAAAAGAAAGAAAACATTGGCAAGTGGACCAGATGTTTAAGTACTATCGAAGAACAAAGCTCTTTTGAATTGAAATAATTCGTTTACACACAGAAATGTCCTTGTGATAAGTCATGGTCAGTCAAATTACTCCGATATCGCACCAAATTATCATGAAGCTTAAGGCAGATGTTAGGCCGAAATGGAAATAAAAATAAAAATAATAAAAACAGTTGAGAAACTAGAATCGCCAGATCGATGATCATTTTAGTGCATTCTCTTTTGACCTAGAACTAGCTACGTGTAACGTTCTCCATTCTTCCAACGTATTTTTTTGACCAAAGATCCATCGATGCCAATAAATGTATGCAAAATTTATAGACTTTTCTATGCCTTCGGATATCACAAGAAACTCCAGTTATTGAACTCGCAGGTATGCTGTAGGATATGCCTTACATATCGGTGCTTAATGTTAGATAGTTTTCAATAATGCACCCAAACTTTGATGCGGCAAATGAAAGGTCAACCGATAATTGTCATCTTTCGATTTGGGGTGATGTTCCCAAAGTAAAATTTATAACCGAAGAAGGAAAGCTCTACGTAACATAGCCCCTTTCTCTCGACTTCTCTGAGAGAAAGAAAAATTGTATTCTTCTGCAAGTAAAGAACTTGAATCAATAATGATGGAAGAGTTTCACTCACTGGTGTTGCCTTTTTCTGTACGGTCAACACTTGAAGTAAGTAAACCACACGAGGGTAGTGTTATCTTGCATTAGTTTTACAGACATTGATTTCACTAAGTAATGGAATAGAAAAGGGAACACAGATACGAGTTTTGTTTCACAGGGTTTTAACGCGTATTGTGTCTGATCATTGACGAATAACTTGTGTAGTAGTTTAGTTAATTCTGTGAACGTTGAAGTGAAAGGTGCTCTGTTTTACGTTCGTGGCAAGACAGCTAAGTTTAGTTTAGTTAAACAAAAAAGTGAGATAAAAACCAGAAACGAGCTAAGAGAGGCCTCAATTATGTTTGTTTTTCGCCAGCCACTGAAACGAAACTGTAGGATAAACCTAAAATAAAACAACAAGTAAATGAGAGAGGAAATGGAGTCGAGAAAGAAGAGAAAATGTGTGGCAATGTCACGCAAACGAGAGATGTCACGAAAGTGGAGAAGGGTTGTTATGCAACTAGAAGTCAGAATGGTCACGCTGAAACTGAGGAATCATTAATATGAATATCACAAGAGAAGAATGGAGCTAAATACAATTTTATCTTGGAAATAATTCATGGAATGTTGGCACGAATTTATTTTAACGGCTATTACCGAGGAAATGTAAGAAAACGAGAAATTGCCACAGGAAACTGTAGCTATGGGCGATAAAGACAACTATGGAGATTTGATGCTGATTCATTCACGCCTCAATTTGTATTCCCGTTTCTTTTGTATCATGGCAAACCCTGTGAAGAAATAAGAACAATTTTGTAACGATATTTTTAAAAATTAAAACAGGATTTTAACCAAACTGGCCAGTGATGTACACAAATAAAACTGAAAATATAAAAGACGTCTCGTTTGCAATTACGTTTGCCTCAACAGCACTTTCTTATCTTTCTTAGAAGAACTAATAGAAATGCCACCTCTGAGTGCTGAAAGAGAAAGAGAGAAATAGAACTCCCTTCCCCCATCAAGAATTCGCTGATCAGCCCCTACTTTCCAGTAGTAAAGAGACTCACTAACCTCTCTTCAAAGCTGGAGCACGGGGGGCAGCCACAACTGGTTTGTCATAGTAATCTTCTGCAAATGCTATTGGCTGTCCTTGCCTGTTGTTTATCATATCTCTTCCCGCCCTGATGTATGATTCACCTCTATGTACAATTGCACCCATTAAAACCAAGATGGTAAAAACTGCAACGACTGCTTGCTTCATGCTGAGGAGTTTTTTTAACTGAAGAAAATGAATCAGGAGAAATAAAGATTTGAAAACGTTGGAGATTTCTCTGGCGATACTCGAGTACTTGCATGTTCGTACGTACATGAATGAAGCTATTTTCAGTTTGGTGCGAGGAAGTAATTGGGAATTGTTCTGCTTTTAGCTTCCTTAAAAAATTGTGAGTTTATGCACGGTTAATTTCATTATGTTGTCAAATGGCATGTCTTTTTCCTATTTTTTTTAAATTTACTCTACGATCCTCACCTAGGAAACTGATTGTTATTATTGATATTTTGTCACTGCTGCTTCTGATTGGTCTTCAAATTCAAAGAAATAAACCCAGTTGCATCTTGGATAGCCTAATTTAGACCATTTGCCTATTTCCACTTTGAGGTTTCATTGCCTCCTTAACATATATATTACACTTGTTGTGATTGGCCATTTTGACCACCTCTGTTTTGGAAAGGTTTTTTAGATACATGATACAACATTTAAGACCCAATTTTTTCCGATGAAAAGTCTCTGTCATGCCCGCCACGTAAGAATCTCAGAAAAGGTTAACTAATTTTTTAGAAGCAATAGAGTTTTCCTGAGTTCAGTTGAAAGACTTCATTTTTGCTTTTCAATTTCAGCTGCTAGACGTTGATAGTTTTATCACTGACGTTTTCTCCTCTCGGAAAGAACTTCAATGATCTTTTGTTACAGTTTTGAAAGTGTCAAAGTATCAGAATTAACGGTGGCCATCTAAAGATCCGCCATTAAAGTATTACTTTTTACTCAGACACAAATTGTGCATCTCAAACGAAAATTTAGTTTTCACTTTTTTTTCAGAAATGTGCTTTGGGTTTCTGCAATAGTTATCCATGTTTAATTTCCAATAATCTTTCTAAAGCCCGTTTGAGGGGCATTTGTTTGATCTTTTGTCGTCCTTTACAGTTAATTAGCATATCATAAGCCATGATATTGTCTCCAAACTGGTTTTGTAGGTAATGTGAATTCTTTTACCCTAATTTTTTTCGGTTTATGTTTATTAAGCTAGAGAAAAGGGACAGCAAAAAAGAAGTCTTTTCTCCCATCAGCCATCTCAAAGGCTTATCATTTATATAGAACAGACTACGAAAAATTGTAAAAAATCATGTAGGTTTGAAGATCTCAAAACGGATTTAAGTATCCTTATGTAAAAGGTAAAAAATGTTGTTAAAATAAAACAATTGCAAATATATGAGAACTAAAAAGATTATCACGTTTGGTCTAATTTTCATCTGAATAAATTTTACTGTACCAAGGATTATTTGGAATTTTTCGATAGGAGTTGCTTCTTTGTCCCAAGAAAAACAAATAAACTTTGTTCAATCACGAAAATAATTTGCTTCCTCACGAAAAGTAGAGTGTATTTTCCTCACTTAATAATGGATAACAATTATCATAGTGAACTTATTTAATTTCACGGAAATTTAAATGAAGATAAAATACACTTGAAGTAACTTAAGGAAAATAGAATGAACTGGTATGCCGGCAATAAAAATTGTTGATAGCAAAATTTCTTATTTGGCCAAAACAAAATTCAAGAGGACTAGGTATATAATTTAGATGTTAATTACAAGAAGTGAGTATGTAATGGTTATTATTTCAATCGTGTGTTAATAACGACTGCAACTTTCAAAGTAATGGAAAGAAAAACATTTTTAACCATAAAAAACGAACAAGAGCCGAATTCACAAAATCCTTACTCACAACCTTAACTTAGAAGAGAATTTTTACCATTCTTAGCTGTCTATGATGAACTTAAACGGAACTTACTTTTACTATCTGATGTTCGTTCTGTCAGCTCTGTCAATGTCCTTTCTTTCCTTCACAATGAAAAGATGAAACATAAAATTGTTAATTTATAGCTGGATGCTATTCACAAAATTCAATCAATAAAACGGATACAGAGTCGTAGGATTTGAATCCGATCGATAAGAGAACAAAAGATTTTAGATTTCTGTTGAATCTTAGGAAGCGAAATTGACACGTTTCTACTAAGTTTTTGTTCTCATGACGAGAAAAAGATCAGGAAAAAGATCGCATAAATATAAAGGAAACACGTGTTTTTGCTAACCTGACAAAGTGTCCCGAGGTAATGGGCAAACTTTGTCTATAAGGAAATACTTATTTATAGCTCAGATCACTTAAGATAAAAATTTACATAAATCAAAAAAGGAGATTTGAAAGGATTAAACTACCTTTTTCTTTGATTTTTTCGCTCCCAAGAAAATCACTTCGGATGAAAAAGAATTAAGTGTGGGGAAGCCTTCAGATTTAAGAAAAGAGAAAAGCAATTGTCGGCTTTTTTGAGGAAGAATTAAAGAAAAAGTTCTCTCCGTCGTAGCTAAGAAAAGGTCTCTAAATTACAGGGTATATTTCATTCTGCATAAAAGTCCTTTTTCAATGAATTTTTCATCATATCATTCTTCTCTCAACAAGATGATAATCCAGAGTTTTTATTTTAGCTCACTGCAAACCTGAAATGTTCTAATCTAAGTGATTAGATAAAACCGAAGGAAGTGAACTTTGAGGCGAAGGATTAGGCTAGATGAAAAGGCTGTTAACGAGTCCCTTGAAACTAAACAATAAACTGTAGTTTTCAATGAGGTACTCTAAATGAATTAAGATTCTTATCAAGTTTTTATTGAAACTGTTGCGAGTCTGTCATTTTCAATATCAGTTTTATTTCATTGGCTTGCTTTCACCGTAAGTTGGCAACACAGAATCAAAAAGTTGTTATCGGAGCAATGGTGACGTACTTTAAAGAAAGGTTCTGAGTGGTTTGTTGAGAAAATAAATCATTGATTTCTGAGCGAAAAGTTCACTTTGGTATTGAAATTTACAATGACTGAAATAACAAATGTGATCCCCGAGGGTTTGCTACATCCACCTTTGATCTTCCTCTTTGTAGTGATATTTGGAATGACTGATGCAAAATTGTATACTGGCCATACTTGCATTACAAAAAACTAATTTATTGATTTATTTTGCAAAATATAGATAAAAGAGTTTTTATTTTCATTCTATGGCAAACATTGTAAGATTTACGATTCTAAATGAACATAACGCTCGTTTTAAAACAAAATTACTGCTGATTTCACAAAAAGTTAAACAGAGAAAAAAACTGTTGTTTTACTTCTGTCAGAAAAGGTTTCAAGCCAAAAGCCCAGCTGGTAATAAACAAATCCATTGAGGCAAACAAGCCCATAATTTATTGTATGTACCCTCTTTGCCATTCACCTAACCATAACCACATGATCAATATATAAATTATTCAGCTATTATTCTGCATTATTTTAGAGGTTTATCTTTCTGTTGGTTTTATAAACACATAGATTAACACAACCCAGATTCTTCGTTCTTCATGATACTTACCTGAAACTTCGCTGAAATCATGTTTCTGATCTACCACTGGTTATTGAGAGATAACTTTGTAAATAAGGATGTAGATTACACTCTACGTACAGTTTTAAATTTGTACTTTATTGACAAACATTTCACTAGAACAATTATATATATAACAAATATCGAATTACTAAATATGACTTCGACAGGCCAAAAGACTCAAACAACAAACAAAATGTACAAATGCGATAGAAACAAGCGAAAATATACAAGAAGAAAAAAAAATAGAATACTTACAGGATCTGTACGGCAACTCCGGAAAAACACTAAAAAACTAACTTGCAAGGAAAGAATGCCAACTTTTATACAAATTTGAACCAGAAAATGAACTTATGTAACTGACAATAGACGATTACATAACGCGACGCCGAGAAAAAAAACCTACGAATATTTTGAATAACAGTACTGAACCCAAACAAAACGTGATGAAATAACTAGAATAATTAGACCCAAAAAAAGAGAAGAATTTTGAAAAAATTCGCGGAAGAATTTACTTCTCGTGGCTACAAAGGGTTAAATTATAATACCAAAATCCCCGAGCGACACAAGTCACCAACTGGGCTTTGATAAAATCTTCGACTCGATTTACTTTGGGAAGAAATAATTGTTTTGTCATTCCACGAGAGAAATTTAGCAAACAGCACTCCGATTCAAACCTGGTAAATTTTTCATTTCAGTGTTTTTAGGAGAGGCGGGAGCACTCGTCGAAAGGAATTGATGTAAACATAGATAGGTTTCATAAACAAAAAATTGTCTTGCTACTGCAATAAACGGCTGTGAAAATTGTTTTCCTTATATTAAAATAGTCGCTTCTACAAAAGCTTATCTGAGAGAAAAGAGGGGAATCGAAACTTGATTGAATATAATCTTGGTCATTTGTGATCTAGTCTTGTTTAAGTATCCTCTTGAATTTAAACATTGTTAAATGATCAGACTTTATAACAAACGTAACATCAACAATATGCAGTATGCGTTTGTTGTTGTGGAAAGAGGAAGGACGGGGGAGGGGAGGTAGGGGTGATGAGAGTTGGCTTACTCCTCGCTTTACGATAAGGCACCAATGAGGATCGTGCAAAAACCTCAACGCCGGAGACGATTATGAAAATTTCGTGAGACTGTCATAATGTAGCGACCAAAACTCGTAGCTGTCGCACTCCTCCGAAAACTGTCGACTAGATCTTGATAAATATATTTATATTTATTTTACAGAAAAAGAAAGCAAATACTACAACAACGAAAACAGAAATTCCATTTGTGATTGCTGTCACCTTCAGTGTAACCGCCATCATACTTCTTGTTTGGCTGTTGTTGTTGTTGTCGTTGTTTTACATTTTGCCGCTGTTGATGCTGTTGTTTTTTTTCAATTGATTTTGTTTTGTTTCCGTTTTTTTTCAGTATTCTCTTTGAATAACTCAATCTAAAGCTTAGAGATCATTGGATTTCGACTTGACAAGAAATGTTTGCAATTACTGATTGTGGAATGTAACTGAATGTCTCATTTATTATGCAGGCGAATTGTGCGTATATTTGCAGTTAAATCTATCAAAACATCGCCTAAAGTACACAAGAGAAGCCCTCAGACCTCTCCAGGGGTATCTAAAACCCTTTTGTACTTTCGCTTACGAAGTTCCAATCAGAAATGACGTCTCCAAATTCTATTTTGCTTGTTCGAGTGGTCGAGGAAATGAAAAGGGGATTTTACGAGTTTGCAAATTCATCAGGAATTCAATCTCTTTTCATGTATCAATTTATTCTTACTGTTGAATGTTTACAGTGGAAAATCGTGAATGCTGCCTTATTCACCTCTTGTACCCTCAGGATTCATATTTGTTCTCGTCCCGCCATTTTTCTAAGACACAGAAAAATAAGTATTAGAACAAAATTTGATTGGTTCAGAAAACTCTCGCCATCCTCTCAACTAATCAGACGCAAAACTCAAGACAATCGCGACTTGTTCATTCGTGTTTCCAACGCATTAAGCATTTTTCTTGTTTCCGCGTTGAGTTCCCATTGGCTAATTTTCATGAAAAACCTTGCTCTGATCGGGTCTCTGGAATAACTTTGATTTTTGGATTTTCTACACTCAATTTATGCATCTGATTGGTCGAGAGGGAGCAACAAGATTTCTAAACCAATCATAGGACCAATTGAAGAAACCAATGCCTTCAAACACAGTTTGAACTTTGAATTAACTTACTATTATTTCGCTTGTGATAACGAGGTTACTTTCCTGGCTCTTTCCAGGAAGTCATACAATGCATCTGCTTCTCGTTCAGTTTTCTCATGCGGAATCACATCTCGGCCCCCGCGAAGGATCGCCTCTCCCGAGGGCAGGAGTAAGGCAGCCAATGTGAAAAACAGGAGGACGGTTAGAAGAGTCTTCATGCCGCTGGTTTGGTTGATCCTGGTTTATCTTTATGGATATAAAAAAAAGTGTTGTGAAATGAGCCAATGAAGATCACTTCACTCATTTACTTATTCACCGCATTTGCTTATTCTTTCATCAGTCCCGACAATCATCCATTAATCCATATATCCATTTTTTTCATTTTTCATTCATTCATTAATTCACTCATTAATCTGTTTATTCATAATTCATTCCAGACATGCATTCATCTTTCCTTTGATAATTTTTTCATTCATTCATTTATCTATTTATTCATTCATGTATTCAGTCATCCAATCATCTATCCAGACATTGATCTTTATTAAAACCAATTAGATTCTCTCAATCTCACTATAGATTCTAAATATAACAATTAGATTATAATATAGAAAATTAGTAGATTTATTTTTCAAATACTGATTTTAAACTTGTAAATGCTCTAAAGACTTAATCGTGATTTTGTAGTTTAAGGCTTTTCGAAAGTGCAAGATGTTGTACTTTTTGATCAAAGCTACCGTGGTTAAATAAAGTTTTGTTTTATCTGTCGATGAACTGATCCATCAACCCATCCATTTTATATTTTCATCTATTCATTCGTTTAACTTGATTCTTTATTCAAAGAACTAGACTGCGACTCAAATATCTTTGTGAAGATTCTTTTGCTAAAGCCAGGTAAACTGGATAAACTCCTGTCAGAAAAAGGTACTTTGCAGAATTTGATTAAAAATGGCTATCCAAGAGCGTACTTCTGCTCATAGTTAAGGCGTAACGGCTTCACAAAGTTCACTACAATGTTAAAGAGACTTGTAAATGTGTGACGAAGTAACGGGTAAATTTGGGATAGAACTTGCTCCAGAACTAAGGTCATTCGTATTACGATAAAACGGGGATAATTTTTTTGCCGAAACATTGAGTTTTGCTATCGAAATAAATGGGATTTTCATCTAGAATTTCAGTAATAAAGAAATATATGTGTCAGTTTTAATACGGAAATTGTTTCAAATGTAGTCTCAATGTAACTTAAAGTAAGTCAAAAAGAAATCTTAGGAATAAACGAAAGGAAAAATGAAATTTTGTCGTGCACAAAGATGCCTCACCGTCTTACCTTCTTTCAAACTGTTCCCGAAGGTGAATTTCAGTGGCCTGTCCACAAATAACTGTTCGATTTCTGATTTTGTTCTTCTTTTTAACAGATAATATCCGTTATGTATCTATTGCTCATCTATCCACTTACGTTAAAGGATGTGAAGTAATTATGAATATTTAGTTTCCTAGGAGATATCAGCGCCTTACAATAGAAGCTTCCCAATTGACTCTTTCAACAAAGCCGACTTGTCTTGTAAATTATTATTTATTCATTTCCTTTCAAACCTGCAGTCAGAGATATGTTTTCAGCAATACACAGGATTAGTTTGTTTTGGGACTGTTTCCAATTGACGAAAAAAGCGGAAAAAAGAAGGTTTAAATACCTTGATGAATTCTGGCATTACAATTGGCAAACTTTATAAATAGTACCATAAGAAAGCTATTTTCTAGAGCCGTAGAATGTAAGACAATACAGTAGATAAACGTATGTGTTATTTCCCTCAATGAAACAAAGTCAATTAAGCAGTTACTTTATTCAAGATATAGAGTGGGTATATTATCGAGCTATTTCCGAAAAGAGCGTGCCTACTCAATCTTTTCAGGGAAAAAGATGAAAAGATGATTGAGTACTTTCTTTTTCTTCCTGTTGTTGGGAATACGCTTTGGTATATATTTTACTTCAAGGTATTAGTTTTTAGTTTGGGTTTTTTCCCTACTGATCATCATATCGCTTGATTCTCTGTAAGATAAAAACAATTATTTTTTGCCTCTTTTATTTCCGAAATTTATTTAGATATTTCTATTTGCGATCAATTTTAACAAAATCTTAATTGAATATCTACTGTTTTTAATTGAAATTAAAATGTAATCGCTATCAGTAATTATATATCAATCAGACGAGTAACTCTGTTTGAAGTTATGTAGTATATGCAGTCTATCGAGGGCAGAGCTAGGAATTTTTGTATGGGAGGGGGGGGGGGGTTTCAAAATCTGATTCAGAAGAAGAGGAATTTGTTTCTTTTATGTTTCCCTTTCTATAGTTACCTAAATAAGCTGGTGAATTTTCCAAGATTTATACTTTAAGTTGGTAGTTATATGCAATCCTGTCTGAAGAGTTTTCGTTTCATACTCAGGTCTAGGGGTAGGGGGGTGCGTACCTATCGGATTCTTCCCCTGGATCCTTCACTGTGTCTACATCGGTTTATCGACCTAGAAGGCTGCTTATAAAAGATCAATAACTTAAACAACTGATTGACCACGTAAATGCTTTTATCTCTGAAAAAAGGCGTAATTTCTAAATTTATTTTACTTACCGCTAACTTAAAGTGATAAGAGACGTAGGGCAAAATATAAGGTAAAAAAGACTTACATTCATTTGCTTTATTCTGACGTTCAGCTTTCGTGAGCAACGTAGACTTGTTACAGAAGACAAAGAGATAATTGAACCAAAAAAAGTGGATATAGTTCTGTTTGATACTTGGAAAGGCATTCGGACTGCGTTAGTTTTTTAAAAGTTGTGTGAATGTTTATATGTTTGTTTGATCAACCGCTGATGATTGCGGCAACATGAACCTGCAAGGATTGTTGAATACTCACCTTCCTTTCCTCTTCTTACAGAATATTTCAGGTTTACCCAATAAAAGGGGTTTCTTCAAGTTGTGCGATGAAGTAGACTTAGACTTATAAACAGAGAACATCAGGATAGAAGGGGAAAAGTCTAAAGAGAAGGGAATGGGACAGAAGGAGAAAGGGGATAAAAGGTAAAGAAAGGTAGGATGGGGGAGGAGTGGGTGGAGAGAGGAAGGAGAGGGAAAGAGGAGGCCAAAAGAAGTGGCAGATGGAGAAGGAGTGAAAGAGGAGGGAGGGTAGAGGGGGAGGAATGGGAGGGAAAGAGGAACGGGAGGGAGGAGGGAAGGAGCAGACCGGGAGGAAAATGAGGCATGGAGAATATAGAGATGGGTGAGAAGGGAGTGGACGGACGCAAGGTGGTAGAAAGGATGGAACTTGGTAATCTTAAAAGGGAATGTGGGAAGAGAGAAGGAGGAGAGCAATAAAAACTGATGAATAATCAAGTCGGTATTTGATTCTCAAGAGATCTGCACTTTTATTACGCTTCACTACATTCATACACCTCTACGTGTTAGTCTGTTTCTACACAATTTTTCTGCTGGACTATGTATCTAAGAACCGCGTGTATACACCGGTTATCAACGTCATCGTTGTCATCGTGTCTCACCATTGGTTGGTCTTTCACTTCTTTTTCTCTGAATCGTCTTAAATGGAAAACACAAAACAAAACAAAAATCAATTCGCCTGAATGTGATAGCTTTGCAAAATGAGGTGGATAAAAGTAGTTACATTGTTACTGCTGCGTTGAAAACATGGAGGCCAAGTGCTTCAATAGAGTGGGCCGTAGGGAAATAAACAGAACATTTGCAATGTACCGTAATAAGGTACCTCCCCCCTTCTTTTTTTCACCGCGGGATGAGATTAAGCCCACCAAGACTTTTACCAACGTCTACGGTAAATAATGGTCTATCTCAAAACTATTTAAAATGAAAATACTTCAAAAAAAATTTCAATGTATAACAGCGTAATTTAAAGTTCTTAAAAGTAGTCATCTTTACTAATCTGTTTTCTTCTTCTCCTTTCCGAATGGCTACATTTTCTCTATATTCAAGTTATCCAATGAATTCAGTGCTACACCGAGTCAACCTCTTAGTTGATAATCTTCTCGTCTGTTTACTTTAAAAAGTATCGAGAGAGAGAGAGGAGAAATTACTTATTTAGCAGTAATTTAACATGCTTACATGATGGCATGGCGCATTGACAAGTGATCATGGTGGAGTCTTGGGCCTCTGTTTTAAGCTCATAGCCACGCTGAGCTTTCTCCATCCCCAGACCTCTACCAGCTCGGAGGACAGCTTCTCCCTGTTCAACGAAAACTCCGGCAACAAGCACAATCACTAGAACTGTAAGGACTGCTTTGTTCATGATGAGGATGGCTGATTTCTTATTGGGTGGAAGGAAAATGTGATAACAGAAGTGAGTTTCAAAATCTTGTATTTATATATTCTAGGACTCATGATGATGTAAAAACACTGTATTGATTCCATTATATAATGAAATAACATCCCTCAAACCCTAAAAATACTCGAATCTCATATCATCACTCGGCAATTTTTTTACGTTTGTGCTCTGAGTTCGTTCAATAGGGGTCCGAGTGAGTTAAAGAAATAACAATCATTACGTGTGTGAATTATACACATTTGCAATCAGTTTTCCTAAGTTCCTCAAACCTTAGCCCGTTCACGGTTTTTGTGAATTTAATTTTTGCCTAATGCATGGTATGGAGAATAAGATAAACAAGTTAATTGTGAAAAGATGGCGATCAGTTCTTTTTAACACTTTCGATTACGGTTTTTATGGACCTTAATTTCGAATGATTGGGAAAAATGAGATCTCTAAGTTGAAATCGAAATTTAAAAATTTAACCGGTAGGCATTGTAGAATTTGAATTAGACAAACAAAGCTTTCTTTTTCTTATAGGAAAACAAAATTTTTACACAAAATTAAAAATGAAAAGAAAAAAACTATTTTTATGTCCATAAAGACAGTTCCTCTGATGGAAAGGGAGAGCTAACTTGTAGCCCTTCACTCTTAACGCTCTGCTAAAAGTGATGTATGCGTTTTCATTGCAAAATATATGTTACGACTCAGAACCTAAGACTTTCTTGAGTGAGTCACAAACATAAATGGAAATATCTCACCTTCTTGGACTGAAAACGTCTTCAAATAGTGATATGAAGTGAAATGTGCGAAACAGTAGCCACAAGACTCTATTTATAATCACACAATGGCTCACACTTTGCAAAGAAGCGGATACATGTACGGAGTAATTGATACAAGTTCCAGATAAGAAAACGAAAAGGTTCATTTTTTAAAAACAAAGCTCGTGACTTGTTTCCTTTCCTTATCATCAGCACGCAATGGTATGTCTCCTATCAACATGATGGGTAAAATTCGTAACTCATTTTTACATATTATTTCAGACGTCCTGCCGACAAGAAGTCGTAAGAGGTTTCCTTAGTTTCTCATTTGAATTTTTTTCATTTCCTTGCAAAATTTCTTTTAATTATTGCCAGACTGGAAACGTTCCTCAATAGGATGATTTTCACCACTTCCAATTTTTTCCTCTCAACATAATCTTCCATTTCGTATTCGCTTGAGAAAAGTGAGCTTCATTAAGCCATTGACATGATTCTCATTAGTTCCTTGTCGATCTGATTTACTTCTTTAACAGATAACCATTTTTTGGTTTTTCGATAACGTCGGTGTCCATTGATGAGAGAATTACAATATTCAGATCTTTTCCGTTCGGCTTAACATGACCAAGAATTACGAAGCGGAACCAACGCAGCAATAAAGAGTTTTATCTCACAGCACATCACTGTTTTGTAAATCGCATCACAGAAATATATGTTAAGCGTTCTGTTTTCGCGGTCGTAAATAGCTGAGTGTTTCAATCACTGTTTCTTTTCAGTGAATACTATCGCTTATAAATTATTCAAATCTTTCCTTTTCAATGAAAACAAAACTGATAACGGTGATAGACATGAATAATTACTAGCTACCTTGGAAATATCCAGAAGAGAAGTGGAACCACTCAATAAAAAAAAAAAAAAACGGCAAACTTTTCGCCTAATTTTGGTTAAATTGAACAAGACTCGTTCATTCTAATTATAAATGGACACGATCTTTTTTCAGACAATAAAAAAATCTATTAAGGTTTTTAAAGTCGTTTCAAGGGAGAAATGACTAGGTTTTAAAAACTAAGACTTGAATCAAACTTTTTTGTTCTTCAGAAATGTTAACATTTTCTGTCTTCTAAGGTATTGTTCCTGCCTTTGTCATATTCCAGACAGCATCGTAAAACTGGAAAAATATTGGTCCTCATTTCATGCATAAAATTTGATAAATATTTCAAGGGCCTTACAGTTCCATAGTTTACAATGTTTTGGGAATCTTCATTAAATCAAAGTCATTCATTCTCAGGAAGTGTCGCGGATTGTATAATTCAAATAGAAATTTATACAATTGTAATTCACAAAGCAAGTAACATCTGTTTATTTCATTTCAAATTCTAACAAATGAACTAATTTTCGATACCGAAAGGTGACAAAACATCTATGGAAAAAATGTTTAAATGTTTAATGTTTAAAAGTATAAGGGAATATCATATAAATTATATAGATTAATTTATTGAATATCGTCGTACGTTGAACTTTAGCCGACACATAGTATTTAAACAATTGCTCTGATACCTGCTCTTTAAATGATTTTTTTCTTTTCATTTAAATCTTACACGATTTAAGTAAAAAAGATTTTGATGCTTCACTGACTCATCTGTTGTGGCATTCAGATCACCTAGAAATACGTTCATGGCCATGACTTCAGTAGTCCTTTGACTTGGCACATGAATCGTGCATGGAAACTGGACAATATTTTGACTATTTCATTTGTGTTCATCAAAGATATTTTTCCGAATCGAGCTAAATATTCTCGTTAATACAGATTGCTCAAAATAACATTTGAAAAAACCTTGTGATTTTCCAAATTCTCTCTTACAGCAAGTCAGTCACATGCAAATTTTGAATTGAGACTTTAATTAAAACAGTGGAGAAAAAAAACTTAAATTTCTTGAATTATTTCATTGTACAGGAAACATTCTTGCATTCTATATCGAAACAATCCCCCCTCTGCCTAACGTTTAATTGATAGAAAGAGTAGTCATTCTATGGGAAGGAAAATATTTAAAAAAATTTCCTGGTCGCGTCCTAAGAGGGTCTTTAATTTGCAAAGAGAATATTATCCCTGTTAACTTTCTCTCAAGCATGTGATTAAATTTGGAGGAGGCTTATTGGAGCATTATCCTTCGATCTTAAAGATATCCAGACTGAAAATATCATTATTTTTTCGCTGCAGCTTCGAAGAGAAATGTTAATCTTTCAGTTCCCCAGAGAGAAATTTGTCATCGCTGTTGATAAAATTCAATTTGTTATCCGATGTAGTTTATCAATTACACTGAAGCTAAAGACTCTGAAGTTTACCGATAATCTGGTCGTTGTGTCAATTGGCCACCGTAAAGAGTTTTAAAAGCTTCTGATGAAGGGCTTTGACGTGAAACGCCAGCTTTTTACTCTTTACCGTGGCCAATTTACATTATCAACTCCACCTCAGTTGATACAATAAAATTACATTGGAGTAACGGTTGTTGACGTTTCCGAACAATAAGTCCTTCGGTAGGCCCAGTCAATAATTCAGCCTGACGGAAAGAAGGACAGAACTGAGAATGAAGTACAATCCGGCGGTTTATCATTCCGTCAGGCTTTATGTGAGTGAGCGAGTCATTTACTGAGTCAGTCAGTGAGACAGACAGTCATTTCTTCTTTCGATATACGAATAGCAAGATAAATGACAAATTCCTTTAAATCTGCAGAAATTATGTTGTTCAGTATCGTTCTTCAATTATAAAGTAACTCTTATGATGAAGATCCTTTTATTTTTTACAATGCTCATATTTTAGGTACTAATCACATATTTAGGTTAAAAAGATCGGCTTAAGAAATGTCTGTGAGTTTGAAGGTCACTCCTCAGCATTTTGGATTCTGCCTGGAAACAGAAACAGATATCAGTTTTCATTAGCACAAAAACCATATTTCCTCTAAGAAAAAAATTAATGTAGGTTATTCAATGAAGCTTATATATGCCACCCTTCTGTTATTGCGTCTCGTTACCAGCTCCCTCTCTCCCTGACACACCCACACTCTATTGGGAAATTTAAGATACTCACTTCTTCTTGAGTAAAAAGGAAGTCGATATTTGCGCATATCAGCAGCCTCTCTTTTGTGCATATAATCGTCACGTGACTCCTTCTCGATTCGATCTCTGCCAGCGCGGAGCAAGCCGTCAATTTCATCAATATATTCACCAGCAACTAACATAATCAACAGAACAGTAACAAGTGCTGCAGCCATAGTTTGCTTTCACGGCGTCAATTCTGAAGTGAAAAAGGGATTTTTGTGACAGCTATTTTTCACGAAAATCAACAATTTTTATTGATCATACTGTTTTCAGTGTATCAGATAAATCAAGTGTAATTCACAGGCGTACATATACATATAGTGCAAGCACAATAAATTTTAAAATAAATGATGCAACTCTAACATTCACTTTCCTGTTGCACTCGATATTACTTTGTCATTCCTGAATTTAATGTCATTTCAACTGTTGGGTTCATCTACAAATCTCCAAGTGTAACGCCATAATGTAGATAAAAGACTTCTAAAAGAAAAGACTCTTTGAGGGGAATTCAGTTCTTTGTGTAAGCATGTTCCAAACGATAATTCTTTTTCTAGCTACTATGAAAAGAAATTTATTCCAAGAAAGTAACTCAAAAAAAAATTTCATCATTCGTTAATTACTAAAAGTGATTACACAGTGATAATTCTGGTGTTTATAACGCCTGGATTAGCGGACTCTGATTGGTCAATGATTCAGTCATATAATTTTCTATAATCATCAAGCGCGGGTTGATTTTAAGACTTTGAAATTCTGTGATCATGATTCTCAGGAAGAAGCATAGAAAAATTACGTTAACACATGAAAAAAAGTATCTTCTTAGGCTCTTGACGATTGAAAAAAAAAAACTGAAAAAAATCAACCGTGTGGTCGCTCTGAATTTGATGATTCGTTCTTGTTTGAAACTGGTGTGATTGAAACCGAACTAGTATCTTTATTTGTTTCCATTTAAACATAGTAACTGGGGAAAGCCAAGAGATCAGACATTTTAAAAGAAAAAGTAGAAACAAGATACAATTTAAGTCAACTATGATATGGAGAATTTCGGAACGTAAGGCAAGCCATGTTTAGTTCCTATTACGAACCTTACCTTTTGGGAGTTTCCAACCGTCCTTTGAACCGCCGGTTTGTTGTAAAATCGGCTTGTGGAGTACTGCTCGCAAAATCTCTTTCATTTAAGCCCACCAAGCACTCAATGATAAGCAAACGGATGTAGGCTCATTTAGATACCACGAACAAGCTGTGAATGACTTTTCATAAAAATTATATTAATGTTTTTCATTTCAACACATGAAAAGCTTTGTTGCACTCCTTTAGAAAGGAAATAATTCGTTTTTTCTCATTCTGGAAATGAAATCACGCATTCAAGTTATTGAATCTAAGAAGATTTATTGGTAAAAAATGGTTTTCTGAATACCTAGAGCGCCCTATTTGAGGGGGCTTTTTTATCTAATTTTGTCGTGATTTGCGGAACTAAAAAAAATGCTTTGATCGTGCGATACATAGCAAATACGGCTCGATTTTGGCCTCACATATGACCGGAACTCATCAGGGAGTGAAAATGACGGAGATATTAAAAGGTGTAAATGATTTGAAAATCAGTAATAAAGTTTGCATTCCACGTCGACTCTTACTACAATTTTTTCAGCAGATTCCTGATCTGATGCAACTTACAGTGTTGCTAACGGGCTTTCAGAGGAATCAAATGACATTTCAGTGATTAGTTATCATGGCTGAGGTGTCGTTTTAAACATTAAACAAGTATACCATGTGTCGAAACATTAAATGTCCGCCTCTTGCAGCGATTATCAGAAGAGTGTCCTTTGAGATAACATCTTTCATGAATAATTGATTGCATTTGTTTCTAGGAACAAATTTGTGGGCTGTTTCAGTCGGAAATAAATTATCTATAAGCAGCAAATACGTAACAGTGAAAAGAGTTGTATATCACGTCCTACCCTAACAAACTCACCATTCTTCAACGTATCCAGAATCTTTCTGACCCATAATCACAGTAGATACTAAAATTAGCTGCAGAATCCTTTACATCAATACGTAACCTGTTGTTATTATGAATGAAAAAGGCTTAGGAGTGAATACTCATCGCCGGCGCTAAAAAATAGTTATGGCCTTCAAATGTTTGATGCGTTTGAATACTACCTCAGTGTGCCTCCTGGAGCGAACATGCCTTGGGGGATAAAAAAAAATGCACAGATCTATACAACATCAGATTTATCATTAATAAGATCAGGACCCGACATGCAAAAAGCATTTAAAATATGTCTTTGTTTAAAATTACTCTCTTTTTCGAAACACAAGTCAAAAACAGAATTTTTACTTCTGCGGCCCCAGTGGATGTATTTTTCAAAAAAAAAAATGCTTGCTTTTAACGGAAGATCCAACAACGAAATTACAACACGTTAACAGACATAACTTGAGCTATGGCAGAGAAACGCCAAATTATCAATATGAATTCTTTACAAGAAATTTTATAATTAGAAAATCTCAGAGTTTTTGAACTTAGACTTGAGATTAAAAAGGTTTTGGTCACAATTTTAATCAAAACTAATAATTTGCCACTAAAATTTACAATCTTCAGTACTTTATATCGTATTTTAAAAATCACCGTCAACTTTTCAGTTTTATTCGGTTTAATTTATATTTTTTATGGAGGGATTTCTGTGATGTAGTTGACTATGTGGAATTTAACTTGAATAAATTTACCCTCCGCTAAGAATTATTTCGTGTCATAATTGAAGAAGTAGCTGAAGTCCACTCAAAATTCCACTTACATGAGAACTATTTTCAAACTGTTAATCGCTGCAAGGCCTTAATTTGTCATCTATGTCTCCGCGGAAGGAAATTAACTGAATGATTAATTTCTGGTGTTTATCAACGAGGCGTAAACCGTACTAGAGTAAGAACACGCAAATACCCAAAATATGAATAATCTTTATCAATTAAAGAGGATTAGACAAAAAACAACTTGAAAGGGAACTACAAATATTTCTTCAAAACCCATACATGCCATATTGATTTCTCGAACACAGACTCCAGTTCTTAAAAATTTGAATCTTCAAAATGAAACATTTTGCGTTACATGATTTGCGTGATGAACTCTTCTCAAACCTGTTATTAATACATTATGTAAAGTACTTATATACGATGTAGTAGAGAGACCCTGTGTTTATATCAAAACCATAAGATGCAAAAGAATACTCTGAAAAAGAATAAACACGCATCTTTAGGCTCTTAATCGCGGAGTTAACCACCTGGATGTTTCGCTCTGACGAAGGGCTAACGCTCGAAACATCAGCTTTGAAACTCTTTACGGTGGCCAATTTAGGTTTTCAACTCAGTTGTTAACACTAAATTACCAATATATATTTTAAAATCAACTCAGAAAAAAAATCACCTGGATGTTAAATACTTCGCCTGAGGGATTGTATCAATCTTTAAGATCATGGAATATTTCATATCCTTATCGCATATTTGAATTAATCAAATGTTCACACCTCTGTATGTGTTTTTCTACCATGAATAAATCAAGAATGTGTTCTGGGATGATAAATTAAGTTTTGCTAGTGTTGTTGTTTCATTTCGTATATAAAAAAAGCTTTGAGAGAAGATCAACCACAGTTATCATAGTGAAGGTGACATAATCTATTCATTTAACCACCGTCTGAAGTTAATTTCTGGTAAGCATCATCAGCAGTGATTTATTTTGCATGGATAAATAACAGATCATTTTTAAATTATCCCACAACTCGGTTTTCCAATAACATTTCTCGCTTTATACCTTGAGAGAAACAACAATTTAGTTGAGACTTTAAACAAGAATTCTTAGAAAAAAATCTCTTCCGCTCTAAATGTGACTTTTACAATAAATTCTGAAAGTATAGATTCCGTGAGATTACTGTAGGCAAAACATTTGCCCATTTTACTCTTGTTTTGATTGTCTTAATTTCTTCACTGTTAATTTTTTCCGCAGTTTGTTTCGGAATAATATCCTCTATTTCTCGATCGAGAAAAATCGTGTTATTTGCATTAGTTCTGGGACTTGATTCTTTAACACAAAATCGGTTGCTGCAATGGACATCAAGCTCATTTCAAATAATTCATTTTGTGTCTCTTCATCTTTTACGAGGAATTATTGACGAAATTTTCGATCCATCTTCAGATTTGTCGCCATGAACAAAGTACTTCTCACAGTTCTGGTGTTCGTGCTAGTTGCTGGTGTGTTTGTTGATCAAGGTGAAGCCCTGCTTAGAGCCGGTAGAGATCGGATCGAGAAAATGCAACGAGATGAGTCAGCGGCAATGGAGACAGCTCAGGAAGAATTACGAGGTGACGCTTATTGCTACACTGCAGGTAACGTAACAGATGGTGAACAGATATTTTTACTCGCTCTCTTAGCCAGGAAAATGCCAGTAATGAGAATGTGGCTTGAGGCGTTTGATTTTGACAATTAACTGCTTTTCGAGGAATTTTCCATCTGATTTTTACCCTAAAAAAGGTCAAAGAATCATTAATTGCTTTGAAAATGACTCCTCATTTTAATTATGAAGTAATAGTTTGTTACCATAGAAACTGGTTCACGAACAGTTGAAGATGAAACAGAAACTATTGATAAAGGTATTCGCTAATAAAATATTTATTGGCTAAGTCTGACCGAGAAAAAAAAGCAAATTGAAAGGGACTGAAATCCACTATACTCCCTCCTCGACCCTCTCGCTTACCTCGGCTTCGAGAATTAAACCATCGATAAAGTATAATTATTTTTCGGACTGGACAAATTTTCTCATACTGACTGAGACTTTTCTAATTTTAATTTTGTAACAGATGGAGTACAAAGGAAGAAAAAATGGCAACGAAATTAATTGATCATTTGTAACTCATCGAAAGCAAATAATGCGCATGACAACAAAGAAAGCTCTAAACTTGTATTAACAACGCACTTCAGCTCTGAATAAAAATTGCAATTTATGGTAGATCAGGGCAGTTTTTATCGATATTTTCTAGTGTCCTAACAGTATTTGTGAAAATTTCATGGAAAGGGTGTGTCACAGTTTATATTTCCGCATGTCATATAATTGTGTCTTACTGTGAGGCTGTCCAAACGATGATCGTCGAACAAAGTTCTCGTGGCATAGAGGATGACAGCGAGTCGTCAGTGTTTTAGTTTTAGTTCAGTTTAGGTTCGTATCCTAGATTCACTATGCAGAGGGAAAGTGGTCGTACGGTAAAACAAATTCGGCAGACAGGAGAGGTGAAAGAGTAAAAGTATATTCCTCAAGACTGGGGAGAGAGAGAGGAGAGAGGGGGGGAGAGAGAGGGGGGAGAGAGGGGGGGAGAGGGGGGAGAGGGGGGGAGAGGGGGAGAGAGGGGGGAGGGGGGAGAGAGGGGGAGAGAGGGGGAGAGAGGGGAGAGAGGGGGGAGAGAGGGGGGAGAGAGGAAAAGAAAACTAATCTTTTTCTTTCGTGCAAATGAATGGCAAACCTCGACAAAAACGCCTGCTCCCCTTATTTTTCTTTAAAGAATAATCTGAAATCATTGTACACATTGAACACAACAATAACAAGATAGTGATTCAAGTTTATTAGAATATATGATCTAATGGCAGAATTTTACAAAAGAGAGAGCAATCATCACAATGAGTAAAGGCTTAATGCTTTTGAAACACGCCTCGCAAAGGATATAACTGAGTTTGTTTAAAATAGCTGGCATTTTTTCGTTCCAATTGTCGCTTTCTACCTATAAGAGTCGAGAACAACGAGCTGCACATTCCATCTTTGTCAATTCGTAATTTCTGAAAGAGAACAATTGAAAATCTTAGATTAAAAAAAATCAGGCAATTATAAGGAAAAGAAATATTCACCATTTGGCATCATAAAAGTTACTTAACCATTTCATCCTGATGAGTGACCGGCTTATCTTTTTTTCGGGCTCACAGAATCGCCCGTCAATCAAATGTAAACGTCATAAGAAGAGAGGAAATGTTCTCCAATTATAAAGGTTCCTGATCATCAATCAAATTCTCCTTAACAGTAACACAGAAATGGGAAGAATACAGTGTTGAGGTTATGAATACATATATGTTATTCACCAGACGGGAGGTCCGTATTGGGAAAAACTGTGCCCGAGGTCTTGGATACCGCCGCACAGTTTTTCCCAATACGGACCGACCTTGGCTGGTGAATAACATTTTTATTTTTTTTCGAAAAACCTAACAAATGGTTGCGAAAAGAACCGCCCGCTTTGAGCGGGCCCGATGGGGAGAATACTGCCCGCTCTCGGAACCGATCAGATTGCAGGATTTGTAGAATACCGCCCGCTCACGAACTGAGAAAAAAAATAATAGTGTATTCGGCTACCAATGCAACACACCTTCATTTTCATTTCCCAAAGGTCTTGCACGTCTATAACCTGATTTTCTGGCGTAAACCGGCTTCGCTTGGTTATGCATTATTTCGAGTTCTTCGCGAACACCTTTTCTAGGAATCATTATGTTGTCTCTTCCAGCTCTGAGAACACACTGAACCTGTCCGACCAGTGTTACAGTGATTAAAAAAACGGCCAACGTTGTAAGAAGAACGTTCTTCATTGTCAATAGATTATCTTCAAACCTAGAGATTGAATGAAAAGAAAATTGGCTGAAAACGAGAAGGAAGGCACAGACATATCAGTTGATGATTAGAGGAAGTCGAAGTTACATTGGAAAAAATGGATAAATATGGAAAGAGGAGGTTTAAGGAAAGGGAAGACTGCCACGAATTGTAAATGACTACAAAATATTAGTTTGGTAGGATAGAAAAACACAAAAGAGGCAATCATTGGAAAACGGACAACAAAGGATGGAGAGGATTGACAAGGATTGTAAATGACTTCAAAATATTAGTTTGGTAAGATAGAGAAACACGACAGAGGCAACAATATACCAAGAAGGTACATGGATAGCTGGGAATGAACAAGATCGATACGGATTGTAAATGACTACACTTGAATAACAAACTACAGGTAATTAGTCAATCAATACTGATGAGCAAAGCGCGGAATGGAGAGCGAACTGTCCACTGATGAATGTTCTTGTAATTTATTTTTCTGAACTGACTTCAATTTATAAGACAACCATTATCTTTGTTAGAATTATTCGTTCGTATTTACGTACTAAATTGATGGTAGAAGCTATAGAGCGTTCCCAGAATTGATAAGTATTGACAACAAGCAACTGAAGCCATTACAGTTTCGGAAAGCTAATGTTAGTTATGGAAAAGATATAAATCACTTAATGCGAGCAAAGGAGTAATTCAGACTTTTTAAAATGGAGTGCTAAGCAAACTGAAATAATTTTAATTTCTGTGGAGTTTTTCTTTTGCTTAATCAATCATTGAGCGGCCTTCTAGACCTTACGGTGACCTTCTAAAACCAGCGATATTCACAGATGAAGGTTGCTACAAATTACGAAAAAATTCGTCTCGGTCTCTAAAGCACAGCCAGGTGCAGGAATTACTTGTGTTCAGATAGCTATTGAAAAAGCTTCGCGGGAAGGAATTCAAACACCACAGATGTTTGAAAAGTCTTTAACGGTGAGTTTTAAGCCTAAAAACGGAATGATTATATATTCTGGTTTTACAAAACGCCCAAAATTTCATAGCTCACAAGTCAAAATTTATCCAGAATGAAGTAAAGGCCACTGGGGTATTTTTTCAAAAAGCCTTTGAAAACTGTGCCATAGAACCGCCTATGTCGCCTCTCGAAAAACATTTCTCGTTTGCTGAGGGTCTTCTGCATTTGCTTAAAAGTATCATTTGACGCACGGAGAAATTTATGTACGGCATTATTTGCCGCTGAAATCTGACAGCTTGTGCAGCTAGAATAAGCATAACTTTACAACGTTTTTTTACACAAATATACTGAGCAGTATGGATATTGTACAATTTTTTTTTTACTGAGTAGTAACCAGAATGCAACAGTTAACACCAGTTCTCCTACCTTTGAAATGATATATGTTGATGCTGAATAAATTCTGCTGACTTCTACAGTTTGCAAAACTTATCAACGTAAATGCACTCTCTTACGCGCGACAATTAATTAACCCTTCCTCAAAACGACCGTTAACAAATTTTCAGTTTTCAATTTAAAGTTGTTTACTATGATGCTAAAACTTAATCTACCCTAGGGAAATATACATCTGCTTTCATATTCGAACAATAACAATCCGTTTCATTACAAACTTAATAAAGAAACTTTTCAAAATTAAAGGTCGCATCTTGCTTAGGGTGTTTCATTCTTCGTTTGCGGTATCATTTGGCGCATTTTTCTGAGAAAAAATCCGTAGGGAATCAAAAGAGCATAAAGGAAAACGAATGAAGAAAAAGTTCAGTTACGAACGGAATTTTTGGATCGGAAAAGGTTTTTTTTTTGCGTAACTCCATTACACAGGGAAATTAGCCGGTAAAAATATTTCAAGTAAAAGTAGTATTATATGAAAGTTGTTTTTAGTTGTTTCCAACAGTCAGTTTTTTTTAAATCGTTTGAATTTTGCACCCAGACTGTACAAAAACTTTCCAATCCAGAAATACTTCCTAAAAGAAGCTTGAAGAAGCTTCATTCGGTATTCGGCCGTTTTGAAGTTAAGATTTTAGATTTAAAAAGTGAATCACTTACTACAACAAAAAGGGAACTATCGATCGCAACACGCAGTCAAATCACTGATCAAAGATTCCTTTTAAACAACAGCCAGTACAGATTCTTACCTAAGGAATAATGTTGCTGCTACTGTTTTCTTCTATTTGGCGTGAAACGTCAGTAGATCGCTAGACGAATGGTGTCTGAACGTTTCCTTCGGCAGCCTTCCTTTTTATAACAAAAGTCACTATATTTAGTTTTAATGATGTCCACCAGCGTTTTTAATGGTAATTCCTTCTCAGTTCATTTTGCTTTATCATTTATGTTTTATTATATCGTATTTGAAAGGAACGTTGTTTAGCACTGGGAACAAACAATTTTAATTAATCATCTATAATAGTCGTGGGTCTTTTGAGAGCCATTGTCTAGGCTTCGTTTGCCGCTTTTAATGATTCACTCTTTAAACAAATTTCTAAAAAATTGTATTTTTTCATAATCTACCCTACTGCGGTATTGTATCTTGTAAGTGTGTGTGCAAAGACCGAACCGCTCTGCCTAATCAAAAACTAAAGTTTCTTTCACGAATTATCGAAAGGCAATTTTTCACCGAAAAACGCGCTATAGGACTGAAAATCGTCGTAGAAGTAACAAAGGACTTACTTATCTACAGTTTTACGACCAGTTAGCTAGGATGACGGTTTTTTGTGTCGGTACAATCAACGAAACATTTCACCTCGTTAATTTCTATGACACCTCTTGTACAATTCATTGAAAATGAGCTAGGGGTAAAAAGCCGTTTGTTTAGGTTTGTTCGGTGCGGACAAAAAAATGCTGATGGAGTAAGGTAAGGGAATATTTACATCTAACGGAGAAACTTTCATTGCGTTTTGGACAACCAAAATTATGCTGCAAGAAATACTTTTTGAATTAAGAATTCGATTGAATGCTTGCAATCTTATGATGATGAAAAACAGACTCAAATGCTTTCTCTGAATGAAACATTTCGATGATCTTTTGTTGGAACGTTTGCTCCCCACCACAATAATTTTTGCGGTAAAACTACATTGAAAGTTCTATCAACAGTAAAACCTGAAAAACACGCAAATTCTGAAGGGCTAGTTCGTACAATTCATAACAGTGGCTTTAATTTACGAGATTAATTCAGTTTACACAATGTAAATATCCTCTCATACCAAAGAGTACCGATCAATGCTGTAAATTCTAAGACCACTAACGACAATTTCATAGTGTTAAGATTTACCGCACCGATATTTTTTTAGTCATTTTCCCGTAATTAAAAAGAATGATCCAAAATCATCAAGTGACTTGAAAACCATAAAGCGGAAACTAATAAATAGTCGGTCTAGACAAATGAGTTAGAGAAAAACTTAAAGTTGAATTAATAATTGATTAATTGGCGGTGTCGGTTCAAGTCTAAAAGGTAATGACAATGAAATTTGTTTTAAGATGTAAAATTAGAGAGTAAACCGAAGTCTTCATTTACCTAACGAACTCTGCTTATAAAGGACTTTTGACTTTGCGTGTTTATAAGTGCGGAAGCGGGCGCAAATTAACTGGCTTTGAATACTAAGCCGGCAAGGTTTGTAAACATGCCACGAAAAACACCCAAGAGAAAACGAAATGGACTATTAGAGTTTTTGAAGGTTTTCACGCTTTCAGATTGTCATTGGCTTAAGGACGTTAATAAAACTCAAACACAGCTTACGCTTGTATGATATATAAAGTTTCGTCTCGGGAAGCGGCCAGAGTACTCAACATGCTCAAGAAGTAGGGAAAAAACTCGACTGCTTCACGTGTTTCCTCTACACATCTTTCGTACTCTAACTCCATAGTTTATTTCAAGCTGAAAATTTCAGCCAAATATAGACGTTTTACTAAACTCAAAAATTGCATAACAATGAGAAGTTAAAATTTGTAGAATTCTTTCTTTGTGCCAAATAAGAGGAAATTCGTTATTTCACTCCTGTCGGCTTATTCTCGACATTTTCAGAGTAACAGTCCTGAAATTACGCTACATTACAGATGCAAACGGCAGCAGAGAGCGAACTTTCATGAGTTATGCGGATCATAACATTAGCAACTTGAGGCTTAAAGGATGTATAAAACCGTTGCCAACATTTGTAGTTTCGGTGGGTAAATTTCCAGCGAATTATTTTGTGTTTTCTGGAGTGGTCCGGTTTAAGAGAATTACATTTATACTATACTTAAATTACACATGGCATCTGATATGGACATGAAATGTTAAAAACTTTATTCGCTCTTTTTATTGCATTTATTTGTATTCCATCTCAAAAATAGTAGGCGTGATCAAGGAGATAAAATCCAGAGACAATTCAAAGACTTCCTCGCATCTACAAGGTCTGTTCGCAGCAGGTAGATCGTAAACAATGTAAGGTTTGGGGTATCACACTATAACTTATTTCGGGAAAATTCCTGAACCATGTATGGAATACTTTATCTGTGGTCGTCAGTTTCCGACTGTTTTACAAACCCTGCAGAAGTAAAACGAGAAAGATATTGTTTGAAAGGAGTGAGAACTAGAAATATTAAGGGTGTTTCATTCTAGGTTCTGAGATAGGATATAAAATTCTAGCTGTTGTCATTGTAAAGAAGAGAGTATGACTTTAGTCTTCGAAATTTATCGGACAGCTAGAAGGAGAGCACTGAGAAACATTGCAAATGTTTATATTCATTGTGACTAAGGACTTTGCAGTTTTATATAGGAGAAATGATGACCGAATCAGGAAATGCTTTTGTGATCTCGTTGAAAGCAATAAACTCGAAGAACTCAGCTCCTTGCCTTGGGCGTGGTCTTCATGACAACTACTCATTTAGGCATGCTCAGAAAAGAAATAGTCAACGAAAATCTGCATAATTTAATTTGTTGTAAACATGAAGTAAAAAACCTTTATTTAAACGATATCAGTTTTACTCACCTCTAATTGTGTTTGGTACATATCCTTTTAAATTGCTATTCGTGTTTATGCGGGCGTTTCTTGGAAATATTTTGTCTTCCTGAGAAACTTTTATGTTAAATGTTCTTCCTTCTCGGATGAAAGCACTTCCTGATTCCCACAAAACTGTAAACGTTGCGAAAAGCAGAGCAAAACAAATGGATACCTTGTACGTGAGCATAGCTTCTCTTTCTCGGATATCAAATCTATGAAGCAAGGAGGTAAACAAATTGTATATTTTTAATAAAAAGTGCTAAGTTTTAAATATGGCCTGATAGAGAGCTTTTCGACAAAATGTCGTCAAGCAAAAATCAAAGAAATTCTCAGCAGGCAATAAACCTTTAGCTAGCATTTTTTTAACCATTTCAGGTCTCCGGGAAATTCACAGCTTTATCTTTTATAAATTACGCGTACAGATACACGTGAATAAGACGAAATGTGAAAGAAATAGACCAGAGTATTATTACATGACCTAAAATGGGTAAACAAAACATACAAGCTAAATAGGTCTATCAAGAAAAAGTTCAACATCACACAACCTGACGCGCGGGAAAACGCGGATAGCCCAGTCGCGATTGGTTTTTTAGTTTTGTGTCTGATTGGTTGAGAGCATGGCGCACGTTTCCTGGACCAATCACAGAGGGGATTGAAGCTAAAACAAAGTAAATTCAGACTGCTTTCAAAATTCAATTTAACGTGGCTCTAAGATTAGACTTTTCGAGTCATATAACAAAGAAGATATCTTCAGTTTCTTAACAAGTATTACATATAATCAGTTGAAGATTCAGCTCAAGTAAATTCTGTAACAAAAAAGATAACTTGTATTTTGACCTGATGAAGACTCCTTGATACATAAAAGCATTTTCATCTGATGCCTTTTGTGTTAAAGAGTGTTAGTCACATGCAATAAATTTGGGAATAAGAAGAAGAAAGGGTTTAACTAAAGTTGTCTGTCCATTGCATCACATCTTCGGAGTAAATCGATGACAAAACTGAACAACAACCGAACAAAGACGATCTTGAATTCAATATCGCTTTGATAACAAAATGAAGAGACCCTCTTCAAATGCTAACAAGTTACATTTTCACAAATATGTTTACGAACCTGAAAATTCTAGAAGATACTTCCACGGATCCTACTTGTATCCAAAAGCAGTTGCAACGATCGAATTTATACGCGTGACACTTGGTTACAATTAAACGGATGCAAGCAGGGGAGGGATCTTCCGAGCTTAGTAGATCGTTAAGATAAAAAAGTCAATATTCTCGTCGGTTTTTTCAACAAGTACGCTTCCTTATCGATGCGATCGGAAACAAGACTCAGATAGTTTTAATGAAGTAAATCTAATTAACTTCACCTGCGAAGAACAAATCTTTTCTCGGAGATTAAGATCGTACTACAATAATTGGACAGATTTGGATCAACTGATATCAAAGTGTAATTCAATATATTTCGACAAGGATCAAATGCTAAATTGGAAACCAAAGATAAAAGTTTATGCTTTCGGAAATCTTTGTGCCGGTAAAGCTTTGTATCAAAATGAAGAAAAATAGTTCTTAATGGTCTTAAATTGAGAAGGGATCGATGTATTTATCCGATTTTATCCAATTTATCTCTTGTAAATAGTTTTGTATCTTTTTATTGAACATAGCTTATGAGCCTTTTATTGTACATAGCTGATTTAATAAAAGCTAAGTTTTTTCGTCTGTCTCACGATGTAGTCACGTGCGATCTACATCACACGTGACTACACCGTGAGACAAACGAAGAAACTTAGCTTTTATTGTTATTCACCACAGTAAATAACCACAACCTTTTCTACGAAAATAGCTGAATTAGTTCTTGAATCTCTCTAATTGTATAAACCTTATGCTGTTTTACCTTTAATTTAGGGAAACATCATAAGGTAAACTTCCAGTTTGCCTTTTCAAGATGTTTTATTACTTTTGTTTTTTTTTCAAAAATTCTCAAAGGTGGTGATTAAAATATGGACATCTAGAGGTGAACTCTTTTCTTTATTTTTCCTTCGTGACAACACAGTGTTCTGCAGCTCTTTTTCCCGGGATAAAGGAGAAAACGTGTTTTACTTTCTGATGTAGTTTTAAAAAGGTATTGTTCGCCGTGAAACCGACTATTACTTGCCCAACTGTTACTCGATCATGTTAAAAGCAACGTGTATTCAATATACTTCCAAGCGTTTTTGAAAAAGCGAGTCGCAAATGGGAAACTTTTTTACGGGGTGCAAGTCTATTTTTTTGATTGACAATAGGCAGTTCACGGGCAGACAGATTTAAATCAACCAGGTTTGAAATTTACGGATAAGGCAAGACGAGGAAGTAACACAAATTAAGCTGTGATGTAAAATCAATTGTTTATCTTCAGTATGATAAGGCAAATTTCCTCTATGAATAAGATAATGAAATAATTGGTATCATTTAACTAATGAAAATAAATTTGGTTTTTGGAACTATCATTTCTACAGCAAGATAACATTTTCTCGAACACTTAACAAAGACCGCTAATATCAGATTGCTTTCTTCTAAAAAATAATAAACGACTGACGGATGTATATTCATTTGCGATTATTTGTAACGAGCAGGGTAAATATGCTGCATCAAGTCAAAGGAAACGCATGCGCGCCACAGGACATGCCTGAATAATAAACTGATTCAAATCCATCTCGATATTGCTGTCAAAACACTCAAAAGAAATGTCAGGATAGTGAATCTCTTCCGACAGCTATACTTTAGTAACTGATTAAGTTCATTCCCTGTCGTGAAATAAGTACATTTCATCAGTATGTCTAGTTATTAAAACATTAATGTGATTTTTCGCAGTAAATACGTAGGTGACCTCTTCTGATTAAAGTTTTGTAATAAAGCGGAAATCAATTTTACGACGGTCATCAAAAACCAAGAGAACAGAAAGGACAAATAAGGCACAACTTCTACGAAGATCAAGTTTTCTGTCACATATTCCACTTTATGTTTATGATTCTGCTACTTTCAGAAACCAGTCCGAGTTGAAACAACTCAAATATGATCCACAGAAGTAATCCCAATATTTAAACATGGGAGTTTATGTTGACATTGAAAGTACCACGATCGAGATATATGTTTTACAAAAAGCAGAAAAACAGTTAAAAACCCATCAGCTATTTATTCAAGACAAGTTTAATTTACACGTGTTCATCAGAATAAGGACGAGAGATCTGGTACAAAAGCTGAGTAAGTATTTAAAATTCTTGACATCAGCTTATACCTAAAACCGCAATCATCATGTGAACACGGGCGAGTAGGACTTACTGAACTGTCCTAGGCAAAAGTTGCCTCGTCCTCAGTCACCCGCTCGCACCCAGTTTCTCGCGCTTTGGGCAAACTAAGTCTTTGGCCGACCAAGAGTTTGGAGAAGCTTTGTTGGGGAACATTCTAGTGAACTCATGCCCACTCTAGATGCTAAAAGCAAGTTTGTTATAAAAAGGAAACAGAGCAGTGTTCTTTCGACCACCTTATGTAGTTATGGATTAAAAGTATCATGAAAACATATATAAACGGCAAAAAAATTGTACCTTCGTTTGCTTAAAGAGATTTTAAGCGAGAAGACAACAACTCGGAAAATTATGATATAAGCCCCACAAAATTAATTCTTAATGTCTACAGTACACGTTTTCTTTATTTTGAACATCGCATTTGTTTATGTACAAATATCTATTTTATAAAATAAATATTTACATATAAATATATGTTTTATGTGTAATAAGTTATTATCGAACGAATACTGGTCCGCACTCGAGGCACGTGACTCACCAGGCAACAGAGCTTGTCTTTGACTCCATCGCATGAAGTCACCAGTCCCAGTCCCAGTCCCACTTAAATTCCTAGGTGGAGAGAGGCATTGTGAGAGTAAAATGTCTCACCTAAGAGCACAACACTATGCCCCCAATCGGTCTTGAACCCAGGCCTCTCAACCGGAATTCGGCGTGTTATCAAGTCTCTCACAACAAGCAGTAAGTTTATCGAAAAGATCCTTCACACCCAACAATGAGTCATCAACAATTCTCTGGCCATAATCTCGTTTCCACTTGCTCGATAAATCAAAGACAAATTAAATGCTGTTTCTCTGTGGAGATCGTGCTTTTCTGAAAGCTGAATTAAAGAATGATGAGTGAAAAAACTGAAAATTAAAAAATTGAACAGTTGAAAATTGAAAATTGAAAATTGAAAATTGGAAGTTGAAAACAACCTTTAGCGTTGACTAGCCATACCTTCCCACGGTTACTTCCGTCGCTTTTGGAGGCCTCGTGTAGAGGGAATTCCAAAGCTTTGTTGTAGTAGTGGACAGCGAACTGAAGAAGACCTGTAATAAAATCGACATCATAAACACTAAAAAAAAAACAAAAAAAAACAGGTACATGAATAAACGACTATAATGAGAAGCATCCCCTCATGGCCTCGCTTTTGAGCGAATATTCTGCTGATTTTCAACATGTTGTGGAGACAAGAAAGGCTAAATTATAGGATTATAAAAGAGTAACATATGGGCCTTCCAGTTATGAAGGAAATTCTCAAACTTTAACATCGAGGAACTTACCTAACTGATGAAAAGCACGAGCAATGTTGTAAAACGCCTCTTGACATTCGCCGCGAAGACCGAGATATTGAAAAAGAAAGATAATGCCCTATTGACAAAAAATATAGATCCATTTTTAAAATCTACTACTAAACATTCCATATTTTAACGACTTGGTGTCAAGCCGAAAAAACAGGCTACCTGCACAACACAAAAGTGTCGGTTCCTTGGAAACCGCTGGCAAGCTAAGTGAATGTACTGCAGGCCTAAGCAGAGCGAGATCAAAGGATCCTCTGGGGCTTGGCGGAAAGCTCGAACGTATTCGCCTAAAATTGAAAGAAAATAAAAGAAAAAAAGATTTAATCAGAAATTTAAGGAGTAAAACAATACATCCTGGTAATCAGGGATTCTACAACTTCAAAATAGAGCGATTTTCAATCGACCACCCAAACTGACCGAGAATAAAGTTTGCTTTCATATATTGTCTCTGATTGGTTCAAAAATCCTGTGTCTCGTATCACTTCTCAACCAATCAGAATCTACACTACCAGTGCCTGATGCTGATCACGTACATTTTCTCTGATTTGGTGCGCTCTGTCACCCACTATCGCTGTGATTGGCTGTTGCAATAGACTCACAATACTCGCTTAAACCTCTCTAAAATACTTAGCCTGTAACAGAAGGACCCCTACCTACTGCAAATCGGTAACTTCCGCTGACCAGAGCATTGTGACCGCTGAACATAACTAACGGAAACTCATCAGGACTTTTAATCAAGAGCCTCAACACATAGCGCTGATGTCTGCAGTCCCCAGACCTGGCGGTAATTCGAGAAAGTATGTTCCATAAGACTGGATTCTTTTTGTCCCTCGCAATGAGTATTTTTGTTGCGTCAAACGCTACTTTGTACTCTCTGTTGAGGTACAACGCTACAATACTCATGAAGACCAGTTCTGTCTGATAAGAGTCGGAGAAGCGATCAGAGGCCAGCGCACATAATACCATATGTTGTGCCTCAGAGTGCCGCTTCAAGCCACTAAGACTTGAGACGACCTGGAAACAAAGGAAAAAATATTGGACGTAAAATTGACCTTCTTTCCGAAAACCTAATCATCATTAGAGTGATAAGAATAAAAAAGATGGTGAATTTAAGCTCGATAATGAGACAGAGAAAGATTTTTTCCTTCTTCTCGCGAGCGTGAGACAAAGAAAAAATTCTAAGCCCCACGAGTAGTCCAACCTCAGATCATCGGATTCCGCGCGACGTTGCTTTACCACTAAGCCACAGAGACTCTACGATCACTGAAATCAATCCATCAATTAAATAATCGAATGAGAAAATTTGCCAACAAGTTAACAATGTTCCTTACCTTTTTAAACATCTCCCACCACTCCTCAATTCTCAGCCCAGTGTCTCCTCGACTACAGGCCACAACACCTAAAAAAACAACAAAACAATCTAAACGCTAATAAAAGATGAGAATAAAAATAACAATAATAACTCGAGGAAATACGTTATCTTAATAAATCATCATATTACAGACACGTTTCCTCCATGTAAACAGCATTACGTGTCGATTATTACAGGGTCACATTTCATCCATGTAAATAACGATGCGTGACGATTATCACATAGTCACGTTTCCTCTATGTAAACAACGATGCGTGACGATTATTACAGAGTCACGTTTCCTCTTTGTAAACAACGATGCGTGATGATTATTACAGAGTCACGTTTCCTCCATGTAAACAGTTAGGCGTGACGATTATTACAGAGTCACGTTTCCTTTACAACAGCGACGCGTGATGGCTCAGACTAGTCGTCATTATTACATTATAAACTTTTTCATAGAAACGCAAGCATGTCAGGAAATAAGACAACTTAGAGAAGAATATCTTACTTGCGCGGGACCGCGACTCTTCCTGTTCCAACGCTTCCTTTTGCATCAGTTCCCTTCTGAATCTACTTGACTTCAAGGCCATGTCTTCCAAAAACAAAATGGCAAATATATCACAAGTGTCTGTAACTTCTGTTTTTGTAAAGACGAAAGAGGAAAAAAACACAAACATGCGATTTTTCACAAACCTGTTAGATCTTTAATGTAATACACATCGATGAAAAACAAACGAAACATCTTTATTCCTGCGTCCAAAAACTCATTCATGCGACTCTGTGAGTGTAACAGCGCACACTTGTGGAAGAGCAAACGAAAATCCTGAAAATAATAAAGAAAAAACTTGCAGTCATTCAATCAAAAATTCATCAGTGTGGCAAGGTCGAGGGTCAACCAACCTGAGGTTGTACTGCAGGCTCCGTTTCAGTACCCTCGGAGTTCACAGAACTCGTATCCATGGCAACCTCGTCCTCAACAGAATCTCCAATCCCTTCTCCTCTTGGATCAGCTATGAGTTTAAAGAGCGGGAAAAAGAAGCGGGAGAACAGATTTAGATAAAAGGTTAAAGGATAAAAGGACAGAATAATGATTTCCGACGATAGTGTCCGAATTCGGACGATAGTGTCTGACTTAGAACGATAGAGTGCGATTTTGGACGATACTGTCTGATTTTGGAAGATGTAGTCCGAGTTTTGCCTTGTAATCGTGTCCGATTTCTAAAAGTAGTGCCTTAATTTGGAGAAGAGTGTCCAGCCAATAGAGTCCAGTTTCGGACGATAGTGTCCGCGCATCCTAAGTAGACAAACTTTCCCTCAGTCTTACATGAGCTACATTCAGAAACCACGATGGCGTTGAAATGTAATTAAATAATAAGCTCTTCTCGTCCGCTTTAAGTCATTTACCTGATAGCACATCCAGAGCCTGGTTGGGTCTTCCCAGCTGTTGATGAAGAGAGGCCAAGACAAGACGAGCATCCAGATGATTTGGAGCTAAATTAACAACTCTTGAATAAGCTGAAGCGGCTTCCTCTATTCTGCCCAGCGACGTCAGACATTCTCCCTTTTTCAGCCACACTGCAGCCTAAAATGAATTGAGGAACTGTTGTTGTTATTTTTCAGCAAAATGAATAAACGTAAGTAAGTTTCTAAAGCAACTTAGAGCTGCGTTGGTGGTTGGGTTGTTTTATAAACTGAGTTGATAAAGCTGACATTTCGAGCTTGGACAAAGGGCTAACGCTCGAAATGTCAGCCTTTAGAAACCTTTTACGGTGGCCAATTTACATAGTCAACTTGGTTGATGAAATTTATATGCTATTCATAAGCTTCGTACCACAATTTTTGCCGTGCCATAATTAAAGACACTAAGACCTCTCTTTCTGTTTCCAGAAAGTTCACTAAGATTTGCTAATTACACAAAAAAATTCGAAATCCATGAGACGGGGGAAAAATAGTCTGAAGTGTTGTTTAAACTAAACGTAACGTCCTGAATATGATTCCGTAGAATTAAACAGGAGAACACTGTTTTAAAAATCTCTGAGGGGATTTCACAGTGGAATTTTTAATAGACGAGTCAAGAATTTTAAAGGCGAATCTTCAAATCTCACCTCACCTTGCCTTCCATCAAAATCTACTCGCGTCATGTAAAAATTTTGGGCTTGATCACGCGTCACGTATAAACCCTTTGCCAACCTCTCCTCGTTTTAAACCTCAGCTCAAACAGAACTAATGGGAAATTTATACTTTCCGTGAAAGATAAGGTGCGGAAGAATACAAGGGCGAGGGAAAAGCTACCTACCAGTGAAAAGTTTTTTGACGCTACCAGCATATCCAGGATGGGTAACGCTTCTTCACAGTCACCTACAACACATTTAACACACACACAAAAAAAGAGATACATAGGTGATACTCTTACATTTTTAAATTTCTTTTCTGGTGTTCTTGTCCTCATACAAAAATCCTAGCTCAGCAAAAGAAGTGTGTTCATTTTAATGTGGTTATAAATAAATTAAAAGAACGTTACATCGTTGTATTGCGAAGTACCAACTATTCATTGGAGAAAAAACGTTTCGACTGCTATATTGTTAATCTAGGTCGGGCGATGAGGTCGAATGATTATGTGTAGTTACATGTGACAAGTTTGCTAGGTGTCATTGGCCCATTTTGCTCAAAATTTCCTCAGATGAATTGGCACTCATCAATTCCTTATCCTAAAACAATCTGGACTCTGCCTCGTTTCCCAGAACTCAATTCTTACAAAGATAAAACTAAAATATTGTCTCACCATTTTCCGCATAAGCCTCAGCAACATCAATGTACAGGTCACCTGCTGACTCAACTGTCTCCATGAATAGTGGTACAAGAATCTCCTAATAAACAAACAACAACACAAAATAAACAAACAAACAAACAAACAAAAAACGCGGAAAACTCAAGTATTCAGTTTCGGACTCTTCCATCCGAATTTAGCCAACTGCGCAAGTGTTTGCTTAACACAGGGTGTTAAATTAATTCAGGTTAAGTCACTAATTGAATTGCAATCAATGTTTAAACCCAAGACAGACAAAATACTAGCCAACCTTTCTAATCCAGCTGGATTGGTTAGTTAGGATAACAGTTAACAACTAGAATAAAAGTTTTTAAAGTTTCAAAAAAATGTGATCCTATATTGCAATCATGTAAAGAAGAAACTTCAACCTTGTTTCCAGGATCCTCTCTTTTTTCCTCAAGAGGAAAGAAGAGAGAACCCTGGGAACAAGGTTGATGAAACCTGTCATTTCTTGTTTTAGCACCATATGCCATACCTTAATTGCATGTAACTGCCTCAAGTGAATAAGACATATGGCGAACTTGACACAAAGATCAATGGGAAGGTCTTCAGGTATAATATAGTTGATTTTTTTGTGACCACTGTCTTTCTCAGGAGATCTTGAAATGTCTCCTTCCTGAGCTTCATCATTCATAAGTTGTGAAAATGACGTCAGAGGTGACTCTCCTGTGTCAAGTGACATGACTTCTTGTTTGACATCACAATACTTTGAAATCATCTGCAATATATAGCAAAAAAAATTTCAACTTACTCTGAGAGTAGTTTAGGTGACTGAAGTAAAATAAGCAGCCTAGCCCTGAGTTTCATTCTCAGAGGATAACATTTGGTTAGTAAATATCTCCCTTATTTACTGAGTTTGAGGTCTGTACTGTGACTTATGCACCGTTTCATTTCCCCTTCAATTTTACACTCCCAAAGCAGGAAGTGCACAGGCCATGAGTCAACAATGAAAAAAAAATCTTGGACTTATAGTACAGAAGATGAAATGAGTAGAACATTTATCACATTTCTATTGTATGTGTGTTGAGTTTGAAAGTTTACCTCAAAAGCAAGCTTATAATCTTTTGACGTCATGTGAAGGTCGGCCAACATGTTAATTGCTAAAAACAATGTAACAATTTTAAACAGAAGTTTCCATTGTGGCGAATTAAGCAAAGTGCCTCAATCAAACACAAGACAATTGACAAAGAAATTCCAAATGGTAGTAAAATAAAACTTGTCTTAAAACCTTAAGACATGCAGTTCATGATCAGTATTAGGAACCCAACATTGTATACTGTTATACATTTTGTACACCACCATAACAGAAAAACAAACAAATGAAAAAACAATTGAGAATATTTACCATGCATTGTAAATTGAAGGGAAGGGTACCAGTAGTAGGTTCTTAAATCTGTCACAGTTACACACAAGAAAACAAACAATTTACCTTGGTTATTTGCATGATCAGGATGTTTAGAAAGAGCAGTTTGCAATACTTTTATTGCCTCATCCAGGGACTTGTTTTCATGATACAACTGAGAAAAGAAAATAACGCAGATATACTTCATATGAATAGTAGCTTTGGACAATGTACAACAAGCAATTTCAATTGGTTTCTTTAGCAAGGAACTCCTCTGTAAACATTACTTTTATCCTTCAAATATTCAGTTGTCCATGGTCTGCCAGAAAGCCCTCACAATTAGTGCTTCAGTAAGGGAATTTCTTCACTTATGAGAAAGTTTGAAGCTGTGGACAAGTCCCAAGCTGGAAAGAGGTCTGTAAGAGGTCACTGGAACTGACAACTTCATAACCAGTGCCAGATCTCTTCAGCACTCTTACCAGCTAGTGTTGCTCAAGACCTTAAAACTTATTTACAAGGGAAGAACCCTCATGCCTCAGTGCTAATAATAATAAAGGCCTAATCACAGGATGAATTTTCCCTCCTTGCTTAAAGCAACTGTTATGTTGTCTGTCAATCTTAATATAATACTATGTCTTTTGCAAATAGCAGAATTTGTCTACTGTCAGTATGAAACTAAGATACTCACCTTAGCCATTTCACAAGACAACTCAACAAACTTTGCCCCATCATCTGAAGGAACATTCTACAAGTGGGTAAAAATTCAAGTTTTAGTTTTATTTAAGAGTACATTGACTAACCAAAATCAATTCTAGGACAATTAATGCATGAACATCTTTCAATCTGCTCAACAATCTGCATGAATTCATGATCAAATATGAGCATTTTCAATAATGATTAATTGATAATTAATAATCAATAACAAATTGACAATTGGTTTCAATACATTTATAGAATTTATCCACCAATGAAATGAAAAAATGACCCAAATTATTACCTTTAGGGCAGATTCGTAAAACTCCAGAGCTTTCTTATGATCTCCCATCTGATAGCACAAAGCTGCTCTGTCCCAAAGAACATTTAAATTTGTCGGCTCCAGCTTCAGAGCTACAGAAAATGGGTACAACATGAGCTTTGGTGTCATAACTGTCAAAAGTTATTCCAGCTTTAAATTTCTTCAGTAGTATCATTCATGTAATATTGAATTGTTTTGCACAGACATATTGCCTTGAACTGCAGATTTTCAATTTCTGTTAATCATGATGATAATTATAATCATCCAATAGACATATAAATCTTATTACTGTTCGCCATTTTTGCATATTCTAACTGGCTTAGACATGTGGTCTAACAATGTTAATGATGGCTTCACTTGGCCTTATTTAAGACTTTGCCTACTGTCAGCAAAGGCAGGTAAAGTCTGTCTGTCTCTCTCCAAGTGGCCCACACAACTTATCATGGATTCCTTAGCAACTATGAGTATCGCTATATCCCCCTGGATGAGATTCAAGTCCATTGCAAGGCTACCCTCCAGCATTTCATCAAACTTCCCTGATTATTCACTGGTACCCGTTTATACCCCTGGTTGGAGAGAGGTAATGCGTGTGTTTAAAGTGACTTAGCCTTCTATCAATGAATAACATTTAATGAACAAGAATGACTGAACAAAATTGCAAACATCTCATAAAAATTAAATATCTTACTTACCTTGATTATAGCAGGTTAATGCCTGATCCAAATTATTCTGTTCAAGGGACATCATTGCTAATTTAACCCATTCCTCCAAATCTCCCGATTTGCTGAGATATGCAGCAATCAGAAAAAACTGTTGAGAAGAAAATACTTTCTTCTATTTGACCCTTTACACCCACATGTCAGTTTGCATATTCTCCAAACTGTTCTCTATACATTCCCTAAGAAGCTGACAAGGAGAATTTGTTTAACAATCAACAGCTTCTTTACTTGGTGATCATTTTTCTCATTCTCCTGACCTTATTGTGTGATTTAAGGGTGATAAGGTAAAGAGAAATTAGATGCTTGTCATTCTTAGGAGTCAAAGGGTTAAATGAAAAGAGATCAGTAACAAGCCTATAACAAAGGAATTGTGTTTAATCTGAGACTGACTCTTCCCATCAAATCACAGAACAGCCAACCTATTATCAACAATACCTGCAGTGCTTTCTCTTGGTCTCCCTGTTCTTCATACATCATTCCTAAGGTCTGGAAAGGTTCTGAACACTTTGGAACTGAAAATTGTTATTCAGATCAAAATATTAACATGAAAAAAAGTGTTGCGTCAATTACAGTGCAGCTATATATTAATGAAATGAAATAGTACATAAGCTTGCATAACAGTGATAAAAGGTCTCCTTCAATGGCGTTCTTAAGGATGAAGCCCACACATGTGTTGTATGAACCTGCAAGGAATGGCTGTGAAGGAACCCAAAAGATAAACTCTTAGCAGTCATAAAGGTGAAGCTTTATCGAAGTCAATTTTTTGGACACATCACCAAAGCTTTGCACATCTAAAGAGAAGTATTTTAAAGATACCAAAATAAAGAAACTTTGGATCAATATCAGTATCTGGGCAACTGCCCACCTACCCCTCCCCTAACTCAACAACAGTCAATTGATAACAAGTTAGGGTTAATGTTGGGTTAGGGGAGGGGTAGGTGGGCAATTGCCCAGGTACTAAAATTGATCTGAAACTTTTAAGCTCCACAATTATTACACACCTGTACTTAGCCCTTTACACCCTAACATCAGTATACATATTCTCCCTACTAATCTCTATATATTTCCTAGGGTGCTGACAACGAGACTTTGTTTATTCAGTCGAGCTTCTTTAGTTGGTGATAGTTTCCTTTATTCTTGTGATCTTAGTGCTTGATTAAGGGATGATACTGTTAGGAGAAATTAGATGCTCGTCACTCTCTCAAAGGGTTTTTATTTGCAATTTATAATTTATTGAGTACCTTGTCGAATAAGCTCCATACAGATTCCTTTAGCTTTCTCAATTTCTCCTCTAGCCCACAGAATATTAGCTTGACCCATGGTTTTCTTTAATTTTGGAGGTAACTCATACAATTTACGACGTCCCGCTCTTCGCCGTTTTTGGACAGGAATCTCCTCCATGAATTCATCAACACCAGTACCACCATGTTTCTTGGCACTTTTTGCAGCAGCTCCTTGGAGCAAAAGATCGGTCATTCGAACTGATGGCTGGGATGCCATTTGTGACTCCAGATTGCAGTCATTTGGATCACTATCAGGAACATGATGTGGTTCACCTGGGAGATCTGTGGTTGGTGCTTCTGTGGATCCAATTTCTGCCAATTTTGCAAACATTGGCTCTGATACAAGAACAGTGATCATATCTGAAAAACAAAACCAGGCATGCTGCTTTGTGTAGTATAAATGAACTTCCCTCACAGCAGGTCATCACCTGACCTAAGTTTTCACAGTACATCATAGCCGTAGCCTCAAAGTAAACTTTTGCTTTCACCATTGTTTTCATTAATCAAACAACTACATGTACAAGGAAGTGTGGCGTTATATAATCTTTCCCCTAACCTCTGAATAACTTCAACATTGATTCCTACTAAGACCTCTTATAACAGTAAAATACAGGGCATAAGTTGATGGGGGGGGGGGGGAGGGGAGCTTGGGTGCTATGGCCCGCACTCTCCCTCACCCCACCTCACTGGGTCTATCTGCTCATGATCGCGTGGGGCATTACATCAAGGACCGTAAAAAAGAGTGTTATTTTCAATAATAAATACAAATTAAAATCAAATAACTTGCCAGTAGTTTCGCCTTTGTTTTCACTCTCCACTGCTCGTCCTTGGCTTTCTTCCTCTCGTCCGACCTCCTCGACATCTTGCAGGCCGATGTCCTCTGTCTCTGCCTCGCCCGATCCACCTCCTCCTATTTCAATCCACTGCTCAAAGCTTATTTCTCCACGGACATATTTCATAAGAGCAGCAATTCGTTCGTCTTCCATGTTAGTTAAGAAGATCAGCACATATCATGCCAAACCGTCTAATAATTTATTTCCTAGCAGTACGTCCTCCATCTTTGGCCTGGATACCAAGCTTGTCATCCGGGAGTTCATGTGTGACGTAAAGGCCTTTGGGATAGTATGCTTCACCTGCTTCACACTCGCTCAGTTTGAACGGAAGGTTTTGTTTGGATTTCTTTTGGAGTACTTGCATTTCGCTTCCAAATGACGCGAGTTTACGTCGGAAATCTGGGAAATAAGGGTTCCAGGCGGGAACTCGAACGTGAGTTTGAGAGATACGGGCCTCTTCGCGACGTATGGGTCGCTCGAAATCCTCCAGGCTTTGCTTTCATTCTGTATGAAGACTCACGGGATGCTGACGACGCGATCCGTGAAATGGATGGAAAGTTAGTATGCGGAGAACGGATTCGTGTAGAACTTGCTCGAGGTCCTAGTCGTGGCGGAAGAGCTGCTCGGCTTGGACTGACGGAGAAATGCTTTGATTGTGGAAGGGTTGGACATTACGCTCGGGTTTGTACACGTCGACCGCCCGGCGGAAGTCGAGACCGCGATCGAGAGCGGCGGCGCTCCAGATCACGCAGTCCACGGTAAGTTAATACCCACAAGAGGTTGTTCGTTCATCCATGAAGTAATCGAAATCTTTAGACCTGTATTCACGTATAAAGTGGAACTTAAGAGTAACTTCTATGCTGAAGCAAAGGCAACCATAGGCAAGCTAAGTGAGCTGATTTCATTTTCAATCTTTGATCGACGTACATTTTATTTTTCTCCGAACGTAGAACTGATTTCGAGAAAGTCTCAGGTCAAAGGCCTATTCTTTTCGATCAGAGTCCCTCGAAGCAACCCAAAGTTTAGTGTACCCAAAGATTTAAGCTTTTTTTCATTAAATCATCTGTATCACATATCAAAATATTTGTAGATAGCATGTGACAAGTTGGAAATATCTCCCACAAGACACTGTTAACTAATAATACAGAGTTTTGTTGTTTCATATATCAGGATTATGTAAATATTGCGTCAGTTGTGAAATCAACTGGCATGCGGTGTGCGTCGCCTACACCTTCAGAGGTGATTCTACCCACCCTGAGTGTGCTTCTTCTACTCTACTCTCCCCTGCGGCATCTACGAGCGTCATGCGTTCAACCATCTTCTCCGACTGCAAGCTTTATGCTTTTAGCCTCTACCCACGAGCGTGCAGGTTTAAACAAATCACTTCCCTTGTGACAAACTTAGTGCGCACTTCACAGCGTCACTTCTGTTACTTTTGTCAGTGAGTAAGTACAAACTTTTCCACAGTAGCGTGTTTCATGCATCTCAGTCTTATTACAGATGGGCAAAGGAAAAATGCTGAGAAATGCAAATTGTCTAAGATCTGTAGTCTAAGCAATGGATAACAGTTTAAAATTAATTTGGTTTCTTAATACTTAACCTTTTGACCTCTAAGACTGACTAGCATTTAATTTCTCCTCACAATATCACCCCTGAATCAAACATTAAGGTCAGGAGAATAATGGAATTGATCAGCCAACTAAAGGAGCTCTTGAAGTAAGACAAACTCTCCTGTTCAGCACATTAGAAAATGTTTAGAGAAAAGCAAAGAGATTATTTATAATGATGTGAGGGTGAAAAGTGGAGAGGTAATTCATGTGATACTGATGCCTTCCAGGAACAGAGGCTTAACTCACTAATGCAGTTGTGTTTACTGATCCCTTTGTTTTTCATTTTAAATGCAACTACCGGTAGTCATGTTAATTGCCTGTGCTTGCAACGGGGTATTTAATTGTGTGTTAAGAGTTTGCCAAAAGATTCAGACTGCAGGGTCCAAAACTAACTTTTCCATGTGAGTGCCTAGTAGCCATTAAACTTCTCTGTTTTGATTGCCAGACGGAACAATTTGGTAGCCAAAAAAGTCATTTTTGCGAAATTTTCACCTTCCAGCTCCAACAAACATTTAAAGTTTCCCAAATTTTCCTTATTGACCTAAAATAATTTTTAGTCATGAATGAGGGGTTGTCAGTTGAGTGTATAAAAGCACAGTAAGATAAAATGGCAAATGTGTTATTTCTTGACATTTGTTTGCATGATGCCTGCTGGCATCAAGCATTGAAATTCTAGTTGTGTATAACCAATTTTCAGTCACATTGGTGATCATTTAATTGCAATTTCTGACCCTGTCTCTCACAATAAAAGAAACACAAAATAATAATTTTATAAACTGTTAATTAGATTGTGTGATCCTTTGCCTTCTGTCAGCTGTCGTCTCTGACATGTTTATTTTAACTACTGATGTTTCGACTTTGATAAATGTGATGGTTTAAAGGTAGTCTTCAGCTTTAATTTTTTTTTAAACCTTACAGATTAAAATTCAATACTTGTGAAAGTTTAGACTTAATGTTAATTACCTGTTTGTGGTCATAAAATTTGATGCCAATGTATGGCTGTAAAGTAAAGATGAGATTCATTCACGAATCATTTCCTTTAAAATGTAAACTGATTATTCTACCATTGAATTGTAGATGAAGCAACCTTTTTTCTGTAATGTGTTTCTTTTTGGCTAATAATTAGGGCAAACTAACCACCTAAACATACAGGTGATTGTAAGTTTTTAAAATATTCTCTTGAGCTTAAAATAGAACTATGAAAAAAGCAGGAATTTTCTTGTGTTGTTGGAGTTGTTCCAAAATAAAATACATTGAAATTTTGGTAAATGAATGAGAAAAAATATTTTTCCTCCCTAAAATGACATTTTTGGCATAAGATGAAGTATTAAAGGTTTTATTAATGCAAGAAATGTCGATTCTTTCCTGGGATATGAGGTGTTTTTTCAGTTGTAATATGCTGTAAGTAAGAGGAATAAATGAAAAAACCTCTCTTTTTCTAGATTAGACTAAATCTGGAATTATCTGAAAAAATTTGAGACCTAGGAATAACCCTAGCTTAGAGCAATTTTTTTTTTCTTTCATGTTGTAAATATTTCTGGTTTTCAGTGACCTTTCATTTATTTGTCTCCGGAAGCTCATTTTTTTAAAAATCTGTTTTCTTTGGAAAATAATCAATTGAATGTTGAACTAATTACATTGCAATTTAATTCTTTAGATCCCGTTCCCGTTCTCGTTCACCCAAACGAAGACGCAGTCACAGTCCATCTCAGTCTCCAAGGTTAGATAAGTTTGTGAAGTAGAAAGCACTGTAGACCTTTCAAAGGTTGTGTTCATTGCAACACCTCAACATTGCCAAGAAATTTAATTTTACATTCTTGTAAAATAAAGCAATATTGGTTCATACCATAATGCTTTGTTACAGTACATTATTTCTCAGTGAGTACAGGTGTACATGCATTTTGATTGGTCAGTTTAGTGGACCGTATTTCACTGTAAAGCCTGCTAAATTCAAAATTTTATTTGAGATATAATAAATATCTTACTAACCTTATTTTTTTTTGGTCTGTACTGTAAGTTATGGAACCTTGGTTTTTTTTCAGTTGAATTTGTGGCACTGTTGCACTTAGGGCATAAATTTATGTGCAAAAAGTTTAGTCTACAACTTACAGTATGGACCTTGAGCTTGAAAGAGGTACCATCATTTTGTCTCCATTTTTTTGCCCATGTTTCAGGAGGAGACGCTCTGCATCAAATGAAGACAGAAAATCGAAATCTCACTCAAAATCTCGCAGTAAGAGCCGTTCACGCAGTCGAAGTGAAGAGAAAATCACTAGAGAAAGGTGAGGGTGAATCCTTTTCATGAAACTTTTCTGTGTTGTACAGCAGTCCCTGGTTGTTTGGAGGGTGGTAAACACTATTCACTGATAAATCTCTTTCCAGTGGATGGCAAAGTATATTTTTCCTCACCTATCCAATGGTTAGCAATCCATCTTGTCTGTATTTTGGGTTTGCATTATCTACCCTGTGATCAACAAGGTCCAGAGTGTTAATTTGACTTGTGCTACTGTATGTGGCTTGTATTTCACAATGATGTACATGTAGGTTTGAAGAGTTACTATTGTAAATGCAAAAAGTCTTCTTTCTGGGGTAAACTTGTTTAGGGTCAGAAAGGTTATTGAGCTGTTTTTAATTTCAGAAGTGCAAGTCCTGGTCCTGACAGAAAACAAGAACAAGAGAAAGAAGACTATAAAAGAAGGGAAGAAACAGGGAGACAAGCTGAAGAAGACAGGCCAAGGGCGGAGGAGGAGAGGGAGCAAAAGTCTCGCAGTGCCTCACCTAGGCCAAATGACACTGACAGCCACTTTAATGATGACAATGTGGAATAACAGTGTGGCTTCTCTCACTTACAGTGTTGTCCAGTTATTTCAGTATTTGTAGATATTCTTCTAAAGTCTGTAGCTTTTAATCAAGAAATATTATTGCTTGAAGATTCAGCTGTAGCTATGGTTTTCCTTGTCTAGATTAGCCTGTTGGGGAATATTGAAGGAATTCTGGGTCAAAATGTAGCTGTTGGATTGGGTAGGGTGCAAGTGGGTCCATGTTGTGGTAACAGGTCAGGCTGTTTGGTGTGAGGCAGGCCCTTTTGTCACCTTAGATTCTTTGATAACCTAAGGCTGGTATGGTGGTGTTAATTATCTCAAAAATTTTTTTATCATTAGAAGTAGTAATGGTATCACTCGCATCGTTCTTTATTACATACTTTTTCTGTTACCTGTCTACAGTGTTTATTATGGTTAGTATATTGTGTGAGTTTGTAAGAGAAAAGTTAAGACCTATTTGAAATCTATGCAAATTAAGTCAAACCACCAAATTCAATTGTTAATGTCATTGGAAATTTAGTACTGTTATAAAATACCTGAGTTTTACTTCTATTGCTTGTGTGTGCCTTTGTAGCAGTTTATTGTCTCATAACTAATTACTTGTTTAGTGAAATGGGATTCCTTTGGTTTCCATTGCAAGTTGCCAGCTGCTCAGGCACTTACAATTTTGAAGGGATACATTGTTTTCCAGTGGTTTCAAAATGTTTGTAAGTAGGTGACCATGAAAAGTCCATTGAAAAGTAATTATTTTGAGCAGAGTAACCAGCGACATGTTGGTGAGTAGCCAGCAGAATTCTGGTGGTCACTGGCTTGTTTTGGAACCCCTGGTTTTTTTCCTCATTACCTGTACAGTATTTATAATCTTTTAATAGCACTTTTTTGGGAACAAAATTGCTTTCAGTAAAGTATTTTGATTTCACTGAGATGGTTCTTTTTCCACTTTCTTATTGTTTTACACTTGCTTATTAGCTTAGGCATATCTTTGCAATGAAGTCAGTAGTTGCACTCCATATTTTGGGGCAGCATCAGTATCTGTATTCTTCATACTGTTCTCCATATTTTTCCTTTGGTACAGGCCAGGGGAATTTATTTGATACTCAATCTTTTAGTTGGTGATCATTTCTTTTATTCTCATCACCTTAATGTTTAATTTGGCAGTGGTACAGGAGAAATAAGATTTTGGTCACTCGTGGGAGTTAGGGCTAAAAACTTATGCTTTTAGTACATCTATACTTGCACACTTTGTAATTAAATTACTTCATGTTCAGCTAACGTCTTGCTGTTAAGGGGCTGTCATTATTAGAATTCATGGAATCAATGAACCCCAAGCGTGTAGAGGGTGACGACAGCTAGATTACAACACCGTATTCTTTGTCCACACCGCATGTGTCTCAAATGCCCGACAGCCCTATCAAAACCACTTCTGATCTGTTCACTGTCAATGTAAGTGGCAACCATAAGTTTCATACAGAACCCACTGAGCAGTGACCAAATGCTGAAATGAAAAGGAAATTTCCATTTATTCCATGTGCAACAGAATGCCTACTAACTAATGACCAACAATTGTGAAGAAAACAACTTTCGGTGGGGCACGTGTTGATCACAAGATTTAGGAGCGAGAAGGGAGAGAGAGGACCCTGGAAACGAGGTTGTGAATGCACATGACCTCATCAAATTTGCCACTGACAGAAATCGAAATGCTGCTTGATGTGTTCTTGAAAGTACCTGAATCGACTTTGGTGTCAAGTTAGAGTGAAAATGTAAGAAGTTTTTGTTAGCGTCCCATAATTTTGCTGCTGTAAAACAGTTCACTTGATTATTGATTATTGATTATTGCCCAAAGTAGGTAGTCGGCTGACTTAGCCACTACGATAAGCGCAACAAACGCATTTTACTAATTTCTTTCACACTCAGTTCAGTCGATCATTCAGTTTGATCTATTACGACCACCGCTGCAGTCTCGTTACAAGCGAGGCATTGAATAACATTCTAGAAATAGTTTTCTTTGGAAACCGAAATTCCTAAAAATGTATATCAGTCTTGGAGAGTTTGCAAAAAGAAGATTGTAAACCCGGCGCGTATCAGGAAATTGGATTTAATTATCTCACTGAAATGGACGCCACGAAAGAAGACGAAAAAGCCAAAGAGCTAAATTCATTGTTCGAGTCTATTGGGCAGCAATGGCAAGACGCGTATGAGGGACTGGAGAGAAATAGGGCCAAGTACACTTGTCATTTTGATCATATATCGGAAGTTTTGAGAAAAGTTAATCCGGAAATTCAAATCACGCTTCGTCCTTATGGAAGCGCCGCTGAAGGTTTAAAGTGTCTGGAACCCAACGATATTGGCGATGTGGACATCATGGCCTTTCCGACGTCTGAGGACCTCATAATTCCCGAGAATTGTCTCGAATATTCCCCCGACAATCCACTGCATGTGAGAATCAAAGTTGGCGACCGTCCCGTATTTCAATCCTGTCTTTATGATGGTACACAGTACTTAGCCACCTCTGCCATTAAAAAGTTCCATAAAGATATTTATGGGAGTTCACTACCTGATTTAGTTGAACGTTTGACATGCACATTTTCCGCACTGCCTCTTGGGAAGCTTTCGCCCGTGGAACATGTCAACACCTACCTAAAGAACAAGACCTCGAGTCCAGCTGTCACTATCGATTTTTCTAAGAGGCTTGGCACTATTTTCAACGGCCAGACAACCCTCGATACCCAAGATTATTTGTCTCCGGAAGGGTCTCTGAAGGCAGCTGACTGGGATTTGACTGACTGGGATTTGATGGCTCATGTAATCTGCATGGGGAGAGGAATCGAGTACACAAGGAAACACGCCGAAGTAGTGAGCGACTTTGTGCAATTTCTGAGTGATTTGATAAAAGAACAGCAAAAGAATGGTCTGTCCTTTTCATCTGTTTTTCAAGAGCTTTATTTGAGCAGTAGAGCGGAAGGGCTTGCGAATAGATTTCGAGAGATTGAAGCTCCCTCGCTAGTTGAGAAGATAGGGATCTTCTTGCAAGTGCCTGCAGAAGAAAGAAAAGAGGAACAATTTGTTTCTCCAGAACAAAAACAAGACAGTGTGTGCGAAACCTCAAGTGCCATGCTTCATACGAAATACGAGGGTGGACGCTCAAATGGAGACGTCTCTTCTACATCGAGCCATTCCACATCGGTTAACGTTATACCTGCGCAAGAAGCCGAAAGGAAAGATGAAGACAGAATTGGAGACAATCGTAATGAAGAGCGCAGTGAGGCGGAGGAAACTCATGCACCAAAGAAAAAAAAGACCTCTGAGGCAGAAACTAAGACGACCGAGTCTCTAAGAAAACTGTATAATGACTGTATTCAACAGTTGTTGTTAGCAGAGACGGATGAAACGACAGGAAATGCCCCACACGGGACGGAACCATCCAACAACGTTACAAGAACGAATTCCTATCATCAGGCATTCGGAATAGATTTTGTTCCCGCCTTGCGATCTCATGGATGGCCGAAGGTAGCTCAAGATTGGCTCAAACAAGAGCGCAAATGGCCTTCCCCAAAAATGGTCGAAAGGGTTTTTCAGGAAGGAGTCCATTTGGTGGTAAAGCCGCCAAAGAAAAATGGAAATCCTGATTGCGACTTTAGAATCTCGTTTTCTCACGCAGAGTACCTCCTGAGTCAAGACATGAACGACATCCAACGAGAGTGCTACCGATGTTTAAAGAAATTTTACCGTGCTTATCTTTCCAATGCGGAAGGTTTGGAGTCATTCCACCTCAAGAACCTCTTTTTACAAACAATAGAGGAGACTGGGGCCGAGATGTGGACCGAGAGAAGACGGGCCGAGTCTATGACGAAACTACTCGGGAAGCTGTTGAAAGCTTTGAAAGACAAGGATTTGCGACATTTCTTCGTGAGATCGTACAACCTGTTTGGAGTAGACTACATTGAAGACCCAAAGATTCTCGAGTCCCTCGCCGAGATGGTTGAGAAGATTATGGAAAATCCCGAGGAACTGGCAGCGGAAATAATAAAGAATGGAGAAGAAGAGCTGAAGAAAGCGTGCAGTTCACTAGAGAAAAACCATGGACAGTTTGGTGATGCCGCTGTGGAACATCCACCCAAAAGCAACAATCACACCGAGGGGAAGGAAGCTACTGATGATGCAAGTGAAGGATATCGATATCACGACCTGAAAGATATCTACCTGAAGATCAGCGATGAGATGATAAACATCGCTTACAGCGATACGGACTGCAATGTTGAAACCTTAGCACCCCTGGAGAGATCCGTCGTGGAACGCTTGAAAGAAGTCAGGCAGAGTTACCCCAATATCGATGCTCAAGACGTTCTCAACATATTCGACTTCTTTTGGAACTTGACCTATTTCAAAGTTTGGATGGGCTCGGAGCCTGACTTGAGGCGTCGTATGCTTGATGCAATTCGTGATGATGTTGAAAGCTGGAGGGGCACGATGGAGGCCAAGGAAGACTTCCCTTCATCAGGGGATATGGCAGCTCCACCAGCCATGATGCAATTTGCCAATTTCCTGGACTGTAGGAATGTTTTGCCAGCTGGAGCAGTGACACAGTGCTTTCGTAAATTTCATTCCAATATCCTCAGACAAATTAGGCAACAAGTGATTAATATAGATGAGCTTTCATTGGACTAAATTAGCGCTACATAGTAAGCTTCTGTAACCGAAACAGTATCTCATTGCAGAGTGGAATGTTGGTTGTTTCCGCATGTTTACCTCAAGGGCATTTTGTTTTTGTTAAGGGACTTACCCACAGTTGGCGCAATCTCTTAAGTAAACATAAGGCTTAGAACAAGAAACACTGCCTAGGTAATGTACCTAAGAATGTCCTTAGAATTGGCATTGCAAATTATCTAATAGCCAAGTTTTTTTTTTTTAGACATGATATATTTTTGTTGTTAGAGAATCAAAACCAGAGGAAATCACCGTGTACAAGGCACATTTATTTTATGTCATAATAATTAAAATAATATTACTATCAGATTTATTTTTTCTTTTTCTTGCCGCTTTTGAGTAAGTCAAGTCCATTGATGTACTTCTTAGGAATCTTGTATTCATCTACGAAAGGGCGGAAAATAAACTTTAAGTTCGTTAGATATTATGCATAAATTTTGCTCTCCAAATACAACCCGCATTTGCCAGAGAATATTCTGAAAAAAAACCGTAATTCTGCCAATAAATTCCGTTGTCCTAGTAAGCAGCATCTATCAATAAGAACATTTTTCATGAGGTGACTACCCTTGGTATAGCACTTTTTTCCTCAATACCCCACGCACATTTGTTGGATTTCAAGAATACAGCTAGATTTCTCCTCTGTTGTATAAACGACCAAACACTAACCTAGAAGAAATTTCGCCAAGATGTCCACTTGGTTTCCTTGCACTAAAACCTGTAATCCAGGCGTAGTATGTTTCCCCGGAAGCTGAGAAACTATAAGGAAAAAAAGGAATTGTTACAGGCACGAGATGTGTGAATATTTTTGTATTGTGTCCATAGGATGGAAAAAATAAGACCCTCGATATAAACACGTTTATTACCTGAAGTACTAGATGCAGCCTTAATTTGCACATTGTGAGCAAATTCTTGCGGATCAATCCCGTAGGATTCAAGATTACGGATCAATGTAACCTAAAATTAAAATAACAAGCTGTTATTGTAGCCATATTTAATTTCATTAGCAAAAGAAAGAATGTAACAGAACTCGAATACAACATAGGGATACTTTTCTACACGAGTATTGCTCAATTCTCGTATTGTCTCACTAACTTCTACCTCGTGAACGACGATTGGGAATCCCTCTGCGAGAGTACGCCAGACTTAAACATCATGAGTTTGTAAGCGGGGTTTTGAGCGCGTTACTCAAAGTGTTTATTTGCTTAATACTTTTGAGAGGTGTCTGACGAGTCCTTGGCCAAGAGAAACCATTTCATGTCAGCGATGTCAATTCCTCTGTTAAATACCTTTTTGTTGCCCATTCTTTGTTCCACTTTAATTTCGATAGATTCGATTTTCCCTTTCCTGTTTGGATAAAAATAAAAAAAGCGAGGATGAAATCACTGACTAACAAAACACGTTACTAAAAACACCCGAAAGGGGGGGGTTTCATATAATAGGTCACTCAGGAATATTGCTACTCCACCCTAGATGCGAGACGCGGTGGTTTACTGGTAAGTGCGCTGGACTAGAAAGCGAGAAGTCCGGGCTCAAGACCTGGCCTTGTCATCATCCTTTGTCTTTGAGCATAACACTTAACATTCTTTTTACCTCTCCCCACCCAGGAGTACAAATGGGCACCGGCGAATTTTCAGGGAAGCCTGACGAAACGCAGAGGGGGTAACCTTGTGATAGACTGGCTTCTCGTCCAGGGAGAAGGGAAGTAGAAATACTGCTTGTCGCCTCATATTATGGAAATCGGGATAAGCTCCGGCTAGATGTGCCACCTCGCTTGAGCACAGACTTAAATAACCTTACCTACACACTAACCCTGGATCTGATCTTAATCGAGCACTCCCTATTTTGAAATCGGTTGTAGTGGAGTCTGGGGAACATGGTACAAAGGGCGAAATCGTGTCATTGCAAATTCAAAGTAAATCAAAATACCCGCATAAGAGGTGAATGTTTGGAGAAGAGTCTTCCCGAATATCGATGCTGAAAATGTTTCAGTGAGTCAATGAAGATTTTCAAAAAGCCAGTCTTGCTTCTTACTCTCTTATATTGATCAGATACGCTGGGAAGAACCCAACTTCTATATATATCTGGCTACAAAAATACAGTTTTCACTTCACCTGACTATCGGCTCCTGGCCTGGTAGTGTTATTCGATGACAGTTATTCATTTTCGACGACACTCTGTTGGGGCAAAGGAAAAGGAAACTATTGAAAAGACTGATCAACTAATCTTGGAAACGAACCCAATGACTTAATTGCGTAGTGAGAGGACAAGAGAATTATTTCCCAAGCACATTTACACTGTATCAAGGACCTACCGAAGAGTTAATTTATATTCGATCTAGTGTGCTAAATTTCTTCCGATCCGTCGAGGTATTGTGAGTAGCGAGACCGCAGTAAATATAAAAAAAGTGTTAAAGTGCCTTCCCAAGGATATTCGTTTCTTTGGTGTTTCGTCCGACCAACAACTTTGCACATCGAGTTTGGATAAAGTTAGAGAGAGGGAGAGGAAGAGAAAGGAAATTAGTTTTGTTGATAAAAACTTCTCCGAAAGAGAAGGGAAATGATTTTTATTAACCAAGAATTCACAGTACAGACACTCATCGACTTTTTGTCATGAACTGAAAATAAATTGATCATGAATCAACGTATCCTAGCTGACGCCCTGATTGCTGTGTGACAAACTCCTTTTTTCGAACTACCATCAAATATTGTAAAACTCTCTTTAAAACGTCATTCAGTTACCACTGTATAAACTAAGATAATCGCATAACGTGAAAACATGCAAACAGGGCTGATGGGGAACAACAACTCACAATGCAAACACAAAGATGTATAAGCACCTTTCGAAGAGCCGATCCCACGGAAGAACTTCAATATTCTCGTTTTTGTTCAGGAGGATTTTAGTCAGGCTGGGATCTAGTACAACCACTCTGAGAAAAAAAATCTTGAAGTTATGAGAAACATGGGCAATAATTTTATAATTCTACATCGGTAGATTGATACAGTTCATTTGCAAACCAGACATCGATTAGATATTGGACTGAGAATTTTTAGTGATGTCATGTAAGCGTTCATAGTTGGCAATTTTGAATTTCACGTCAGCGTTTGTGAAAAAGAGAAAAGAAAGGATGTGTATATTACTACTCGTCTGGTAGTTTTAAGTCCGTAAATACTATCAATTGACATCCATAGTTCTGTTGTATTGCACTTTCCTTGCAAGGCTTCATACAGTTACAAGGCACGATTCTAGAACGTTGGATTCTTCACACTCTGTCAACCCTTTCTTCTTATAAGTCAAATAATTAGTCAATTTGACATTGGTGCGTGTACGAATTTCGACCGAAAATCACGTCTCATTTGACCCAGACGCTTACACCCGAAAAGATGAACATTGAGTACTGCATCAATTAATTCTGTTCAGGTTATTACAAGCGATTCTGTCCAGTTCTTTAAAACTGTGCTGGTATAGTGAATGTTGCCAAAGGGTAGGGATGGGAGACATTTTGTGGTACATACCTTTTGTCCTCATTCGACACAAGGTTGTGAGCTTTCACGTAATTCGTCATGGTCGTCCGGACACCAGCATGATTTAAAACATCGTTTTTCCTGAAACAAAAGATAGTTAAGGAATGATTTAATACCAGATAATTTTCTGACACAACGATGAAATTTGTAAGACCTTCCTCTATCAGTGGGTTTGTGTCATATTCATAAAAAACTGATGGAAGTTTTCTATCTTGCTTTTGTGCTAAGGATTGTCATGGAAAGCTTCAGACAGCTTGTGATTTGAAAGCCGTCTGATACGACAGAAAACAGACAAATCTCTATGGAATAAAATTACAATCGAAGAAACTAAGCTGATACATGTTGAATAAAGACCTAAGAACCGATACAAACACATTACACCAGCAGTTTTCGTACCATCTTATTCCTTGAATACAGCTCGTTGTCTCATGTCTTACCTGAATCCAAATTCGGAAAATATCGGTAACAATGCTGCAGATACGGAAAACAGCTCTTCGATACATGGAGGCTATAAAGAAGAGCATAACGATCAGTTAATCGACTTGACATGTAAGGCTCCGTCCAAGGAACACTTCTTTCTGTAACGCCACAAACCAGGGGAACAAAAGACTCCAGGGTCCAGCAACTTTCAACTGAATACCGAAAGGAATTCTGGCATTGTACTTGTTTCACTAACTACGCCTTATGATTAGTCCAGAAAACTTGTGCCAGTCTCTCTCATATGCTAGATTATAGCCAATCGCGACTGGGTCACTCGCGTTTTCCCGCGCTTGCAACCGTTTGCTTGTGGTTACTACTGTCTCGTGACATTTTTCTTTGCTCTGATTGGCCATTGTGATTACTTTGGTTTCGTTCCACCGCACTCAATCGAAAAGCATTTTCCCGCGCTTCAAGAGGTTTGTTTGTTTTAACTTTGAGTCCTCATTGGTTAGTGTTGATGTTAATCTTTGTTTTGATTGGTCACTAGTCTAAAGGTGCCAAACGACCAATACTAAGATTGAAGAGAATTGAAAAAAATTTTCCCATTAATAGGAGAAAAAGGCGCACGGTAATGTACTTCTCTCGCGTTCCCATTTGCATGTAGCTTGAATACGTATATACATAAATTTTTTAAAATTTTACTGCTGTAAAACTATATAGAAACAGATAAGACGCACCTCTGTGCTGCAAGAAGAAGTAGAGCTCACTTTTTCGTTGACGCTTTCAAAAACTGGCGCGTTTGCTTTAAAATCCTTCAGCCTGTTCAAAAGAATGTGTACTATTAAAATCACGCAGGGAGAAGCGTAAAACATTTTTAACGTGAAATAGAATTGATATTTCAATATCATGATTTAGAGTACATTGACCAAACCAAAAACCTCGATTAACCAATCACATCTCGCATTTTGTGTGGTCTTCCAAGCGTGTGATTGATGTTTCGTTTACAACACTTTTAAATCTGGTGCAAAACTGTTTTTAGTCAAGTTGTTCTTGCCTTCCCCATCATCGTTGTTGTTGCCATGGTTGTTGTTCTTGACGATGATGTCGTTGATTTTGTTTTTGTTGATGTTGTTGTTTTTGTTGATGTTGTTATTGTTGTAGCTATTGTTGTTGACGTTATGTTTTTATTATTGTTGTTGTCGTTGTTTTTGTTATTGTAGATTATTGTTGATGTTGTTGTTAATTTTTTTGTTTATCACTCACTCTGGATTGTCCCAAGTTATACTGGTGATATGATCGACTCCTTTGGACGCCTCCTGTACCGATATCAAACCTCTCTCTTGCATGCATTGAAGGAATTTTGACAACTGAAAAAGACGTCGAAGAAGGAGTTCAAATTGGCCTTTAGTCCTCGCCCACTTTAACAAGTAAAATGAAGGTAAACGGATAGGTAGCTTTCCGTTGGAGAAGGGAGAACTTAAATGTTAGTATAATTACCATTATGTTGCGTTCATGGCTTGTGCGACGTAACTTAACTATATCCTTGACGGTTAAATTCTACTGCAAACTATCTAAAGTCATGTAGCTGCTAAATATAGAATTTGTCACCCTCGCTATAGTATCTTCCAAGCTTAAAAATGCTCCACAAAATCGGTTTTTTGGTTAGCTTACAAAATTTTCAAAACTTACTTTTTTGTAGGAGGATTTCTTGATATCCAATGACTTTCCCTCCGGGCTGCGAACAAGGTTAAAAGACGATTACTTACAACTTAACCAAACAAGGAACAGAGTACTAGTATTTAATGATATTTTTATCGTTTGGCAATTTAGCATAAAAATGTATCAGGAGTACGATCTCTGAACGGAAGAATTACTTGAGCTTACTGTAAATGGTCAGAATTTATGCAAATAATCCCTTAATACTAACCGGGAAGGTAAAAGATAACTCCTGAAAAATGTACTGGTCAACACAGGAAGCTCGACTTTCTTCATCCTCAACAAGGCGCAAAAGAAACAGTACTCTAAAAGATCATCCATATTCTCTGAAATAAATATAATAAAAAACGAACAAACAGTGAATTGTTAGCAACTTCAAGAAAGTTGGTGGAATGATTCAAACTCCTCCGCTTCTCAAAAGACTGCGCTGGTTAGAAAACAACTTATCTGAGAATTTCCAAATACCTCTTCATACTTTGACCCTGATTTTGGGTTTATCACGGCGAAAAGAGATTAGTGCTTTCAAATATGATTACCGACTTTTTTTACTTTTTCAAAGTTATTTTCATATCACTATGTTATAACTTCTATATTGTAATCAGTGGCGGATCCAGACCTTGAGCTACGATGGGTGGGGGCGGTTTCTTGTCGCTTGCACTATCGGCTTTTCTTCCTCCTGCAAATCTTTTTTTTAACCAAAGTGAGGGGGCCCGGGCTTACCTGGGCCCCTCCCCAAGATCCACCACTGGTAATACCGGGGGTAAGCTTTTCTAGAAACTGTGGTGCTGCGTCGGTGGGAGAGTTAAACAGTGTAATTTATTTTTTTCAGTTTTTAGTACTTTCAGCTTTGAAACTCTTTACGGTGGCCAATTTACGTTATCAACTCTGTTGATAATACTACATTACCCTATGTTTTAACACCCCCCACTGATGCAGCGCCACAGTTTCTTTGGAAACTTACACCTCTATTCCTATTTTGAATAGGCTTGGTGAATCTGGAAAATCTCAAAATTCCATGACTCATAACAAATGAATGGTACATGAAAAGAGCTCACCTAAAAGTTTGTCTTGTGAATTTGTTTCATTTTCAGACTCTAAGAATTCTTGTTCAACTTCATTACTGTCTGCATTTGCAGCACTTGTTGCCACTGGGTCTGTTCCATCGCTTTCCTCAACTGAAATGTCATCTTCTTTTTCATTATCTTTCTGAGCAAAGCTGTCTGAGCTTTCAGTCTCTGTAAATTTAAAATCTTAATGATTGATTAACCTTTTAACTCTCACAAGTGATCAACAAAAAACTTCTCCCTACAATATCCTTACATTATCCAGCAAATAGGTGATGAGAATGTTCAAACTAATACCTCCACTGTTAATTCTGACAATTTGCTCAATGAAAAGACAAGCAATTTAGGTTCCATTTGTAAGGAATGTTAACTGCTACCTAGCCTGTAGAATAGGCATAATTTTTGCAAGCGAGTGCTCAGTTTTTTCTTCATAAAAATTATGCCCCCCAGCTTTGATTTTAATGGCAGCAGAAGGCTGGGGAAAGAAAGAAATTTTTACCAAGGGGGAGGTTGACAGTAAAAAATAAGGAGAGGGACGGGGGTGGGGGAGCATCCACTCTGACTCAAAATCAAACATGGCTGGTCGAATAAAAGGTCACAAGCTTATAACATTAGCTTGCCCTAATAAGATGCCCGTACAGCAAGCTAACTGCTACATGTACCTTCAACTTCCTTTTGATTGATGTCCTCAGTTTCATTGAGTGACAATTCTTGCATATGATCATTAACATCAGCAATTTCAGCCTCAGCATTTATCTCCTCCAGCTGTGGTAACTGAGTTTTACTGCCATGTGCCCTGGTAATGAAAACAATATTTGGTAAATAAAAACCACACCAGTAGTAAACAAATATTTTGCATGCCCAGTATTAAAAAAAAAGGTTAAGTCTGAACAGGTGACTTTTAAATTGCCACTGTTAATCCTTGAACTCCCATGAGTGACCAAGGCAGAATTTCACCTCACAATTACATCAATACAATATCAAGTGATACCAAACTCTCCAAACAAAAATCATGAGAATTGTATCACTGACAGTAAGGAGAATTACTACTGAGATCTTCAGAGTAAGACAACAATAATTATTGCTTACCCCCTCTCCCCCTGATGAGATACTTCTCCGGATTGTAGGCCACTCACCCATCCTCCCCCAATATTTCACTGGGTTTTCCCTGTAGTTTACTGGTGGTCATACCCCTCCCTCCCCCCCCTCAAGGGTCTTGCCAAAGATCACAACACAGTAAACAACCCTTCCTGTGGCTTGAACCTGGATCTTAAAAAAAAGACTGATCTAGCAAGCTAAACCCAACCACGTGTCCTCAAAAAAGCAAAATAATCATTAGTAATTATAAATAGTTAATCTCTTAATAAGGATGTATTTACTATAAACAACGATGTACAAACCATAACAGGTCAAGGTAGACGTGTTCAATCTTCACCCCTTTTCCTCTCAATCCATCCTCTAACAAATCCTTACTGGACACCAATGTTGTTCCAATGGCCACGGGAGCTCTAGTATGAAACAAAATGCATCCTTCAGGAATAAGAACTTGTTTCTAATTTGTAAATTGACCATAGCACATTTTATTACATTCATTGATAAACTTTTTCAACTTGTAGCCGAAAAAGGTTAGCTCAGAAAACTCAATATCACTTAACCCTTAACACCCTAAGATCAATGTGCAAGTTCTCCATACTGTTCTTTATACATTTCCTATGGTACTGATATGGAGAATTTTTTTACCAATTAAGAGTTTCTTGAGTTTGCGATCATTTCCTTTATTCTCATAACCTTAATGTTTGATTCAGGATGTGATACTATTGGGAGAAATCAGATGTTTATCATTCTCAGCTACTCAGTCTCAAATATTTCATTTGGTTGCAAAATAAGAAGGACAACTCTACCTGTTACCCTTGAGACAAACACTGCAAAGTGTACCTCTCTCAAATCTTCCCACAGCTGAGAGTCCCTCGGAGGGCAGGATGACACCAGGAAGCATTAGGTCTAGAAAGAAGGTACAAATGGGAATTTTAAGAACATAAACAAATTAAAATGCTCAAAGAATCTTTACATTTTTTATGGGATCCTTGTACATTCTTATTCCATAGGATGTTGTCAGTGTAAAATCACTTCATGATCAGTCACATTACATATAATTTTGTCACTAGGCTTTGCTTGTACATGAGGTCATTGATTTTTACTAGATTTACAGGTTTTGCACCATTATCAAATGTACATTTATATATATATATATCAAAGATATGATTTTTTCTGACCTATAATTCAGTCCTAAGCATTTTCCTATAATCTTAAATCAGGCAATAAAGTCTGTCAATTAGTTAAATGAGTGTCAAGTTTACAAAATTCAGGTTTCCCTAAAATTTCATTCTGCAGAGATAAGCTCAGTGAAAGAACAGTTTGTTGCCCAAGAACAGAACACGATGACTTGGCCAGGGCTTGAACCCAGACTGCCAATCCCTAAAGCCACTAAATATCCCCATCCCTACAAGGGAAGTCCTCTGAATTTTCTACTCTTTGCTAAGGAGCAAACTTACCTGCTCCACCCTGGAGTTTTTCAAAAACAGGGGGCCATGTTTTGAAGCTAAGAAGCAGGTCAGGAAATTTCCACAGAGTATAAACTAAAACATGATTGAAATAAATTCAGCTCCACGCACAAATGTGACAAAGACAAATGAATAAAGGGGGTGAAGATTCTAAGGAAACTGTGGTGCAAATTTGGTGAAGGGTATTACAAGATAATTTGGTCTCATCTACTGAGTTGATGATGTAAATTGGCCACTCTTGACCCTTTAACTCCCTGATCAAATTTGTAATTCTCATTACTGTCAATCATACAATTCTCATGATGTTAATCCAGAGAATTTAGTTGTGGATCAATTAATTATTCCCAAATTGATATTTTTCTTTATTCTCATCACTTATTATTGATATTATAAGGAGAAATTCTGTCTTGGTCACTCATGTGAGGTAAAGGTCTAAAAGTTTCTAAAGCTGATGTTTCAAGAATTAGCCCTTCATCAAAGTGAATAGTAGACAGACATAAACATAAAAAGGAAATATTGCACTTACTGTCAGTGAGATATCTTAGTTGAGATTACTATATATACCATACTTACCTGTTGGGAAAACTTTCTTTTCAACTTCAAAGAATATTGGTTCCCCACTGAGACAAAAAACTGTAACATTCTGTCCAGAATGTGTCATAACACGCATCACTGAAATTTCCTCTTTGTTTGGAATAATTTCAGTGATTTTGTCTTGTGATAAATTGGGAAAAGCATTGCTAACATCTGATCTCAGTTTCCGCCTGTAAGTTAATACACAGTAACAACATAAACCTTTACACCTTAACATTAGAGTGTATATTCTCTACACTGTTTTCTATATATTTCCTATGGTGCAGACAAGGAGAATTTGTTTATCAATCAAAAGCCTTTTTGATCGGTGAGCATTTCCTTTGTGATCTTTATGTTTGATTCAGGGATGAAATTATGAGGAGAAATTAGATGTGAAGCATTCTTAGGGGTTGTGAGGTATAATTTAAGCAATAAACTGAATTTAGAGAAAGAGGTTTTTATCTTGTCATGAGCGTGGGACAGAGAAAAAATTATGACTCCCCATGAGGAATCGCACCTCAGTCTGAGGTGCGATTCCTCATGGGAACTCATTACGAAAATTTTAGACAGGATCACAGCTTTTCGTTCAAAAAGGCTTCTCTGATTCTCTGAATATTTTAAAGGCCAAGGTAGCATAATAATCCTACATAATTTACTTTTCTTTTCATGATATTAGATAAATTTCATCTAATTTCGGACCTACCTTTGAATGGTAGTGCAACATAGTTAATAAAATCTATTTTGTATTGGTTCATGAGATGTTACTCACCGATCGGACCCGCGAATCGCAGTATTGGATTTTACTCGAAAAGGCTTGTGAAACATTTCCTTATTCTTTCGTCAATAACCTTCCATATGAAAGGTTAAATTGTTGTTTAGGGAAAACTGCTGATACAATATAATTCCGCCATGTTGAATTTAGCGCGTAGACTGGCACGATATAGTTTCCAGACCTCCGTCGCCCTTTGTTTTGCAGCATCCCGGATGTTATCTGAAGAGCAAAGTAACAACATCACATCAGCCGTTTACTTTTTGAAATTTATATTTCAAAAGAATACACGTGTGGCCATATATTTCTCACGCGTTTGGTTATCTGCCTAAATTCCACTCCGTTTTAAAACCAGTGGTTCCTTTATACAGAGAGAAGCAAGCACTGGACAAAGGAAAGCGCGTGGTTTGACCGAAATGCCGGGTTTACTCTGCTGGAAGATGTGAAGTGAAATAACATTTCGTTTCCTTCGAAATTCCATGAGTTCACTTTGAAGTGAGAGAGTAATGGAGACAATGTTGCTTTGGATGTAGTTTCGTCTACGCATTTTGAAATCTAGAAGCGGACAATACATTGTGCTGCTGCTGAAAGACTTCCGATTTTTAACTTCGAATTCTTCATTTCATAATTTGTCTATAAAATTACCTTGCTGAATTTCTCATCTTCACCAGCCTTGTTTTGAAAACAAGGGCATTTTTGTCATTGATTCATCCGCATTGAATCAAGTGAAAGCTTGGTTTAAAACTTTTGAGTACTGCATTCTGTGAAGTAAGTGAAACGGCATTGACTTCTAACGTACATCCTAGCTTCCTGGGGCTGGAACAAGTGACTTCAGAGTTAATCGTCCAACTTTCAATGTGTATTTGCAGTCTTTATGCACAACTTGCAAAGAGAGAACGATCGATTTTTGTAGAAGGCCAAGCACTTCTATAAACTGAAGACAACCATAGAATTTCAAAGCGCGTGCACACATCCAAAACAGCTGAAAATGGACCCAGAATATGAAAGGAGACTTCTACGTCAACCTAATGGACGGAGTCCTCTTGCTAATTCTGTAAGTATGAACGAGGCTTCAGTATTAAACTTATGTCCCTTGCTTAGATGGTTTTAACATCAGTAGGTTTGCTAAAGTTTCAACACAGTAGATGTTGTACATTTACAAGTAGGGTTTGGTAAATTTTTAAGAGAACATGTCTTGATACAACAGAAAATGTTGTGGAATAGCATTGTAAACAAGGTGATATGTTTTTACCACATTAACAATTACAGCATGGGGATATTCCTGTATTACTTATTTTATTGTAATCTCTACTGATAGAAATAAATTTCCCTGTAAAAGCAGAATTTCCTCATTTTTTTCATTCATTTTTCATTCCCTCTTATCCCTGCTTCTTCCAGTTGTTATCACCTTGAAAAGTTCCTTCCTCATTTAAGAGCAAAGGTTGAATGAAATAGTAATTTATTTGGGCTTCCTTCTGATGTGAGAACCTGTTACGTTTATTAGTGATATAGAACAACAAAAAGAGAGAACTCAAAAAGGTAGAACTGAAGAGAAAAATAAAGGGTATAATGTCGAAACAAAAAAACTTGACTGATTCTGCTCACACTCAGGGAAACCCACTGTCCATTATTTTGAGCTTATGACATAAGTAAGTACTTCCATGTAATTTTAGCATATTGGAGGAATTACTTTGTCTGATTATCTTGCCATTTTCTTTGCTTTGTTTTTACAGCCATGTTCGAGTGGAATAAGGCATTTCAGTTCACCTTATCTAAGCCCATTTAGCTCTCCTAGCAGAGAAAAGTATGGAGACAGGTAAAGAAAGTGTTGTGGAATAGTCACTATACTTTCAATTCATATTTGAAACATTTCTTTCAAACTTAAACATTCACTATGAATGCATTCTTTCTTTAAAAAGTTTTCAACTTGCTTTCCTTTTTCAAGGTTTATACCAAGCCGCAGTAGTCCAGCTCTTGAGCTTAATTTTGATTTGATACAAGTAAGTATACTGTTGTTGCTTGGATCTGTACAACCTCATATACATGTACATGTAAAAGGTATAATAACCTTTTCACTCTCATGAGTGACCAAGACAATTCTTCTATTCAATATCAATATGATATCAAGCTGACAGGTGACAAGAATTAAGAAAAATATCAACTGGGGGATTGTGGGTTGATTCAACACAAAATTCTCAGAACTAACTTCATAAGGATTATATGGTAGACAGCAAGGAGAATTACTAATGTGTCTTGGGAGTGAGTTACCTTGTTTTATAACTTGTAGCTAAGAAAAGCTCTTAGAATCATAAACAGTGCAAACTTTATTCCCTTACTGGACTGAAGATCCTTATTGTATGAAATTGAGCTGTTTCAGTTTCTCTCTTAACCTTTATTCTATGATCACTTGACAAAATAGCTACATGTATTAAAAACTAAATTAAGATGAGTATTGGTAATAGTGTTGAAGATTGTTCATTTGTTCCAAATCTTCTCAGGAAAATAGTGATCCAGCAAAGAACAGTGCAGTCACAAGGTAAGCTTTATATTCCATGGGTAGTCAATTTTTGCAGGAATATTCTGACTATGGGAAGAAAATTTGACTCAAGTTGAAATTATGCAGCTTTTGCTTACCTTGTTTTTATCCTGGTGTTTTCAAACACATTAAGTGATACATTATACCTCTTGTTCAATCAAAACTACAAAAAAAAAATGATCAAAAATTTTCTCTCTTTCAGAGATGCCAGTGTGGATTCCAAAGGTATGAATTCTTTTATATAATATATATGTAATACAAATGAATCCATCAGACTCAGGCAAGTCTTTTGGTGTATCCCAGTAATGAACACTATTTAAGAAGCAGTGAGGCCTTATTTTCACTATTTCATAAGTAGTGTTTTTCACTGTGAAGATGGCTTTCATATTCATTTCTTAATTCACAGTTCACAAATTTGATTTTTGCATATTCACAGTCATTTATTTATCTCTTCATGGATTTATCACAAACTAACATAATGACCAGCTCCCAGTTGACTTGTTAGCTCATTTGGTACAGCATTGCACTGGTATCGCAGAGGTTATGAGTTCAAATCCTGTACAGGCCTGAATTTTTTTCAGGCCTTAGTTTCATTCCTGCTTGAGTAGTGTTTGTTGCTGCAAAGATCATTTTATATTCATTTCTTAATCTGTGGTCTACATACATGTATATGATATTCATATAATTATTCACAGTCACATATTCAAATCTGTATGTTTCAGAGGGAATGGCTTATCAATGTCTGCTAAAGAATGAACTTCTTGGGGCTGGAATAGAAGACCTTAAGGTGACCTACAGGCATTTGCAGTTTTTTACAGACTTATGTTATTTATTTATCTGAGTGTGTACACTTCACAAAAGATTTCAGCTGTATTTAATATGGGTTTCAAAATTATCCTCAGAGCATAATTTTGCCTCTTTTTGGTTCACAATAAGTTGACCTCGAAAGTTAATCAGGGAAGGATAATAAATTATAAAATTATTTTTTTATAAGTGCCTTCTATTTTCTGTGAATTTTTCAGTTGCTACCAAGAAGATTTTTCTAAAAACACTTGACAACTATTTTTTAAACATTTTGTTTCAGGATGTACCACAAGAGGAAAGAAGAGCACTTTCCAGCAACAGTAATCACATACATAGCATATTCCAGGTTTGAAAATTCTCTTCGACACTTAATACACAGTAATAAATCATATATGGTACATGATTCAGACAAATGTTTATCTCCAGCATGACTTTTTACAATGGGAGGGTTCAGAACTATTTCACCCCCTCCCCCTTCTTCCCCCACTCCATCCCTCCTCCTACCTCCCATCCCCACCCCCTCCCCCATCCTCCACTATAGACAGCAGGGTTTGGATGCTGCTCAGTTTTAGGGTAATTTACACAAGCGGGATACTTTAACAAAGAGGACATATCTGTGTAGAACTCTGTTTATAAATTTCTTATCCTCCCACATTGACTTTGTCAGTTTTCTTTTCTCTATAGTACCAAGTGAAAAGAAGTAAACAAGATGATACAGAATCAGTAGCTTCCTACTCCCTGTCACCTGTAGGCAAGAAAAGGTAACTTACAAACTTGCCTATCTTTAACTTTTTAACTCCCATGAGTGACCAAGACAGAATTTCTCCTTACAATATCAATACAATATCAGGCAGACAAGTGATGAGATTATAAAGAAAAATATCAATTAGGGGATTGTAAGTTGATCAAATACCAAATTCTCAAAATTAACATTACAAGAACTGTATGGCAGACAGTAAGGAGGATTACTAATGAGATCTTGGGAGTTAAAGGGTTAAATATATACTTTTTATGTACTTAACAATTATAAATACATATGAAAAGTAGTACAAGCCCTGAGCCTGTGCTTGTTTGCATAGTCAGAGCAAAAATCTCTCTAAACCAGAGGGTGCCAGAGTTTTTTATCAATGGCTGTGTCAGAAGGAAACTTTCTGGAAAGTCTAACATTTTGTATTGTTGAAGTTATGAATTGCAATTAACATGTATAACCAAAATGCACCTTTTTGTTTTCTTCTTTCAGTCAAAGACTGTTAAGATCACCAAGAAAGGTCAGTTACAAACATCTTTTCTTAGAAGCTCATTCAAATTGTACATGTTTATGTAGCTGTTTACATAATGATTCTGTCAATATTTGTTTTTTTTTTCTTGTAAATTGATCCTTTGTAGCCTAAAAGTGACTAGCATTGGACTTCTTAGGACTTATAATATCACCCCTGAATCACACATTAAGGTCTTTAGAGTAAGGGAAATGATTACCAATTATCAACAACTAAAGAAGCCCTTGACTGTTTAACAAATTCTCCTCATCAGCACCATGAGAAATGCATAGAGAACAGAAGGGAGAATATGTATACTGATGTTGGGGCATTAAGGGTTAAATCAGCAAAGTTTGCTGGGGAACAATTCTCAATACGAATGCACAATGAAAGTTTGTATTCTTTTGTTCTTCTAGTCTACAAGAAAAATTTCCAAGATACCATTTAAAGTTTTAGATGCTCCAGAACTACAGGTTGGTTTAATCTATGTCTGACAGTGAGAGCAGTGCTACTTTTAATTTTTATTTTATATTTTAGCAAAACTTACAAGAGATGAAAAAAAATCACATTCTTGGCAATGAACTGTGATGGATTTTTATCTTTCATACTTTGAAAGTGGCCATGTCTTTTAGTGTACATGCATTTAGTGTTTTCTTTCTTCCTTTTTTTTTTTCTGTGAGCTGCTTGTTAAAAAAATATTCTTTTGAGGATCAGGAAAAAAACTGCTGCATCTATTTCTTTTTGGCTGGATTGTAAATTTAAGTTGGTCCTTTTAAGAGGAAAAGTAAGCAGTGGTAACTCATTTGATTATTAACAACCATAAAAGAGCAGTGTATATGTGTTTTTTCTTCAGTACTTTCTTTCTTTCTTTCTCTCTTTTTTTCTCTTTCATTTTGCATGTTTTTTTTTTCCTTAGGATGACTTTTATCTCAATCTTGTGGACTGGTCAGGACAAAATATTTTAAGTGTTGGATTAGGAACCTGTGTTTATCTTTGGAGTGCCTGCACCAGTCAGGTATGACAGTTTCTTTCTAAGGATGTTTCTGAAGGCCAAATTTTTTGTGTGCGTAGTTTTATGCTTTATATGCTCCATTCAGTTTGCAAAAAAACACCAGGAAACCAGAAACAGCATGGCTGCAATACTGCCAAGGTCAAAATTTTGAAAAACTGTCACTTGACTACCAATTAGAATGACTTTGATGAGACAAAGTGATATCTTGCTGAACAAAATTATTTTCTGTAATTTCTCCACAGGTTACCAAACTCTGTGATCTTGCATCTGATGGGGACTCTGTGACATCTGTGTCTTGGTCAGAAAGGGTAAAGTGTAAAGTCAACTTTGATTTTTATCAAATCACGTTGTATGTTGTGCTACCAATTTTCAACCTCTGGGTTTTTTTTTTCTTTGTGCATAGTAACTATCAATGTTAAAAAGAAAATCAAGGAAGATGGAATAAAGAATCTTGATGCCAGACTTATTCAACCAAAACTTAAAAATTTATACATGACTAGTGGTGATTTTGTTTGTTTAATATGAGCTTGTTTGTTTATTTGCAGAGTGGTCTGGTGGCTGTTGGGACACACAAGGGTCTTGTTCAAATCTGGGATGCAGGTGCACAAAAGAGAGTGTCTACTATTGAAGGACATACTGCTCGAGTTGGTAAGCAGGCCAATTTTACAGTTGGCACTATTTTTATTGCTTGAAACAGTACTAGTTTTCTTTTGTGTAGTTAGGTCAAAAAAGATCTCTTGCATGCTGCTCAAAACCAATTGAGGCAAATGAGGATATCACTGTACAGCAGGAATATTCTTAGTCTTCGCAGATGAATGCTTTGAAGTGTTGCAAACAAATTGTGACTAGTAAACTAAGAATTTAGAGATTTAACCTTTCAACTCCCATGAGTGACCAATACAGAATTCCTCCTTACAATATTGAAATAATATTAAGCAGACAAATGATGAGAATGCAGAAAAATGTCAAATAGCAGATTATTAGTTGATTCTATACCAAATTCTCAGAACTAACATCATAAAAATGTTATAGCTGAAAGTGGAGCGAATTACTAATGGAATGTTGTTGCAAAGCAGTTAAATTATGACCATTGTGATCCATAATTTTTTCATAAGATTAATACAAGTGAAGCAGTGGAAAAGATTAAAATTTGTCAAGTTTTTCCTACTTCTGTTGATGTAATGTACTAATTGCTGAATACATAGTTTCATACTAGACAATGTTTCCTATCAAATGTTGTACCATATCTTAGGTGCTCTGGCATGGAATGGTGATGTGCTCTCATCAGGGAGTAGGGACAGGCTGATTCTACAGCGTGATGCTAGAACACCCAATGCTGTGGAGAGAAGATTGATTGGACACAGGCAAGAGGTGGGTCCCTCCCCCTTCCCCCCCCCCCCCCCCCCCCCCCCCAAAAAAAAAAACAAGCCTCCCTCCCCCTTCCCCCCAAACAAAAAAAAACCAGACAAACTTTTGTCATATTCCATTTAATTTCTGCAGCAATACTCTGTCTTTGATGGTAATTATTGAAGTTAACCCTGTAAGTCCCACTAGTGACCTAGACAGAATTTCTCCTTACTTTTTCAGTACAGTATCAAGCAGACAAGTAATGAGAATAAAGAAAAATATCAATTAGGGAATTATTGGTTGATCCAATTCCAAATTCCCAAACTAACATCATATGAATTGTATAGCAGACAATAAGGAGAATTACTAATGAGATCTTGGGAGTTAAAGGGTTAAGTTATGTGAGGAGAAGCCTTATATCTACTCAGGATTACTTTCTACAAGAGTGCAAGGAAAGCTTTCAAGAAGGCTCAAACTTTGAAATGACCTGTAAGGGAATCCTCTGGGCTCTGTAGAAGCTGCTCTCTTGTACATGAGTACTGACATGTCTGTCTTTTCTTAGACTAAAGTGACTTTCTCTGTTTCTAATTGCACAACCTGCTGTCTATAGGTTTGCGGGCTGAAGTGGTCCCCAGATCATCAGCATTTAGCATCGGGAGGAAATGACAACAAGCTCTTGGTTTGGAGCATGTCCAGTCTGTCACCTGAGCAACAGTACAGTGAACACTCAGCGGCAGTCAAAGCCATTGCGTGGTCTCCACATCAGGTGTGTACAGTATTCAGTGGTGTACTATACAATTTGATGGTACCGAAATCTCTACAAGAGTCATACATTTTGGACAGTAGTGTCCAATTTTGGACATAAATGTCCAATTTTGGTCTGTTACTAGACACCAGTGTCCAATATTTGGCACTAATATCCGATTTTGGACTCTAGTGTCTGATATTGAACACTAGAGTCCAATTTTAGACACTAATATCTGATTTTAGACGCTAGAAGAATCCTGACTCGAAGTGCCTGACTTTATATTGTAGCACGGTTTGTTGTCCTCTGGAGGTGGTACAGCTGACAGGTGCATAAGGTTTTGGAATACATTAACAGGACAGCCGCTACAGTGTGTTGACACTGGCTCGCAGGTATGTAGAATCGTCCCTTAAAACTGCGGATCGAAATCCTCGAAAATTTCTCGGTACTTCTCGAAAGTTAAGCTTCGAAACTCGATTCTCGTTTCACGATAGTTTCGAGTCGAAACTGTCATCTTACAGCTACTGCTCTGTGGGGTGTTGGGGGGGGGGGACGTAAATGGGTCCCCCCCCCCCCTTTTACAGCCTGGAACAGGGTGTGAGCTTCACCTCACAATAACAAATTTTTCCATGATCTGTACACCTTACATTCAGCGCAACTTTTTAACTTTGTTTTCTGCCTTGTTTTAGGTGTGCAACTTAGCGTGGTCCAAGCATTCAAATGAACTAGTGAGTGTTTTCTTATCTTTAAAGCCATAATTTCGCACACTAGGCCGGTATTTATTGTATTTATTCAGTGCGCCCGTTTCAGCGGAAATTCTCATCACTGATTGTTGTTTTGTAGGTCAGTACACATGGTTACTCACAAAATCAGATCTTGGTCTGGAAATACCCATCATTAACTCAAGTAGCTAAGCTAACGGGTCACTCCTACAGGGTTCTTTACTTGGTAAGCACATAATCTCATGTGTTCATTTCCTCTTCTTTGTGTGACATAGAAAGCTACGAGGACTATAGATTTCGCACGTGTTATCTTTAGTCACGTTATACGGCTTCTTTGGAAGGCAATGAAAGTTGCGAGATCAAGCTTTAGCACGCGTTGTCCTTAGTCATGAAGTACTTCTCCGTTGCGTGGTAATCAGTTGAGAGAATGTCTTTAATACGCTATATCTTAAGTCACGCAATACAAAGCCATTTACTCACTGACAAGAGTTAACACGTTAATCTTAGGCCGTATCACCGGATGGTGAGGCTATCGTGACAGGAGCAGGAGATGAAACTCTTCGATTTTGGAACGTCTTCAATAAAGCCCGCTCGCATAAGGTATGGCTAATTTTCATTTTGTCTTTGGTCGAGTGATTTATACCTTGGTATGCTTTATAATTTGTCAAGATCTCGTCATCCGTACGTCCACGCGTTTCTTCAGATCAAGCATGTTGAAGGGAGTAACTTGTCTATAGAAGTAATTCTGATGTGTTCGCTTAGGGGACCTCTCACCGACGTCTGTTTGACCACAGGTGGCCCAAGCTCCAGCTGTGAGATGATCATCCAAGAGCATTTATTCCTAAATATTCCCATACAAACTTTTATTATTTCGCAAGATGATCATCTCACAGCTGGAGCTTGGGCCGCCTGTAGTTTAACCTGACAGCAGACTCTCGTGTTTGGGTTTTATCTTGTATCCCCCTCTCTGTGCATATCTCTCTTTCCCCCCCCCTCCCTGTGGGGAACTGTTGAACTGTCAGCTACGTCTTACAAAATTAGGAAGGGGTGGGTGGGGGTGGGGCTGACTTGTAATAAGTTTAGCGGAGTACAGACATAATCCTATTTGGTTCATGACAGCGAAACCGGGAGAGGCTCCAGAAGACAAATATAAAAAAAACCGCGCCCTGCAGTCTGGAAAAAATCTGTTTTCTTATTTGTCTTCAGCTAATAGTTTTGTTTTTGGATACAGCAAGATTTTCCTTTCTTACATGGCAGTTAGTAATTATTAAGTCAATTTCAATTGTTTTCTTCAGGAATCCAAGTCAGAGCTCAATCTGTTCTCCAGAATAAGATGATGTTTGCCCTAAGAGTTGGATCTTTAATGTAACAGTTATTGCGTTTGTACCAGGATACAATAATATGATTATCACTTAAGCACGAGTACTCCGTATTTTTGTGGAGGTAGTTGTCTTCGTTTAAGACGAAGCTTTCTCTCTAAGCGTTACCTCCAACTTTTTCTCTCTTTTTTGTAAATTTTTCTATCAAAATGTATGTAAATCAGTTGTCCGATGTTGTAAACTTGGGCTAAAATGCGATGGATTGCATTTTGGACTGTATTAGGGGTATTTCATTTTATTGAAAATATATATCTATACTTGACAAAAGCTGACAACAATTCGTTTGAAACCTGTAAATCAGCCACGTAAATTGGCGACACGATTATAGCTGGTTGCTGACAACTACTGCTGACGTTTGATGTATTTTGCTCTCGAAAGCTAACCACAACTTTCTCTCGTCACGCAATGTTTTGTCATTTGTTGATGAGAATTTTGCGATGACCCAGTCACGCCGGCAAGTCCAGGAGTACCTTGTGAGACGAAGAATGATTAGGTGAAATAATTTTAGAAAAACAATTTTTTTAAGGACATTTTACAGAAAGGGTGTAAAAAGGAGTTAGATTGCGTGGTTAGATGAAGTGGAAATCTGCAATGATATATGACCAGAAATGGTGAAAAGGAATAAACGAGAATTTTTCAACTTAGATAAAATGTTAAGCTCCAATTACCTAAACACAACAATGTACCATTGCTTTTTCCTACTTGATTCCCAGGCCCTATGTTCAATTAGCCCACCTTGGATCGAGGGAGACTTGGGAACGAGGCTCAACCGCGTTGATAAACGCTTACTCTTTACACCAAAGCTGCGCGAACTGAGGGACCGGTCCTTATTTATTTGTGGGGAAGGGGACTGGAGGATTTTGGTTGCGTCCTGATAAAATTTATCTGATCCCCATGTAAGGCTCTGTCATATTCTTATGATTCCGCTCTCAATGGCAGTCAATTTTTACATTCTCCCCTTTATATTTACTTAAAAATATATAATTCTAACTACAATAAGTTGACAACGACTTTTGCCGTTTCGTTCTTCCTATAAAGCATGTGATCCCTTAAAAAAATCCCCCACCCCCTCCGAGTCAAAAATAATGACCGGCCCCTTCGGGTAACAGTGAAGTTTTTTGTTTCTGATCGACCGTTGTGATAACCCTGGTTGTAGTTTTAAAACACTCAATCCAAATGCCCCTACACTTCTCAGTCTTATTTTGACGCCGAATTTGACGGCCGTCAATGTACATACGGTCGATATCGGTAAACCACAAATGAAAGCACCTAGGGTGATGTAACTGATTAAAGAAATCCTACTTCCGGCCTCTTTTAAGAAAACTGATCGGTCAGGAAGATTATTTGCGTCTAAAGGCTAATGATCTGAAACCGAAAACAATCGGATAATGTTCTTTTGCGGTAACTTAAATTTCAGCCTGGATTTCTTTCATTTTCAAATGAATATGGCTGCGGCAAGAAGGCATGTTGATGAAGGAGATTTGAACTTTGTTTTTAAGCGCCTTGGGGAGCGAGGAAATGAAGCTGAGTTAGTCAAAAAGAGAAATGATCACGTCACTGGGCCAACCTTGGAGCGACTAACGGAATTCTTCATGGAATGTACCGAGAATCAAGTCATAGCCCGACCCTATGGGAGTGTAGCTGAAGATTTGATGTGTCTCTCACCCGATGATTATGGGAATACGGACATCATGGTGTTCCCAAGCTCTGAGGCCTTTTTGATTCACGAAGAAGTGGTCGATCATTCACTGGAAAGTCCACTGCATGTGAGAATCAGAGCCGGCGATCATCCCGTATTGCAGTCGTGCCTTGTAGAAGGTACAGAATACCTGGCCACTTTAGCACTAAAGAACTTCCATCCTGCAATTTATGGGAGCAAAGCGTGTGAATTAATGCATCATTTTACATGTTGCTTGCGAATATTCTCCAAGGATGATCTCAAACACTCTCTTCAAATTGTTGCGAATTGGAAGAACGAGAAAACCAGCCCAGCTTTTACCACTGATTGTATGGAATCGTCTGATACTCTCCACCAACAATTGCAAAACATGACGGAGTCAAAGCGGCTGCATAGTTTGAACAGCGCTGAGTGGGAATGGTTCCTCGGTGCGATATGCAGGGCAAGGGGAGTCGAATATACGAGAGAGCACGCCGCAGTTATGGACGACTTTCTACAGTATATGAGTGAGTTACAGGAGTCCCTGACCAAACGTGGCCCTGATGATATTTACGAAGGCTTTCCAGCTTACCTACATGAAATGATGTCGAGCGATGTAGTTCAAAACTTCAAAGCCCGAGTGAAAGCTATTGAAAGCCGATCACCAAACGAAAGCGTAAGTCAGGCGGAAGTGATATATTCTGATGTTTCAAGCGTCACGCCACGTAAGGCAGTTGAAGGCGGAAGTAAAACAGAAACTGACGATTATGGAAATAATGTCATGCTATCAAACAACAACCATCCTCAGACGCTTCAAATTCAAGACTTAGAGTCCACTTCCTCCCATGCCATGGAGTACGTAAGATGTCCAAACGACCTTCAGCCTGAAAAACCAACTAAGGGAGAAGATCCGACTAACCTGACAAGACACATGGCAAAAAAAGATAGCGAGCAGGTTCGAGATGAAACCCAAATGAAACAGGAGACCACAATTGAAAATGAAAAAGACGACCAGACAGGGGAAAGCGAAGAAAGATTCGATTTCAAGCCACTTTTGTACCATTTATTCGAGAAAGAAGCAGAAGTCAAAGAGCCGTCTGAAAATGACACAGCCTATTTAAAAAAAAAGACAGGAATTGATCTTGTGCCCGCCCTGAAATCCCGAGGATGGCCGAAGTCTGCACGAGATTGGCTCGAAAGAGAGCGGAAATGGCCTTCCGTCGAAATGGTGACTAAGATCATTGACGAAGGCTACCACCTGGTTGTCAAATCTCCAAAGTACAGTGAAATTCCCGAGTGCGACTTCAGAATCTCATTTTCTCATGCAGAGTACCTGCTAAGCCAAGAGATGAATGAAATCCAACGCGAGTGTTACCGTTGTTTGAAGAAATTATACCGTGCTTATCTTTCCAGTCCAGCAGGTTTGGTGTCATTCCATCTCAAGAACCTCTTTTTGCAAACAATAGAGGAGACTGGTGCCGAGATGTGGATCGAGGACAAAAGAGCCGAATGTATGATAAAGCTCCTCGAGAACCTGCTAAAAGCTTTGAAAGACAAAGACTTGCGACATTTCTTCGTGAGATCCTACAATCTCTTTGGTGTTGATTACATTGTCAAACCCGAAACTCTTGCATCTTTGGCCGAGAAGGTGGAGAAGATTATGGAAAATCCGTTAGAATTTTCCCAAGCGTTGATCCAGCAGAGTGAAGAAAAAAAGAAAATTCAAAAGGAGACATTCGAAAAAGAGAGCAAGCAAGGGGTGCCTTCAACATCAGGACATGGAAGAGCAGCTGAACCAAGGGGCAGCAATGAAAACCTAGCAAACATGGAAATAATGAAAGACGCTGTGTTGCACAACTCCCGACTGAGTGGCAACCTACTTCCCAAACATCGATACCATGACTTGCAAGACCTTTACCTCCAAGTCGGCACAGAGTTAGTGGAAAAAGCTTTAAATGGAGATGAAATTCATGATCCTCTTGAAAGATCCCTGGTGAAAGATCTTAAAGAAATGATACAAAGCCATGATTTTCAGACTGAACATTTCCTTCAAATGTTGAGAAACGGCTGGTCTAATGCTTATTTCAGGATCTGCCTCAGTACCGAGCTGGAAATGAGGCGCCGAATGCTTGATGCAATTCGCGGTGATGTCGAAACGTGGAAGTACCTTTTGAGGCAGGAAGACCTGGCGTCAGGGAACGAAGAAGCCATAGCCAACCGAATGCTGGATCCATCCAATGAGGATCGTTTTGACCTAAGCAACATAGTTCCAGCTGGTGGATTTGTACAGTACCTGCGCATGTTCCTCAATGGTGTTGCCCACAGGCCACCTCAACCAGCGCAGGCGCAGGCGTCTCAAGATGTGGATGATATACCTTTAGACTGAATTGAACTATTAACCGAGGGATATAAACTACTTCTCTTTTAGGGTTACTCCCTTTAATTGACTGCCTAAGGAAAAATGGGCTGGAGTTTCTTTCATGATGCGATGTACCCACTCACGAGACAAAACAAGTAGGCATTTTTCTTTATGACAAGATTTTTTTTCGCTTTTTAACTGACCATGAACTATTTTATGATTTTTTCAAATGTTTCTTCGACAACTGTTGCAAAGTATTTCCAAGCGGCGCCCAATACCGGTTGCATGGTTTTCGCGTTTGTTACATATTTCAAGCATGTATGCGTTTTTGCCTTGGGAACTCTTCGTATGTGCCTCAATGGGTTCTACGTTTTTTTCCTGTTTTGAAGGACTTTGGTTGCCTAAATCTGCCTTTATTTGACTAAAAAGCAACCTATATAATGCTCTCGATAGTTTTCCTAGACACCAGTCCCGAGTCCATTCCAGTGTTCATTCTAATATTTCCAGCTGGCCTCTCAATACAGGCTGCAAATTGGACACTGAATGCTATTAAAAGGGGAAAGCCGAAAAGCTCAAAGAGTTTGGTATTGATAACGTGAAAACCGACTTCAAATATGGCCAAATTCACCAAACCAAAGTTTTTGACGTCCTCGTCTCCAGCCCCTACCCCGCCACTCTTTTCCCTTATTTTGGATAAAAAAGAGGTTGGCCTGGGTAAGAGAATCACTCGCCTTTCGAAATTGAAACTCCTTTGGACCTGATTGAATTGTTTTTACGTGCCTTTCGCTTTCGTTTCGGGTAATAATGGCTGTGTCGAGACATTGTGTCGACGAAGAGGAACTGAACCTCGTGTTTAAGTGTCTTGGGGAGCGAGGAAGAGAAGCAGAGTTAGTTAAAGAGTACGACGAAAAATGTCTCAGCTTTCTTTTAGCGAAGCTTACGGAGGCCTCGACTAAATTTACCGAAAAAAAACTTGTAGTCCGACCCTATGGCAGTGCAGCGGAAGATTTGAAGTGCTTATCGCCAGAAAATTATGGAGATATAGACATTATGGTATTCCCAACCACAGACAGCTTGATCATTCACGAAGACATGCTCGAATATTTACCAGAAAACCCCCTCTATGTAAGGATCAGAGCAAGCGACCATTCCGTGTTTCAGTCGTGCCTTGTAGAAGGTACAGAATACCTGGCCACTTCAGCGCTGAAGAACTTCGATCCTGCGATTTATGGGAGCAAATCGTCCGAATGGTTCGATTATTTGAAATATAGCTCAAACATAGTCTCCTCCGATGATCGTTCGCCCTCTCTTCAGTTCGTCTACGGTTGGAAGAACAACGAAGTAGGCCCGGCGTTTACGATTGATTCCAAGCAGTGGTTTGGAACGACCCTCCAACAACTGCAAAACATGACTAAGTCAAAGAGGGGGTGTAGCTGTGAATTGGCTGATTGGGAAGGGCTGGCTAGTTCGATTTTCAATGCAAATGGAATTGATTACACACGAGAACACGCTTCTGTTATTGAAGATTTACTTCGCTGTGTGGGTGAATCACAGGCTTCACTGATTGAAAGTGGCCCAGATGGATTTATCCGTGGACTACCCATCCTCTTTCAAGAATTTATATCAAGCGATGAGATGCAAAGCTTCATAACCCGAGTCAAAGCTATTGAAAGTCGAAAACAAAACGAAAGTGAAAGTCGGGCGGAAGCGATCTGTCACGAGGAGACCGGTGTCACGCAACAAAAGCGTCACACTAACGAAGTTGAAAGAAGTTCAGAACCTGCCAATTTTGGCCCCAGTCTAACGGCACGAAATCGTAGCGACGCTCAGACGCCTGGCAATCAAGACTTGGAGTCCACCTCTTCTGATGAGATTGACAATACACGAATCCCAGACGAGTCAGTGACTGAACAACAAAACGACAGGGAAGGTGCGCGAGAAACAATCGAAAACACCTCAAAACAAGATGGCGGAGCGGTTCAAAAGGAATCCATACCAGAATTGAAGAACTCCGGTGAAAAAGAAGGACCGACCTCAAAAGGTGCAGCAGGAAGTGACAAAGCCAAACATGAGGTGGAATCTGGAGAAAGAGAGAAATTTCATCTCAAACGATGGCTCAACCATTTGATTGGGGAAGAAAGTGGAAACAAGGAGCATCGTATCGAAGAGAAAGACTCTATCACACGTAAGAGGGGAATTGATCTCGTGCCTGCTTTAAGATCCCGAGGATGGCCGAAGGCTTCACGAGACTGGCTCGAAAGAGAGCGGAAATGGCCTTCCGTCGAATTGGTGACTAAGATCAAAGACGAAGGATACCACCTAGTTGTCAAATCTCCAAGGTACAGTGAAATTCCCGAGAGCGACTTCAGAATCTCATTTTCTCATGCAGAGTACCTGCTAAGCCAAGAGATCAACGACATCCAACGCGAGTGTTACCGTTGTCTGAAGAAATTGCACCGTGCCTATCTTTCCAGTCCAGCAGGTTTGGTGTCGTTCCACCTCAAGAATCTCTTTTTGCAAACAATAGAGGAGACTGGTGCCGACATGTGGACCGAGGACAAAAGAACCGAGTGTATGATGAAGCTCCTCGAAAACCTGCTAAAAGCTTTAAAAGACAAAGACTTGCGACATTTCTTCGCGAGATCATACAATCTCTTTGGTGTTGATTACTTTGAGAATCCCGAAAATCTGGCATCTCTGGCCGAGGTGGTGAAGAATATCATGGAAAGTCCGGTTGAGTTTTGCAAAGCACTGATCCAGAAAAATGAAGATGATACGAAGCAACTTAAAAAGAATGAACCACAACAAGACAGCGGGCGAGCGGTACCTGGAAGAGCAACTGAACCAGGAAGCGTCAATGACAACCAAGGAAACAAAGAAATTACGACAGATACTGTGTTGCACAGCCCTAAACAATGTAGCAACCTACTTCCAAATTATAGATCCCATGACATGCAAGATATGTACCTCCAAGTCGCCAAAGAGTTGGTGGAAACAGCTTTAAACGGAAATGAAATTCATGATCCTCTTGAAAGATCCCTGGTAAAAGATTTCAAAGAAATGATACAAAGCCATAATCTTCAGACTGAGCATTTCCTTCAAATGTTGAGAAGCGGCTGGTCCAATGCTTATTCCAGGATCTGCCTCCGTACCGAGCTGGAAATGAGGCGCCGAATGCTTGATGCAATCCGCGGTGATGTCGAAACGTGGAAGTACTGTTTGAGGCAGGACGACTTAGCGTCAGGGAATGAAGAAGCCATAGCCAACCGAATGCTGGATCCATCCAATGAGGATCGTTTTGACTTAAGCAACATAGTTCCAGCTGGTGGCCTTGCACAGTACCTGCGCATGTTCCTCAATGGTCTTGACAACAGGCCACCTCAACCAGCGCAAGTGCAGACGATCCAGGCTGTGGATGATATACCTTTAGACTGAACTGAACCATCAGCAGCGTTTTGCTTCTTCATAACTGAGAAATTTGATTTAAGGTTTTTTTTCTGAATGAGTGTTTTTCTAAGTGCAAGATGATGTTATTCCGTGAATGACACAGGCATACTCGGGGAGAACAAGCTTCGAATGCTCCCAACAGGAGTCAGTCTTACCATCTTCCGATTCATACTTAGAACGCTCTATTGCAACTGAGCTTTAGGAGACTCATGGCTGATGTTGTTTTATTGCATAGTTTATCGCAATTAATGGTATGGGCGGTTTGAGTGTGTTCTGTATGGGAGTAGTTCTTCTCGCTCCTTTTTTTCATCGCTTGCATTTGAACTGGTTGCAATTGTTATTAACTTGATTGCATATTGGTTTATTCTATGTCGGCATATTATATATCTATCAAAAACTACACCAACAAACTGATCAATGAAATTAGAGAAATGGCTTTTTGGTATAACCAGGCAAACTCACACATTCACACAAGGAAAAGAAGAGACAAAGAACCAAAATACAGAAAGTGATCGCATTGGAATAAAAGACTAAATTACCTAAATTTTATCACCCAATTTCATTTGCAATTTTTTCTCTCTCTTTTTTTTATGAAAACATCATCTACGCTTAAAAGCTACAAATTTGTGAAGGGAAGAACTGTTTATATCTGTTGGGGTTCTTCACGTGAAGAAAAGCGCTCTAAAAACAGCAGACTAGTAGAGTGTGAAGTAACTAAACTTTAAGTTTCAAAATGACTAGCTAGAAGTATTGAGACGATTACAAAAATATACAAACACTTGTAGTAAGAAAGTGAAAAAAACTGGCTGTCAAATATAAGTATATATAGAGCTGTTTCGAGGAAGATTTTCGGTAAAATGGACAAAAGTGCACGCGATAATCTCGGATAGAAATATGGCTATTAGGTAATTAATGAGGTTGAATGAGTAAAACGTACTGTGAAAATTACCATTAATACCTCTCGGGTGTGTCTCGTGCACTTTAACGCTTTTTTCCTTCAACCTTTCTCAAAACAGCTGTTTATTAGTAACAAATAATTAAATATGATAATGTATATTGTCATCTTGAGGGTCTCAAAAGGAATAATATATAAATGTTCTTTGATAATGTTAGGGTTTATATGTAACTGTTAAAAAAAACTTAAATAAGAAAATTATGATCGCGTCGCTAATGCAATTAAATAAACGTTACGGGAATCGTTTTGTATGTGTAGATCTTGTTTGCTGGACTGGTGACCAATCAGGGAGCACATAATAGTAACACTAAGCCAATTCACGATTTATTTCAACATTCGCCAAACCACTCAATGACAAGACACACCTCAACTTTATTCCAAGGTTTCTTTGTGTTCCTTCTTCAAAGGAAGGAGAGAAGTCTTTTGGAATGAGCTTACACAAAGCGTCACGGAATATTCGTGAGTATTAACGCAATTTTCTGATTGGTTAATAGTAATCAGCAAGTCTTTGTGACTGACATTCCATAACAGATTGCCTTATTCCAACCTGTTGCACATTAGGCGAGGACACAATTATCAAGAGTAAGGTGTGTCCTTTTTCCTCGTTTAAATTAAGAGTGATTATTCCTTTTTCTTCTTAGCATCTGAAGTATCTGCCTTTTCAGCTGGTTCTTTAAAAAGAACAGCAGCCACAGCTTTCTCTAAATAGGTAAAAGGGTCACTTATGTTACTGAGATACACGAGGACCTGAAGAAATGCTCCCACACAAGTTATGCCCAGAAGAACTTCTGCTGTAGTGAAGGCAACCATGCACTTCTGTACCACAATGAAGAGGATACTTCCAACAATTGATAGTTTGGTGACACTGAAAGAAATCAAAACTTGACAGTCAAGGCATTCAGTTACAAGAACTTGCAAATTAAATTGCCAGATCCCATTTTCATTTCTGGGTGAGGAGAGGAGGACAAGGGTAGTATTTGGGGAAAGATACAGAAAATTGCTAAAAGGTGTAGGAGGGATTAAAGAGAGAGGCAAAGTGAGGCAAGTGCACAAACCTATACCCAACCTCCCCCCCCGCCTTCCATCCCCCTTCCCATTCCCTACACTCACCGCTTTTTTTTTCAGTGTTCACCACTTTCAGTTCCTTTTAAGTTTACCATTTAAAAGGAAGTTGGTTGCAAAAACTTTGAGACAATACAATGAAGAAAAAAAAGGGGGGGAAGCATAGCCCCTTCAACCCTTAAATTCCCGTGAGTGACCAACACAGAATTTCTCCTCACAATGTCAATACAATATCATGAATTCAAGTGATGAGAGGAAAGAAAAATATCTATTGAGGAATTATTAGTTGATCCAATACCAAATACTCCAAACTATAATATCATCATGAGAATTGTATGACTGACAGTGAGGTGAATCACTAAATAGATCTGGGAGTTAAAGGGTCAATCACTCCTTTCCCCCACTCATTTCCTTTACATCTATCCCCTCACCTCTGTCCAGGATCAGGGGTAAAACAATTAATTGCTAATCAAATAATGTTAATTCACAATGATGGGTACAGCGCTTCATTAACAACATCCACTTTTCCTTAAGCAAACATAACCACTGCATGGTCTTAAAAGTCTGCTGCCAGCTCCTGAATTAATAAATAGAAAGATATTTGAAAAAAATTGGGTTAACCCATTGATTGTGTATTCTGATCATCTAGGTGAGAGTAATTTTGAAAAGTAGAGTAATTTATTTGCGATCCTGGGTGACATTTTGAAGACCTGATTGTCTTTTTCGTCAGAGCATCCAAGGATCTACCAACTCTTTCACTCCCAGGAACAAGTGACCAAGACATAATTTCTCCTTACAGCATCAAGACAATATCAAACAGCCAAGTGATGAGAGTATTAAGAAAAAGATTTCTACTAGAAGATTATCATTTGATCCAAGACCAAATTCTCAGAACAAAATTTTAAAAAAATGTACAGCAGATAGTAAAGAGAATTTATATCAAAATATTGGGAGTAAAAGGGTTAAGTGGACTTAGGGAAATATTCAGAAATATGGAAGCTATATTGTCACGAGAAAATTGTGTGCAATTAACACTTTTCCAGTCAAACAATCAGATTCTGAAAGACTGTCAGCTGATTCAATGTGCAAGGTTTGAAAATCAAATGTAAAGATGAGTTAACAATTAATCTGATACTTGAAACTAGATGACATTTAACTTTTTGCAGTTCCTATGGGTGGTCAATTTTTGCAGGAATATTTTATAGGAAGAAAATTTGACTAAAGCTGAAATTATGCAGCTTTCACTTATAATGCTTCTCTTGTACAATCAAACTACAAAATTAAATGATGAAAAATTTCCTCTCTTTCAGAGATGCCAGTGTGAATTCTTACAAGGTATCAAATGAATTCTTTTATATATAATTTATATGTAATACAAATGAATCTGTCAGACTCAGGCAAATCTTTTGGTGTATTATGTGTTCCTAAAGATCTGAAAAGGAAATCACTATTGACTTACAGTCAAATCTGACTGAATGCATAAAGCAATCTTCCCAGTAATGAACGCTACCTAAGCAGCAGTGAGGCCTTATTTTCACTATTAATACTGCATGCTTTAGTATAGTGTTTTTCACTGAGAAAATGACTTTCATATTCATTTCTTAATTCACAGTTCACAAATTTGATTTTCATTTATTCATCACTTCACAGGTTTATCACAAACCAACATGATAATAATCAGCTCCCAGTTTATTAGCTTGTTTGCTCAGTTGGTAGAGCATTGCACTGGTTTAGAGGTCATTAGTTCATTACAGGCCTGAATTTTTTTTCAGGTCTTTAATTTTCATTCCTGATCAAGTAGTGTTTGTTACTGGGAAGATCGCTTTTATATTCATTACTTAATCCATGTACAGTCCTCATATATGATTTTCCTACATTCACAAATATAATCACATATTTAAATCTGCATATCTGTTTTAGAGGGTCAATGGCCTGTCTGCTAAAGAATGAACTTCTTCAGAGATGGAATAGAAGACCTTTAAAGGTGACCTACAGGCATTTGCAGTTCTTTACAGACTTTTGTTATTTATTTATCTGAGTGTGTACACTTTACAAAAGAAGATTTGACTTGTATCTTTAGTACCATGTATTTATGGGTTTCAAAATTATCCCCAGAACATAGTGTCACCTCTTTAGTGGACCTTGAAAATTAATTGGGGAAGGATAATAAATAATAGAATCATTTTTAGAAGTGCCTCTATTTTCTGTGAATTTTCTTGCTACTTAGAACTTTGCAGATTGTTCTAAAAACACATGGCAACTATTTTTTTTAAATTGATCATTTCAGGATGTACGACAAGAGGAAAGAAGAGCACTTTCCAGCAACAGTAATCACATACATAGTATATTCCAGGTTTGAAAATTCCCTCTAACGCTTTATACACAGTAATAGATCATTAATATTATAATATTATTGGTACATGATTTAGGTAAATGTGTATCTCTAGCACGATTATTTACAATGAGAAGGTTCAGTACTATTTCACTCCCCTTTTCCCCAGGCCCCTTCACATTCCCCCCCCCCTCCTATCCACTAAGGTAATGAGAGTAATTAAGGGAAATGATAAATGATCACCAATTATCAACAACTAAAGAAGCCCTTGACTGTTTAACAAATTCTCCCCATCAGCACCTTGAGAAATGTATAGAGAACAGAAGGGAGAATATGTATACTGATGTTAGGGCGTTTAAAGGGTTAAATCAGAAAAGTTTGCTGGGAACAATTCACAATATGAATGTACAATGAAAGTTTGTATTCTTTTGTTTTTGTAGTCTACAAGAAAAATTTCTAAGATACCATTTAAAGTTTTAGATGCTCCAGAACTGCAGGTAATTGGTTTAATCTATGTCTGACAGTGAGAGCAGTGCCACTTTTATATTTATTTTACAATTTTTTAGCAAAACTTACATGAGGCAAAAAAAAAAGTCACCTTCTTGGCAATGAACTGTGATGGATTTTTATCTTTCATACTTTGAAAGCCAATATATCTTGTAGTGTATAGATACAATTTACATGCATTTAGTGTTTTCTTTCTTCCTTTTTTTTTTGGTGAGCTGCTTGTTAAAAAAATATTCTTTTGTTTTATGCTTTACATGCTCCATTCAGTTGGAAAAAATCACCAGGAAAGCAGATCAGCATGGCTGCAATATTGCCAAGGTTAAATGTTAAAACACTGTCACTTGTACCAATTAGAATGACTGCATGAGACAAAATAATATATTGCAAAACAAAATCATGATATCTATGATTTCTCCACAGGTTACCAAACTCTGTGATCTTGCATCTGATGGGGACTCTGTGACATCTGTGTCTTGGTCAGAAAGGGTAAAGTGTTAAGTCAACTTTGATCCTTTGATTTTTTTTCTTTGTGCATAGTAACTATCAATGCTAAAAGGAAAATCAAGGAAAATGAAATGAAGAATCCTTGATGCCAGATTTATTCAACCAAAACTTAAGAATTATACATGCCTGAGTGGTGATTTTGTTTGTTTATTTGCAGAGTGGTCTGGTTGCTGTTCAGACTCACAAGGGTGACTTGTTCAAATCTGGGATGCAGGTGCACAAAAGAGAGTGTCTCAACTATTGAAGGACATACTGCTATAGTTGGTAAGCAGGCCAAATTTATAGTCAGTACCATTTTTATTGCTTGAAGCAGAGTACTAGTTTTCTTTTGTGGAGTAATAGATCAAAAGAGATCTCTCATATGCAGCTGAAACCAATTGAGGCAAATGAGGATATCACTGTACAGCAGGAATATTCTTAGTCTTTGCAAATGAATGCTTTGAAATGTTGCAAACAAATTGTGACTAGTAAAGTAAGAATTTAGAGATTTAACCTTTTAACTCCCATGAGTGACCAAGCCAGAATTTATCTTTACAAAAGCAGACAAGCGATGAGAATGCAGAAATATATCAGTTTGCGGATTACTGGTTGATCCAATACCAAATTCTTGGAACTATTAGCATCATAGGAATGGTAAAGCTGAAAGTAAAGTATACTAATGAAATGTTGGAGTAAAATAGTTAAATCATGACCATTGTGGTCCCGAATTTTTCCATCAGATTAATCCAAGTGAAGCAGTGGAAAAGACCAAATCTGTCAAGTTTTTTCTACTGCTGTTAATTGATTTAACGTACTTCATTGCCGAATTCATAGTTTCATATTAAACAAAGTTTCCAATCAAATGTTGTACTTTATCTTGTGTTCTGGCATGGAATGATGAATTTTGCTCTCACCAGGGAGTAGGGACAGGCTGATTCTACAGCATGATGCTAGAACACCCAATGCTGTGGAGAGAAGATTGATTGGACACAGGCAAGAGGTACACCTTACAAAATTTAGGAAGGGGTGAGGGGTTGGGTGGGGTGGGGCTGACTTGTAATAAGTTTAGCAGAGTACAGACAATCCTATTCGGTTCATGACAGCGAAATAGAGAGAGCCTCCGGAAGACAAATATAAAGAAACTGCGCCCAACGGTCTGGAAAAATAAATCTGTGTACTTATTTGTCTTTTGCTAATAGAGTTGTTTTGGATACAACGAGATTTTCATTTCTTACATGCCAGTTAGTAATTATTAAGTCATTTTCGATTGTTTTCTTCAGGAATCCAAGTCAGAGCTCAATCACCAGTTTCCAGAATAAGATGATGTTTACCCTAAGAATTGGATCTTCAACGTAATGTACCAGTCAATGTAAACCCCCACACCCCCCGGCCGGGACATAGCGGGGCATTTGACAAGCGCTCACTTCTAAAGTTGCAAAGGACCCCAAGGTCAGGTTTTTCCTCTAATTGAAGCTAACAACCCTGCTCACATCCCCCGCTCTTGTTGAGTGGAAGACACAGGCTAATGTAGATGGTTTAAACTTTATTTGTCGAGTAACACACGTCACCGCATACAATGCTTTTCAAATGGTACAAAATGTTTGTCGTGTCTTTATAGTCTGCTGTTAACATTTAAGAAAATATTAAATTCTACATGTTAGTAGAAGAGGGTTAAATGTTAGTGAATGCAGTTTAAAAATATATTTCAAAATTTGAAAAAACACACTGTTTCATACAATGGGTTTAAAGAACACATTTAACTTTCTGTTCCACCTTCTTTTTTCCACTGAAGACCTACTCCTGGCCAACTTCAGTTGGCACTCATTGCAATACCTTCTTACCTTCTTTTCATGGCCAAAGCCGCCATCATACAGGACTAGCAATTCTTGACCCAGTCCACCTCGGTGAAAAATACCCCGGTCCACTCCCCCGCTGTTCTTGGATGACGTGCAAAAGAGGTTATTAGAGTGGTTTAGCAAGAGGACGGGAACGTCATTTGAGAACGGCGCGCGCAGCAAAAATGCCGAGAAGAAACTGGGTCGAGAACGCCGTCGCGTTGTGTTGAAAAGTGATTTAGCAAGGGAAACGTGCAGCAAATTCTTGTTCTAGAATATCAATTGACTATCGGTAAAATTCTCGTCGTAAATTGCTAGTTAATCAGCTACAATTTAGGGCAACGAAATTAATGCTACTGTATACCACTTGTCAAACGCAGGCGGGGACGACTACGGCACGAGTTACTCGCTAGGACTTTGTTTGGATAGCAAATGAGGTGAATTTCGAAATTCTACTTTGACTTAAACAAAATTTGGGAGGGTAGTTTTGTATTAATTTCTGTAGAATTTAGCCTATTAAATGTGTTTTTGTGAAATTTGTGTAATTGTCGTCATCTTTTCATGCGAGTTGTTTTCGTGAGAACGGCTTTAGTGATCTCTGTATTGCGATTCCTTTGTGGCTTCCCATATCATAGATCATGGCGAGTGGTGGTTTAAACTCTGTCCGCGATGCTTTGTTAACAGCCAGCTTCTATGATATTATCGACGATGACGAATTTGTTCTTCTATATGACGCCTATTCGTCAAAACCTATTTTCCCATACTGGAAATTCCCCAGATTCAGTGTAGACGAGTGGAGCGATGTGGAGTGCAAGACTGAGCTTAGATTTGCGAAGAAACATCTGCCTGAATTATGTGAATGTTTAGGAATTCCTGAAAAAAATTACATGCGTGCAAAGAACAGTATGTGGTGGGATGGAGGGCCTGTGCATTTTATTGAAGAGGTTGGCATACCCTTGTAGATACACAGACATGGTACCCCGCTTTGGCAGGAATCCGACCGAGCTTTGCTTAATCTTCAACACTATGATCGATTTTATCTACGATAATCATAACCATCGACTTCGCAGCTGGGATCAGTTCTTTTTACAGCCTAACCAGCTGTACAGCTATGCAGAGGCTGTGCACCGTCTTGGTGCTCCATTAGGCAATTGTTTTGGATTTATTGATGGTACTGTGCGTGGAATAGCGAGGCCACAAGAAAACCAAAGGGTTATGTACAATGGCCACAAGAGAATACATTCCATAAAATTTCAGAGTGTTGTCATCCCAAACGGATTAATTGCAAACCTTCATGGCCCCTTTGAAGGTAAAAGACACGACAGCACAATGCTCCAACAAACAGACATTCTCAATGAGCTTCGGAGGGTGGCATTTCATAATGGGCATCCTCTTTGTCTTTATGGTGATCCTGCATACCCGTTGGGTGTTCACCTTCAGGCCCCTTTTAAAAACATTCAACTCACTCCACAAATGGTTTTGTACAATGCGGCCATGAGTGAAGTAAGAGTTGCAGTTGAGTGGCTTTTTGGTAATATTACAAACTATTTTAAGTTTATTGATTTTAAAAGCCAATTACAAATTAACTTGAGTTCAGTGGGGAAATTTTACATTGTTTGTGCCCTTTTGGAAAATGCGTTGACCTGTCTGTATGGTAACATTGTGTCAGAAAAGTTTGAAGTTCAACCACCTTCTTTACAGGACTACTTCCAATAATCTGAATTCGTCTTATTTTGTATTTTGGCCAATAGAAGAGTTACACTTTTGATGTTGGAGGGTTAAAAATTTAAAGAAAGATTGTATTAGTAATCACTTGTACATTATTAACCTTTTTTTGGGATGGCTTTCTTTGAGTGCAATGTATTGTAGATCCAAATTTGTAAAATAAGCTGATGACTGAGAAAAATATTTTCTTCAGTAGAAATAAACATCAGCACAACCTACATGTGTTGACATTTCTGTTTACACTTAATACTTTTGTGACATTTATGCAAATTTTTGTGCCATCATGGATTTAATCAATTAGTACACTTGCTAACTTAGGTCATGGAATTCCTTGAAAAGTAATGGAAATTTTCATAGCTCAAAAGTGTATTACCCCTGGCCCCTGGTTAATGCGTACCAATTACTTTATCTGGTAAACACAACATTTGTTTTATGATTGTAAAAAGTGCTTTTTAATGATCAAGGTTGTAATTTTCTGTTTTATTCGTACAATGGGCTGCTGCCCAAAAATTTTGTTTAATAAATAAAGATAATCGAGATAAGTGGCCTTTACAATACAAAATATGCTCTATTTGATTAAAAATTTTGTTTTATATAACAAAAAATAAAAAACATGCAAAACTCAGGTAATGACATTGCATTCAATGTTGATGTATATCAAAGCCAAACCCTTAAACTCTCTTTAACTGTTGCTGAAATGCATGTGTTTGATGTGTCAAAACTTGCATCATTTGATGCTGCATCATGGCAAATTGTTGTTGTTGTTCGCTGTGCTGTTGCTGCTGTTGCTGCATTTGTTGCAGCAGTTGTTGTTGAAATAATTTCATTTGCTCATTTTGAGCTTGCATTTGAGCCATAAACTGTTCAGTTTGAGCTCTTTGGGCTTCTCGTTCTTCCCTTCTTTCTTGGAGTTCTTGCTCCTTCATCTCTCGCATATTCTCTCCCTTTTCTCTCAACCACTCAATTGCCTCTCCTGATCTTCTTCTTTTTTTCTCCTTTTTCCCTTCATCCTTTTCTGTTTCTTCTCGTCTCTTTTTGGTTTGACTGAACCTCTCCATTGCTCTCTCCCTCATCTCTATTGCCTTCTTTTTCTCTCCCTCTACCAGTTTCTTGGCCTCGTCCTTCTGCTCTTTTGTCTTCTCAGATTCCATCTCTAATTCCACTAACTCCTCCACCAGCTTTTCAGCTTCACTCATTTCTTTATCTCCTCCACCACTCTCTCTCTCCTCTTGTCTAACTTTTACTCGCCATTTCTTTGCCAGAATATTGAAGCGGTCTCTCACCGATCGTGAAATGACAGGCATACCTTCTGCCATAAGAGAAGAGGCAACAACCTGCCATAATGCTCCTCTCTCCCTTGATCCTGCCCTACTATTGATAAAAACACCCTCAGCCGCCACAGCTCTCAAGAGTTTGACATCTTTTTCTTCAGTCCACACCATTATAGATCTAATAACAATCATAAACAAAAACTTCTGAGAAAAGTGGCTATATAAACAAATATTACATCTTAACCTAACATATATCACTTGAAAATAGGAGGTACAATCATTCATTTAACCTATTTTTTAAATGAGAAAAACAGCTTATTTCAGTCTTCAGAACTACAACTGCACAGCCAGTGTAACAGATATGATTAGAGAACTAGGATGGGTCACAAGAAAAAAGAGTGATGAAGAACAGACTAACACAAATATGTAAAATCAGGTATAATCTTCCTGACAATAAATCAGAAAAATATTTAAGATTTTGTGATGAGACCTGTACATGTGGAAGCTGTATAACAAAATATAACATTCCAACAAAAGATTAGCTAAAACAACAAAATATTCTGCCAAAGTACTCCTATTATCAAATACTGTATCATCTGGTAAAACACATGGCTAATTTGCATAATTTTATATTCTCATTTTGTTTTATATATTTTAATTTCTTCGCGTTCAAAATTGCACTAAAAAAAGGTTTAAACTTATTTACAAGATATTAAATTTCATCCTCACTTTTTCTTTAGGCCTGGGCTTTCTGAGCTGCTTTCGTCCATTGTAAAAATAGCATCAACAACCACTGAAAAAAATGTTGCATCGATTTTATTGTATCGACTGCTCGACTTGCTCATGCTGTTTATACTAAAACACGATATATTGCGAAAGTTATTGTTCTAAGATTTCTCAGAGTACCTTTATAAGATGAAAAACTGTGAAAGAGAAGAACCCATACATCGGTGAAAAAAAAACCATCTAAGTGGCGTGATACTAATAATTAATTGAAACTTCCGATCACATCCGTACGAAGAACCTGACTCATGTATCAGAGCACTTTTGACAACACTTCCAGAAAAAAACTACAGTGAGAAATTACCTATCCTGGAAATTATTTTTCGATTATTCTATGAGATTCCCTTACCTTTTAAACCGGTTTAATGAAGGCAAATCCAAGCCGTCTTGATCAGGACGGGAAAACCTACCAAATGCCGTCCTAAACTTGTTGCGAGACCGGCAACGCCATCACCGGAAGTCGTATTAGACTCGTGTCCAGACTATCCGCGCGCTTTCCCGTTCTGAAATGACGTTCCCGTCCTCTTGCTAAACCACTCTAATGTCCCCGATACCTGCGGCCCTTTCGCTCGGCAAAATTTTTAAGGACACAGTCACACAGTTATTCTGTAACTTTTATTTCAATTCGATTGATAGGTTTATCGAATAAAATTGTTTCTTTGGTCTAATAACCTGGTTTTTCAGATGGGTTTATATCTAGAGTTGTGATTTCTTTCAAAATTGTGGAAATTTTATATAAAAAAATTGCAAAGGAATTGAGATTAAAAGTGTTAAAAGAAATGGAAAGAAGTCTCAAGAGGTATATTTTCCAAGCCACAATGACGACAGAAATGAAATCAAAATTTATTGCCTTGTAAGATTACATTGATTGCAATACAGCTTAAAACTGTGACTCATGCATGAGTAATTTTTTTGAGGACCTTTGGCAAGGTACTTCCTTGAGATTATCTAACATTTCAATACTGTTTGCATTTTCACTCCTCTCGATTAGATAAAAATAGAGCTTTACACCTTAGTTTGTGGAATTCCAGTTACTCATTGTTTCAGACTTTGAATTTATTTGTGGCAAAACTAAAATTTCAACTCTAGGCAAACTTATGGCTGTCCATGTTTACTTTTTACATGGCATCAGTTTCTTGTACACAGGAAACTGATGTCAGAAACTGAAGCAGAAAAATGAAATGGACAGATGTGTTGTTTGTGTCAAAAAATTGAGATTAAAAGCATTAAAAAATTGGAAAGAAGTCTCAAATGTTATGCTTTTTCTAAGCTGCAACAAGTGCTTAATTGCAGCTGGAATTCTCTATGGGGTTTCCTTGCCTTCTCTTTTCATTCGTTTTACATGTGGAATTCATCTCTGATGTTTGATTTGTTTCCTTTTGTCTTAGTAGTATTTTATTTGGCTGCCAAGTTCCACTAATTTTAAGAAACATAGCAAAGCTGAACAGGTCTCCTCCTATTTGGCCAAAAGTTTAAATAAATGGCCAGGCTGGAACTTTGTCAAGCAAACGTGTGACATTCAGTTTATGTCATTCACATTTCAAGCTGTTTTAGGTACTTTAGCAGCAGTTTGAGGGTGAAGAAGAATTTTGTCTTATTATTGGGAGGGAATTTTTACTGACATATGGTAAGGCTTTCAAGAGGGGTGTTGCATACCTCCACCTTTTTTTACTATGTTGTCATGATTATGTGGCAGTGAATTAAGTTTTCAAAAGTGATTTTCAGAAGGCTACACCCTCCCCTTACTTCCTCCCCATTGCTTTCAAGTGGTGACTAATCATAGAGGATAAATAGATCACAACACAAAGTTTAAATCCATTTACAATTTTTATTCTACACTTATAAATTTGGGAGTTCCGGCTCCATTTACAAATACTTGTAAGTAAAAATCTTAACTGTCTATAAGTCTGATGCTTCATCCTCCGACTTTGCACAGCAACTTATTTACATATTATTACATTACTCGAGAAACAGGCCCTAAATATATACAAAAATATACTAATATTTACATCAACTGTAGAAAATTCCCAAAAAATTTTCAAACTAGGATGACAAAAATCTCACATCACTAACCTACCAAAAGAACTTTTCTTCGAAGCGCCACGAGTTTACGTACAGTTTCGGTAGGATTTCAATGGCAGTAAATTTGAAACTACTTGAATCGGATCGCTTCGATCAAAAGAAAAATCGAGCATTAAAACAAACGTGTTGTATCCTACAATCTGTACTACATTTACTCATCTGATGCGATTGTAATCTCCAAAAGAATTTCAATAAACACTACAGAAAACTATTCCTAGAGAAAGACACACGCGATCAAAACAGACACAAGCATGGAGATAATTTGGGATCGAAAGTAACCAATCATAAAATGACAGAGTTTCCTGAGAGGTCCGAGGTTTTTTTGTTTTGTTTTCTCTGCATGTTCATTGGTTCGTTTTTCTTCATTTCGATCCGGTTCAAATAATCTAGCTGCTCTGAGCACTTCCTTCATTCACGTTTTTGTCACTGAGCTGGTCACCTCGCAGTTATTTTGAATACTAAGTGGTTCAAATAATTTCTTTTTCGTTTTTAATTGGAATTGCTGAGGCCTAAATAATTAGCTCACACCGACTATTGCTAAGTAAATTACGTGCCTTTTGCTTACCTGCATTTTTTATGAGTTGATTGCTTGAGAGGTCTAACGTGCGTAGCTGACTGTTGTTGTTGTTGATGGCTTCAGCTAAGTGCTGTGCTCCAATGTCTGAGATGTTATTTGCTGAGAGGTCTATCGTGCGTAGCTGACTGTTGTTGTTGTTGTTGATGGCTTCAGCTAGGTGCTGTGCTCCAATGTCTGAGATGTCATTGTTTGTGAGGTTTAACGTGTGTAGCTGACAGTTGTTGTTGTCGATGGCGTCAGATAAGTGCTGTGCTCCAATGTCTGAGATGTTACTTGCTGTGAGGTGTAACGTGCGTAGCTGACAGTTGTTGTTGTTGATGGCTTCAGCTAAGTGCTGTGCTCCAATGTCTGAGATGTTATTTGCTGAGAGGTCTAACGTGCGTAGCTGACTGTTGTTGTTGTTGATGGCTTCAGCTAAGTGCTGTGCTCCAATGTCTGAGATGTTATTTAATGAGAGGTCTAACGTGCGTAGCTGACTGTTGTTGTTGTTGATGGCTTCAGCTAAGTACTGTGCTCCAATGTCTGAGATGTTATTTATTGAGAGGTATAACGTGCGTAGCTGACAGTTGTTGTTGTTGATGGCTTCAGCTAAGTGCTGTGCTCCAATGTCTGAGATGTTATTTACTGAGAGGTCTAACGTGCGTAGCTGACTGTTGTTGTTGTTGATGGCTTCAGCTAAGTACTGTGCTCCAATGTCTGAGATTTTATTTACTGAGAGGTCTAACGTGCGGAGCTGACAGTTTTTTTTGTTAATGGTGTCAGCCAAGTACTGTGCTCCAACGTCTGAGATGTTATTGTTTGTGAGGTTTAACGTGTGTAGCTGACAGTTGTTGTTGTTGATGGCTTCAGCCAAGTGCCGTGTTCCAATGCGTGAGATGTTATTTTTTGAGAGGTTTAACGTGCGTAGCTGACAGTTGTTGTTGTTGATGGCGTCAGCCAAGTGCCGTGCTCCGATGTGTGAGATGTTATTTTCTGAGAGGTTTAACGTGCGTAGCTGACTGTTGTTGCTGTTGATGGCTTCAGCTAAATACTTTGCTGCTTCATCTGTCAGTTGATTTCTTGTGAGGTTTAACGAGCTCAGATGAAATTCCCTACGTTTTAACAATTTAGAAATCTCAAAACAACCTAATGGACCAATGTTATTGAAACTCAAATCTAAATGTGAAATTTGTTGAATATTCTTGATTACATTTACTAACGAAGAGCAATCAACAGCTGTGAGGTGACAATCAATAAAATTTACACAATTAAAGTTAATTTGTTGTAGTTTTCTCTGAACTATCGACTCCATTTTATTACTTTCGTTACTGCATTTAAACAATGTCACTGCTGAATCGTTTTCGTCTTTAGTCGGCCAGCAGGTCACCATTTTGTCTTCGCTTTCTTCGGCTTCGTTTTCTTTGTCTTCAGTTTGCACAGGAAGAAGGTCAGTGAGGATTTCGCTTGGTAGGTGATTTTTCTCCTCCATTAGTCCCGCCAGAAACTGAAAAACCAACTGCCATTTGCCGTTCTTGATGTTCTCGGAAACAAAGTTCCTTAATTCTCTTTCTTTCATGTTGTTTGTCAGGTGCCGCGCTGCGAAAAACTCCTGCATTGTAAGATGAATGAAACAGAATTGTTTCTCATCTTTTAACGCGGCATTTTCACAGTCGGGTAAGCGGTGAAAAAGGGCGTTGTCTTTCATTTCGCGTACTTCGTTTCCACCAAGGATCAGTTTTCCTTCTTCGATTCCTTCAAACGCCACTTTTCCTAGTTTCTCGAATTTCTCCTCCACAGCCGAGGGAAAATCGTCTGATAGAAAGTCTTCGCGGGTAAAATGTTTATCGCGGAATTCTTTCGTGTGTTTGAAATAAAATACTTTCACTGCAATCTTGTATATCGTGGTTAATTTGGAAGGGAGGGTAACACTAGCGGAACTTTCGAACTGCAATATTTGTGACAGACTTGAGCACACGATGAAGCTGTTCATAGGGATATAACAGAGCGAAAGTAAGTTCATGTTGCTGCTGATGTGTCGCCATAGTGTTTCGCCTACTTGATTGTCAACTCCGGCGAATTTGTTGATATACTCTTGAATTTGCTCGGTTGAAAACCCTAAGATTTCAAAGGTTTTGTCGAAATTAAGATGTGTGATACCGGTCAAAGCCGTAGGTCTAGTAGTCGTTACAATTGAAGCATCCTCAAGAAGTTTCCCAGTCACAAGCCACTGATAAAGGATTTGTAGCGGCATCTTGTCTTTAATGCTTCCGGGATGAGAAGGCGCCACGGCCATGTTTGCGTTATCTTTGAATTCGTCAAATCCGTCAAAAAGTATGAGGACACCTTCAGGGTGCTGCAGGATGTAATTCCAGACCTCATCATCCAGGTGATCTGAGATGGAATGTTCTGACCGAGTGAGTAGTTCCCTGAGGCTAAGGTCGTCTGCCGAGTTGAATCTTCTGAATTTTACGAAGAAAGCAGCATCAAATTGGATTTGGGATTTGACTTTCTCAAATGCCCAGTCTCTGAGAAGTTTGATGCAACATAATGTTTTGCCAATTCCGGGGCGACCGACAATCAATACTTTCTTATTTTTATCATTTAGGAGGTCTTCCAGGCTTTTCGGATGTGATTCTTCGTCGCGCGACCTTGGATAAACTTTGAGTTGCTCTTGTCTGTCTGTAGTAAAGTTGTAGTGAGCCCTGTTGGGAATGATAACAAGGTTTGTGTAAATCTGATCCAAAGTCAAATCTTTGGCTTTTGTTTCCTCGCCTGGAGGACGTCGAAACGGTGATTGGAGTTCGTAGAGGCATCGAGTGTCTTCCTCAATGATTTTCCTCGTTCGTGCGATGAATGATTGAAGCTGTTTAGGCTTATCATGTCCGCTCGTTCCTTCATGGTTAGCATTTAGATAGGTTTTTAGGAAGTCTGAGTCTTGCATAAAATTCCTTTCTATCCATGCCTGTATCAAAATGTAGACGATTTCAATCAGAATGCCAGCGTCAAAAATTCCATTCACTGCAAGGACAGCGTTCATCCAAAAGGTTTTCTTTATCGCTCGTTGATTGTGACATTTGTGTAAAGTACTGTTTGGGGCGGCGTCCGATGAATTCTTCGGCGGATTGTTTCCAGAGTTCAAGCAACATTCAAACGTGGAGGAAAACTTTAAAGGATAAAGCAACTGAGTTTGCAGCAATATGAAGAGAACTCCTAGAACAAGTCTCGTAGATAGTTGACAACAGTAAGCTATAAAAAGCCTGTGTCCGCAATTTGTTGTTTGTCTTGTTGGGCTTTCTTGGTCGCGCGACTGTCCGCTCTCTGGATCACGGTCACGACTGCTCGACGACAAATGATCGACTGTATTTCTCACTGTTTGGGAGTAGATAACACACACAATTGCAATAAGGAGGAAATTGGTGATCACGAAGCCATAGACAGGAACACCGTACTTGTTGTGTTGCTTCTCGTATTTTTCGAAACATTCTCCACGGATAAGGTCGATGTTTTCACTCTTCGCGCCACCGCACCGGAAATCGTACCTGGATTCGGTATTTTCCACTTCGGCAAAAATGCCAAAGAAAATTACACTGATCACGAACCAAATTAAAACTGCGGCATAGCTAATTTTGTTGAAGGTTCTTGGTGCAAGTGATTCCTTGAGATGATCCATCGTTTCAATACTGTTTGTATTTTCGCTGTTTTCGATGAGATGAAAATTGCTCTATAGCTTTGGTTGTGGACTTCCGGTTACAGATTGTTTCAGATTTCTAAATTTGATCATGAAAGAAATACGTTTTTAACTCGTGGCAAACTTACGCCTGTCAATAATTTATTCTCGCACGCCATCATTTTCTTTCTGATATCGGAAAATTGAAATAGAAAAATGAAATGGAGAGATAAATGTGTCGGTTGGGTCAAATTTTCTTTATTTTTAATGCGTGAGATTCTATGTCGTTGAAAGAGGCGCAAAAGAAACAATTACAAGTATGGAGAGACATTTCGCTTTCTGAAGCAAATAGAAGCGTCACGACAAAAGAATTGTGAATTGTCACTGATGGCTCTTCAAGTTTACCTTTGCCTTAGTCCGGGGCTTTTTACTGAGTATGAAAGCTCCTTAACAGGAGGCTTGGTCGCTCGACTTTTATTTTTACAAAGAGTCTGCTATGTTAAATGTTTTCTCTTTTCGCTTGTATTACAGCAGACTGTGACTTTTCAGTGAAGGAATGAAAGACATTCCCTTACGAAAGTGAAACCATGTATCTGACCCGACTGTCATATCATTTCGCATGCCTTCCACTGGATTTTTTAAAGGGATTTGCGTTACCGTAAAGTATCCTTGTATTTTCCAAATAACAATAACCATTCTTATTAGGTAGATGCTCGTTCTCTTTGTGTCAAAACAATGCTTGGTCTTCTGAAATAAAACAACTTTCGCCCCCGCTTCATTACGGTCTCAATGTGATAAACCGTCCTAATTGTAACAGGTAATTTAGTGTTAACAACTGAGTTGAAAACGTAAATTAGCCATCGTAAAGGGTAAAAAAGCTGACGTTTCGAGCGTTAGCCCTTCGTCAGAGCGATTAGAGGAATTGTGGGTTGTGTGTGGAAACGTCAGCTTTTTTACCCTTTACGGTGGCTAATTTAGGTTTTCAACCCAGTTGTTAACACTAAATTATCTGCTATACTCTCCCACCGACGCAGCACCACAGTTTCTTTAGAAACTTACCCCTTTATTCATTCTTCCTAAATGCAACATTGTTACTGTGAGTTTCGTTTAATAAATAGGCGTTGCCTCGTGTTGACAGATTTATTCGATGACAAGAATCGTGATTGACATTAATTCAATAGATTGATTTAAAAGCGTTAGATTATTATGTTTTAAGTCAGTTTTTCAGCAGAATCGAAGTGAGAAAGAAGTTATATTGTTATCGTTTTCCTGTCTCTAAATCCGCTTACCTGGAGAATCTGCTAACCCGTAAAGTGAGACTGTTGTAACGACCCGCCACAGAAGTAAGTTTATATTGAAGTTTTTGAATTTAGTTACAAGATAAAGACTTGATTTGCGTTTGTTCTAATTGCGAATTATAACTGTATTTCTTTTAGATCGAATAATTATTAAAGCTTGGCTTAATATTATACGGTTTGTGGTGGTCACTTGATCTAACCAGTTCCGAGTAAGGAAACACTGTGAACTGTGCTGCTAACTAATAGTTCTGAAAAAAATTTTGGAAAGATAAACGTTTAATGAAGAACTTTTATTCTTAAAAATTAATCGTCAACTGTGAGAGATACCCAAACACTTAGCCGTCAGAGATTCCAGCGCACTGAGACCCTCCTTCTTAAGCTGAGCCGAGGGCTATGGTGCACCAACTGTAAGAAAGAAAAAGCTATTTTGAATATTTAAATACGCGATTTTCGTAAATTGAACGATCAGATCGGTGTCTCGTTTCAGTTTAACTGCAAGAAATAAAATTGTCGAGGTTTTCGAGCTTGTCCCTACATTCTTGAATCCATATCAAACTCATGGGGTACAAATAGTCTTAACATGAATATAGTGACCACGCCCACTTCAACGCCCCACTCAAATCGAGTGTAATTTTCGAACATTTTACCATCGTGCGGATTCTCTACGGAAAAAGCACTCAATGTACCTCTGAAATATTAAACTATAATATTGTGGCATTCTATTTCGCTAATTTTCTAACTTGAAGGTAAAGTTTTTCCCTCGTCATTTTAACCTTTTCTCCGAGCGGTTGCGTGAAATTAACAAGGCGTTTTTGTTCAAAACATAACCGAGCGAAGCGTCTCGGGCGATATCCCTTTTACGCAAGCACAATTTAAAAATGTACCGGTAGTTAGATAACGGCGTAATATGTGACTAACACAGTCTATAGACTAAGATTTTACGCCACTATGTGCGTCGGTGTATATATATGTAAGATTTTAAGCCGTTAACTAACGGCGTAAAATCTTACAGTATATAATTAACCGACTGGAAGAAATTACGCCGTTAGTTACTGGCGTAAAATCTGACATAAATATATCACCGACTGACGTTTGATGTATTTTGCTCTCTACAGCCAACCGCAACATCCTCTCGTCACGCAATGTTTTGTTTTTTGTTGAGGAGGATTTCGTGATGACTCAGTCACGCTGGCAAGGCCAGGAGTACCTCGCGAGACGAAGAATGATTAGGTGACATAATTTTAAAAAAGCATGTTAAAGGACATTTTACAGAAAGGATGTAAAAAGGAGTTAGATTGCGTGGTTAGATGAAGTGGAAATCTGCAATGATATATGACCAGAAATGGTGAAAAGGAATACACGAGAATTTTACAACTTAGATAAAAAGTTCAACTCCAGGTACTAAAGCACAACAATGTACCTTAGCTTTTTCCCACTTGAATCCCAGGCCTATGTTCAAATTGGCCCTCCTTGGATCGAGAGAGACCTGGAAACGAGGCTCCACCACGTTGATGAACGTTTACTCTTTACACCAAAGCTGCGCGAACTGAGGGACCGGTCATTATTTATTTGCGGGGGAGGGGACTGTTCTGATAAAATTTATCTGATCCCCACATAAGACTCTGTCATATTCTTAAGATCCCTCTCACAGTGGCAATCAATTTTTATATTCCGTCCTCTATACTGATTTAATTTATTTGATATAATTGCCCCCGCAGGGTTTTTGGCCCCAGAGGGCCAAAAACCCGAGGAGGCACCTTAGGACTCCCCGCGTAATATAGAGGAAGACTGGAGAAGAGGGAATGTGGGTATTTTCGGTAGATCATAACCAGAAAAAATCTCGATTTGATCGCTTGCACGGCCGCAAGGTATCAACGTTTTTCCCGCAAATGGTCATGGGCTGCCAGTAAAAAGACACGCGCGCGAGGACTTTTAGGATCGGCGTCTTTGACACGAGATTTGTCCTAGTATAGAGCAAGACTGGAGAAGAGAGAATGTAGGTGTTTTCGGTTGATCGTAACCAAAAAAAATCTCGATTTGATCGCTTGCACGGCCGCAAGGTATCAACGTTTTTCCCGCAAATGGTCATAACTACACAACTGTAAACAACAAGCCCAACTCAAAAAAAAAAAAAAAAAAGAAAATGGTACTGTAGGGCGGGGGCAGCTCTAGTGAGAACTATAACTAGTTTTAATTATAGTAAGTTGATAAAGACTTTTTCCGTTTCGTTCTTCCTGAAAAGCATGTGATCCCAAAAATTCTCCCCCCCCCCCTATCCCAGTCAAAAATTAATGACCGGCCCTTCGGGTAATGGTGAAGTTTTTTGTTCCTGATCGACCGTTGGGATAACCCTGGTTGTAGTTTTACAACACTCAATCCAAATGACACAAACACTTCCCAGACTTACTTTGACGCCCCTAAATTTGATGCCCTATAGGTGCAAGTGAATTAGACGGCCACCAATATTTGTATTGTCGATATTGGTAAACCACAAATGAAAGCACCTAGGGTTATGTAAATTAAAGAAATCCTACTTCCGGCCTCTAAGGGACGAACGACGGCCACAGACGTCGAAAATTACGTCACCTCTTTTTTGTTGTTATTTTAATTTTACCGTGGGGAATTAGGACAAATCTTTTGTTAAACCGCTGGTTGATGTAATAAGGCTCATTTCTGTGAAAACAACTCTGCGAAACTCAAAATAGGCGATTTTTAGCGAATATTTCACTTTGTTACTTGAATATTTCGCGTTGGTCCTTTAAATATGGCGTCGCCATATGTTCAGCTTGTACTTCGCTAGCGAAATAATTCGAAATGGCGGCTGCAGAGCCGACTGGATTGACTTTTGTGGATGAAGACGATCTTCCTGTAGCATTCCTTCGTATTGCCCACGTGGATTCTGACAACGAAGCGCCCTCTGATGTCGATAGCAGCGAAGAAGGAGAATCTGCAGATGAAAGTGGGGAAGAAAGCGATGAGTGCGAGGACACTGAGGAGCGTGACTACTCAATTTTAATGTGGTCATCCGTGATAAGACCTCCACAAGACAGAAACTTCAATGAAGAGGTTGGTATGAGAGTAGAAATGGAAAACAACAGCAGTTGTCTTAACTATTTTGAACTGCTCTTCACTGATAATGTTTACCAGCTGATTTTGAATGAGACCGCGAGATTTGAACGCCAAAAACGTCATCTTGATCCAAATTCAAGAGGTCATCTCCACAATTTGACTGTTCCAGAACTGAAGGCATGGCTTGGTCTCACCTTAGCAATGGGCTTAGTGAAAAACCCAACTTAAAGTCTTACTGGTGTAATAAATCAGTTATCAAGACGGATATCCGAGAAAATTGTTGGAAAAAGCCCAGACGCTCGGGAGAGCAATTGAATCTGCAAAGAAGGATTACCAAACCAAAACCTGGAAAAATGTAGACTGGTCACTTTTGGAAATATTGCAGATCAAGAGAATCAGAGAATAAAGAAGATGTAAAGTTTGTCCAGCCAGTCCAGCATCAGTCAGATAAGTCTAACCCTGAATATGTTTTGTATACTACTAATAATGAGGGGCTGGGTG